TCAATTATTTTTATAAATAACAATATTCATCACAAGAATTCATTTATTTTCAAAAGTAATAAAATTCTTTTAAGAAATTCAATTATTTTTACAAATTTTAACGAATATCTCGTCAAAAATTCAATTATCTTTATAAATAGCAAAATTTTTCGACAAAAATTCAATTATTTTCAAAAATTTAAATAAAATTCTTTGCAAAATTTCAATTATTTTAAAAAGATTTTCGTAATTCAATCATTTTCATATTTACTATTTTCATACAATTTATCAAAAAATTTTTGATATAATTCTACGAAAACATTCAATTATTCCTCGAAAAATGCAATTATTCTTAAAAATTTTATTAAAACTTGACGAAAGAATTCAAATTTAAGAAACATTCAATTATTCAATAAAATAATAATATAATTCGTTGCAATGATAGAATTATTTTCAAAAATTTTTAAGTAATTCTGCAAAAGATTTCAATTATTTTCATAAACAACAAAATTCTTCCCATACAATCAATTTTTTAAGAAATTTTAATAAAATTCTTTTCCAAAATTCAATTATTTTGATAAATATCAAAATTCATCACAAGAATACAATTGTTTTGAAAAGTTATAAAATACTTTGCAGAAAAAATTATTTTCAAAATTTTTTAAAAATTCTCGTCAAGAATTAAATTATCTTTATAAATAGATAGCGAAATTCTTCTCAAGAATTAAATTATTGTAAAAAATCTTAATAAAATTCTTGGCAAAATTTCAATTATTTAAACAAAATTTAATAAAATTCTTCGCATGAATTCAATTATTTTCATAAATTATCATTTAAATTCTTCTCAGGAATTCAAGCATTTTTAAAAATTTTAATAAAACTCTTCAAAAAGTTTTCAATTATTTTCAAAAATTGATATATAATTCTTTCAATATAATAAATTTCAGTAAAATTTTAATTAAATTCCTTAAAAGAAATTAAATATTTTCAAAAGTTGTTAATAAAATTCTTCGTAAAAAATTAAATTTTCATAAACATTTAATTATTGAATAAATTATTTATTTTTGTATTTAAATAATTGAATTTTCGTAAAATTTTCTAATAAAAATTGATTTAAAAATGAATTTTGGTTAAAATTTTAGATAATAATTTAATATTAAAAGTATTATAGCATGGATTTTTAGAAATAATTTAATTTTGAAATAGGTTTCAAATTCAAATCTTTGGAAATCAAAATTTTTCGTACTTTTAACTAATAATTGATTTAAAGAATTTAAAATTTTTGAAAATCTTAATTTCAATGAAAAAGTAATAATGATCTAATCATTTTTAGAGTGAATCAGAATATTCTTTAGTGTCAGGGAAAAAGTTAAAATTCTGTCTGGAGATCAGATTCTTTAATACTGCTTTTTACACTAATAAGCATTTGAATACATTTGATTTGTTACTCTATGTAAGATTTAATTATTTACTAATTATTAAAATAAAATAAAATTCAATTCAATTATTTAAAAATTTCTAATGAAATTCTTTAACAAATTTAATTTAGTTCCATTCGATTTTACAAAATTTGAATTATGTATGTTTAAAAGTATCTTTAAAAAATTGAATTAAAATTTCTCAAAAACTTCATTTTTATAAAGTTTTAAATAAAAGCATTTAAACTCCAATTAATTAATTGAGGTATTCATTTTTTAGACAAGTTTTTTTTAATTATTATTAATTTTTTCACAGCAATTAATATTTTCAAAAATTTAATTTGAAACCTTCCTGAAATTCAATTATTTTTTTAAAAATTACAATTTTTCTTAACTACAAATCATTTCCAAGTTAATTGTAACGAAAACCTTTTAAGAAAATTATTCTAGAAACTTTAGGTATGTATTTAAATTTAGAGAAACAAGAAATCAAGATATTATCATAGAAATTCATAGAAATTGTGATTATGAAAAGTTTATAAGTTGGAAAAAAAGTCAAAAAGAATTCCTATTTTTTAAAAGTTTTTCAAAAAATATTTTTGGACACCAAAAATCAAAAATTTTGTTGTAATTCTGAAAGATTTGATAATTTTCCAATACTTTTTGCAAATAAAATTCCCTGAAATTTCTCTAAATTTTTCTGTACAAAATAATTGAAAATTATTTTATTGCCGGAATACTTACTGCTCACAGCATTAGTAATAAAACGCTCAGCTTGCAAGTGATCTCCTTTCGTTACTAATAAATCGTACAAGACTGATAATCGTGGATCCTCTAAAGCAACCCCAGTGACACGTTGGAGTGTATCAACAATTTCTTGCTGTTCAAATCTTCGAAAATGTTTCATGCACAGTCTTATTATCTCTCTCTGTCGATACTGTTTTAAAAACATAAAAGTATTTAATGAATTTTTCGAAAGTTTTGAATATTTAAATGGTCGACGATATTTTTCTACTTCTTTTAATTTGTATTTTTTTCTAAAAAAAATAATTTTGTACACTAAAAAAATTAATTCTTAACTAAATAAGTGTTTAAATTTAATTGAAGCGTTTTGTGCAGAAACCGCATAAGTCCATTTTTTTCGAAAATCACTTTTTTATTGAAAATTTATCTTTAAATGAAGCTTTTCAATCTGGTAAAATATTGCATAAGTAAATAAACTCTAAACCCTTAAAAAAATAATTAAAATATCATTTTGTGCAGAAACAGCACAAGTCCATGATAAGTTTTATATTTATTTGTGATATTCTTGACGTATTTTAATAATTTATATTAAACAGTTTACATTATATATAAAAACACTCATGGGAAGCAAAAAGTGACAGTGGTGACTAAATTATTTAAAAATTAGAAAATATTGAAAATTGGTTAAATTTATTCTTAAAACAATTTTATTATTTATAAAATGTTACTAAAAATTATCCAAATTTAATATTTTAAATAAATTTTATTAAATATTTCATAAAATTTTGATATTTCACTGGATTTAATAAATTTTCTGTGTTTTTCATTTCATTTTGTGCAGAAACAGCATAAGTCCAAAAAATGTTTATTTATTTTTTAATTTTTTATGTTAAGTAGATAATTAATTAATTATATTGGATTTTTTAACTTATAGGTTAGTAGAATATAATGCAAAAAGCCGAATTAAAAAAAATCTTAACATTTACGAGAAAAACAGTTTTTATTGATTCCTGAACAATTTCGAATTATCGACTTATGCTGTTTCTGCACAAAACGCTTCAATTGTTTTTCCATTTTGAGTAAAGTAATTTTAAAAATTAATTAAGTGGGGAAAAAATTCGTTCATTTGAAAGTTTAAAACTTTAGGGGAATAATTTTTGTCAACAATTGTCATAAGTAATTTACTAATATTATGATTATTTTCATTACCGAATTAACCCATTCAATGCTTGGTTTCACAATTATTGGATCATCAATGCCAGTAAGATGAACATGCCAAATGGAAAAATTGAAACTAGGACCCCACGATTGCAATGGAAGAACTTTAATAAACCTAATGGGAAAATAGATCCTTTTGCTTCCGATTTCATGCTTAAGGTCAAAAGTTTCAGAAGTTATATCATTTTTCAATCCACTGGAATAGATAAAATATTTTTTATGTTTTTAAATCAAATATACGTAAATTAATGACAAACAAAAAAATTACCTTTCTAAAAGTTCCATCATATTTTCTTCCTCCAAACCTCCATATACTTTAAATTTTTTAATATTACAAACGTGTGTTTTTTCATATTTACCAAAAGTTATTGTTTGAACAATTGCTGGTTGTTGCAATTTAAGAACGAGGTACTATAATTATGAACAGAAAGAAAAAATAATTACACAAAGAAATAAAAATTATTTATACAATTTCTACAAGAAGAAAATTATTTTCACAAAAACAAACTTATTTACACAAAATAAAGACAATCATAAATCAAATATATTCAGTAAACACAATAAATTATTAATAAACTAACCTGAGGATGGTTGTCATTGTCAGATGACCAACGAGACGTTTGATCCGATGGTTCATCAACAATGATGTTTCTGTAAAAAACATCATCATCTTCAAGTAACATCCTTTAAAACAAAAAAAAACAAACAAACAAAAATTAAAAAAAAAACATTCACTGAAAATCAACTTTTGCAATAGAAAATAATTTCAACAAAAAAAAACAATGTCGAGGTTGAAATAAAATTTTATCAAAATATAAACAATATCTCTTCAAAAAGACTGTTATATATAGATAAACATATTATTAAAGAAAAAAAAGTCCAATGAAAATAATAAACAATATTATGACAAATTTGCAATCAATATAAATAAACAAACATAAAAAAACATAAAAGATAATTTCCCCAAAAATACGTCATCTGATAAGTATAATCAATGTGTTAAATTTAAAAAAAAACAATATAAAACAGTAAATTTAGCAAATTTTTATAGGTTACGGCATAATGCAATTGTGCAAAAACTTATCTCTTATGTATTTGATATTCGACATTTTGTACTTTTTGTAAAAAACTTTTATTTCAATAAAATAGAAAATACTCACTCAGGCACATAAGTAGATGAATAACTGGAATATTTGAAAATTCTATATTCTAAAAGCTTTTGAAAATCACTATTTTCGGACGACGCCATATTACTTTAAATGACATAATGCAGTGGACCGAGAAGAAAATTGAATAAATATCAATTCCAGCCTCAAAATTTCTCTCTTAATAATTTATTAAATTGTCCAGATATTCCAATGAAATTGACAAAACTTGAAAAATATCACCAATCATTTAATTTTTTAGACATTTTTCTAAAATTTGAAAATTCGATCAATTGAATTTGACATTTTCTCATCCTCTTCATAATCGATTGGTTGAATTCTAAACATAAGTTTATAAAATAAAGACATTTGATTGGTTCCTTGAGAAACTAGTCCAATTTCCTGACGAATGAATGATTTTCTCTCATGTAAACGAGGTTTTTTTCTTTTATTGACGTGTGTACAAAGCCACACACATCATACACTGTTAATTTTTATGAATGTATGCGTTTATAGGACGTAAAAGTCTGGATTGCCGTGAATGTGAAAAAAAACGTATTTCCTTGATAGGGGGAAAATTTAGCAATCTGTTCATAAATTTCTTTTACATATGGTTCTATATTGAAACATTAAAGTTTAGCGTGTGGAAATAAACAAATATGGACGAAGAGTGGGGTAAGAAAATTTATTCTTTCAAGTTTTCATTTTTAGTCGAAGTCGATTAAAGAACTTGGCAATTGATGAGAGAAACCTCGCTTCTCTTTGTGTCATTGCAGATGCTGATCATTATGAGGCGAATAGAATTGACCTCGCTATTAGATCGAACAAATGGGAAGGTGAGGATGAAGAGGAAGAAGTAAAGGTAAGATTTTTTCCCTCATTTTCACCAGTAGATGTGACAATTTTTTTATCATTTGTGCCTAACCTGTTGATGCCACATGGTCGCTTTTCAAAATGTCAGAAATTTCCAGACTTGTGATCCTTGTGATCCAAATTGGAATTTGTCGAGAAGATTTTATTCTATTTTGAAAAAAAAGCTCTTATACTTTTTTGACATATTTGCAAAGTCGATTCGCAAGAAATTTTATTTTGAAAAAGATAAATATAGAATTTAAATTATTTTTGAGACTTAGAAAAAAGAATTTCGGAGTTTTTAGAAAACTTTTTAATTACAATTAGAAAAATTTTAAAATGGTCATAGATCGCTTTGGTTTTTAAACATAAATTTAAAATATGAATAAACAGGATAGTTGGGAGGATGTCGAGGAAGAAAAGAAAGATGTAGAGAAAGCACCTGAACTTCCAAAGGCTAAAAGTAAACCTAAGAAAACTTTAGCTGACAAAATTGAAGAACGCGAGGTTTGTATAAAATTTTCTTCTTCTAATTTTGAAATAAAATCTATTTTTCAAGCAAAAGCAAAAAAAAATAAAATCGAAATGAATTTTGTTTAGAAAAAAGCCCGTGAAGAAATTGAAAAGAAAGTTAAGGAAAAGGAAGAGACCTTAACTCCCGAGGAGAAAAGGGCTGAAATGTTGAGGCGGCAAAGGTTACAGGAAGAAGCAGACTTACGATTGGCAATGGAGACTTTCGGTTTGTCAAATCTTGTAGACTTTAGTTCTCGTAAACTCCCAAAAACTGAAAAGAAGTAGCCAATCATTCACTCATTACTGTTAGTTTTCTTCAAAATATTTAAATCGAGCTTCTGCTTTTTAAGCAGATTAATTTTTGCAATTTTTTTTTCTCTCTTTAGAAGAGAAAAATTTTTTTTCAAGAAAAGAAAGACCTTTTTTTATAATTAAACAACTCTTAGTTACAAAAAATAAACGTCAAATATTGAACAAAGTTTTTAATAAAGAGAAAATTAGACTAAAATTTTGAAACAATTAAAGTTTCAAAATAATTTTAAATTAATTTTATTGAATTTTTTTTTTTTTACTTTTTTCGATAAAAATACTTTTAAGACAACAGGATAACGTCCATGCAATTCTTGTTTTTATATAAGTAATTTAGTAATTTATATAATAAATATATATTAGTCTTTGGTCGTGGAACTTGGCAACATCTTAGATAATTATTTATTTCATATGTCATTATAAAAATAAGTGAATCTTTTGCAGTATTAAATCTGATATATTCAAAGAAAAAGAATTTTGTATTTAGAGACAATGCATTAAAATTAGATTTTAATCGCGAATAAATAAAAAAAAATAACTTACACATTGCCAGGAACTGTACTAGAGATAGAATAATAATAATTATACAAGTTGTGTTCATTTTTATCAAGATTATCGTAATAATAAAATTCACCGATGTTATTGTATATTAATAAAAATTGCTATTTCATGCAAATATTGTGTTCAAATTAGTTTTTGCACGAACCTTGCATTTTATTCGTTCATAAATCTCCTGTACTGTTCCTGAAATAATTTCGATAATTAGATATTCCAATTTTTGTTTTTTGGCTCGCAAGAAAAAAAAAATCCTGAGAAATAATTAGAGATTCAATTTTAATATTTTTATTTAAATTCTGTTCAAAAAACTTATTTTCTTATAAAGAATTATTATTTTTAAATAAAAAATTGTATTCAAGGCGTCACGGATTCTTCAAAGAGTCTGGATACGGTGAATCCTGATACAAAAGAAGAATTCGATCAATTTGGCGAGGCGCTTATGCTCAAAATCAATCAATTCAACAAACACACAGAATTTCCGGCTTTCGCAGAAGAATTAATAAAAAATATTGCTGTTTTAAGTAAGTAGAGAGAGAGAAAAAAATATATTTTTAACTCTTCTTTTTTAACTGTGAAAGTTTTTTGAAAGATATTTTTCTTCTTAGTGTCGAGCACATCGTTGCGAAAGGTGAAAACATTAATTGACAATCTGGCACTGGAGAAGGCGAAATTAGAAAAAGGCGACAAATCGAAGAAAAATAAGGGCAAGGGAAAGGCAAAATTGAGAATTGAAGGCGAAAATACAATTATGAATGAATATGATGATTACAGCTTTGACAATGAATATGGTGACTTTATGTAGCGACTTAAATTCTCTCCATCATCATTATCATCATCATCTAGTCGCCAAGGAAAAGGAATCTTTTATGAAAATTATTCGTTCTCACGCCACGTTTAACACTTATTCTCAAAGAATTTGTATGTGCTTTTTTTAAGAGAGAGACAAAAAAAACTAGAATTTGCCTAATTGAGAAATGTTAAACAATTGATTTTCTTTTAAACGGCGATTAAGAATTTTTTACATAAATATAAAGGTCTATGAATTTTCTTTTAATTGAAATATTAACGAATTTAACACTTTAAAAAACAAATTTTTCTGAATGTTCTTTTAAAATTTAATTTCAAGCGAGATTAGATTCTACTTTACATCACAGTGCTTTAAAACTTAATTTTACAAATGCAGAAGCCATAAGAATTTTTTTCTGCTCGTATGATGATCGATTTGTTTCTCATTGTCAGGTCTTCAACGATAACAATTGTTGTTTAATGAAAATTATAAAGAAAAAAAAAACAAAAAAATTATGTATCCAATTTAACATTTTACCTACTACATATGTATATAAATGCTCGCGTACACACACAAACACACAAGTATGACAGGTGTGGATGTAAGTTGGTTTTAAAGAGTATATTCCTAAATAAAGGTTGATTGTAAAGATAATTTTCACGAATTCCTTTTTTATTTCTTCATATTCAGCGAATCGGGAAAATTTTAATTGTACTCCCAAAATTAAGTCAACTTAAAATTATTATAAAATATCAGGCTTTGTATACGATTTGATATTTGAATACTTTTTTTTTAGATTTGTGACATTAAAATCCACTTTTTTCTATTTTTGAAAATTTTCACTATATTAAATTAGCTATAATAGTTGGAATAAAGAAAGTTTATTCTAAAAATTTTTAATAAAATTCTCAGAAACAATTCGACAAATTTTAATCAAATTCTTTCAAACGATTCAATTATTTTCAACAATTTTTCGAAATTCATTTTCAATGTCTACTGTTTTACTAAAAAATTTAATAAAGTTCTTAGCAAGAATTAAATTATTTTTATAAATAATAAAATTCAATTATTTATGAAATATTTTATAAATGATATCTTTGCAAGAATTCAATTATTTTCAACAATTTTTCGAAATTTATTTTCAATGTCTACTGTTTTACTAAAAAATTTAATTATTTAAAAATTTAATAAAGTTCTTAGCAAGAATTCAATTATTTTTATTAGAACTTGTTCTTTTGCGTGGGGTTGCTGGTCCTCTATCGGACGCGTGCCAGGTGGAGGAAAGGTTAGCTTCCTAGAAATAGGTGGTATCGAGAAAATCAAATACTCGACGCGGACCAAAACCAGCAAACAAGAAACATCCATCATGAGCGATTGTAAAAACGAGGAAGAGTACCTGCGGGGTAATGCTACGGCTAAATCCCTCACTGGTTCCGATCGTCAAGCCCATAGCGTGGGGACGGTGGCCAGTGGCCCAAGGATGCAGGAGGGCAACAACGCGTTGGGAGTCCCACAGATCATCGTGGACAGATCGGAGAGACGAGGGAGTACGAGCAGCGTGACGACTCAAGCCAGCTGCATTTCTGTCTTCAGTAATGCTTCTGCGATTGACACTGCTAGCTGCAATGAGGATCGAGATGAATGTGTGAAGCTGCGGGAGGAAGAGGCAGCGAGCATTCTAGAAATGGAGGAGGAGGAGGTCAGCAAGATGCTGAAGTCCTGTGAAGTCCAGAAGAATGTCAATAGGACAATCAAGGATGGACTCAGAAGCATAAGAAGGTTCGAAGGGAGGCTGACCTGGAGGCCAGCCAGACAAGAGTTGTGGGAGCTTTACCCACTGAAAAGGGAGACCTTCTCATTAAAATTGGAGGGTCTTCAAACAAGCAGCTGTTCACCGAGGAGGTGACAAAGGTAATCGGCGATTTGGGTGAGGTGCAGATGGCGGTCCGGCAAACTACGTTGGAAATCCGCGATATGGACGCCCTTACTGAAAAGGAAGACGTTTTGAATGCCCTAGAGCAAATCTCTACGGTGCCAGCAGGGAGCAGAAAGGTGACGGTCCTTGGTTCGTGTCCTGCCAGGTGAGAAGAAGAGCTACGGTCACAAGGTGACATAGGTAGAGATTGCCAAGCGGTAGACAGGTCGGCTGCGTGCTTCAAGTGCAGTGAAGCTGGCCATAAAGCAGCAGATTGTAAGAAGAGCTCATGCTGCTTCTTATGCCAGGCGAAGTTCGGCGAGAAGGAGGACATCCAACACGTCGCCGGATCAGGTCGGTGCAAGGTCTTCAGGACTGCCTTAGAGGAAGCTAAGAAGATCCTGTCAAGAACAAGGAGGAAATAATGGCCAGAAGAAGAGCGGCACGGAAGAGTCGCGCCAGCGACTAAATGGGACCATCCATCTGCGAAGTCTGAAGCCGTAAAAAGCAGGTATGTGAGGTTTCTTTTTTTTCCTTGCATTTTGTGCGAGTCCGACATACCCCAGGTAAGTGGGATCTTCCTGGGCATGCGTAAATGCATTTCCTCTTCTCCCCCGTGAATAAAAAAAAAAAATTATTTTTATAAATAATAAAATTCAATTATTTATGAAATATTTTATAAATGATAACTTTGCAAGAATTCAATTATTTTCATAAATAATAAAACTCATGGCTAGATTTCAATTATTTTGAATACAATTTTAAATAAATTCCTCGAAAAATGCAATTATTCTTAAAAATAATTCTTTGAAACAATTTTGATATAATTTAATTCAATTATATTTTAAGATTTTAATAAAATTCTTAGAAACAATTTGACAAATTTTAAACAAATCCTTCCAAACGATTCAATTATTTTCTACAATTCTTCGAAAATCATTTTCAATATCTACTGTTTTAAAAAAATTCAATTATTTAAAAATTTAATAAAGGTTTTAGCAAGAATTCAATTATTTTTATAAATAATAAAATTCTTCTCAGGAATTCGATTATTTTTGAAATATTTTATAAAATATTTCTTTGCAAGAATTCAATTATTTTCATAAATAATAAAACTCATCGCTGGATTTCAATTATTTTGAATACAGTTTTAAATAAATTCCTCGAAAAATGCAATTATTCTTAAACATCATTCTTTGAGAGATTTGAATTATTTGAAAAAATTTTGATATAATTTAATTTTTAAAATTTAATAATTATTTTCAATAACTCTGTAATTAAATTTCTTGAAAGAATTTAAATATTTTCAAAAATTTTAAAGAAATTCTTCGTAAACAATTCAATTATTTTCAAAAAATTTTATAAAATTCTTCGTAGAAATTTATTTAATTTAAACAATTTTTCGAATTCAATTGTTTAATTAATTTAATTTATTTTAATTTTAATTAGTTGTAATACATTCTTCGAAAAATGCAATTATTCTTAAAAATGTTATTAAAATTCTTCGAAAGAATTCAATTATTTAAAAAAATTCCGATAAAGTGCTCTATGTATAATAAACGAATTTTAAGAAATACCTATTCAATTATTCAATAAATTATTTTTCTTTGTATAATTAAATAATTGAATTGTTGTAGAACTTTCTGCAAAGAATTGATTTAAAATTAAATTTAAAAAAAAATGTTTATTTTGAAATGTTTAAAAATTTAAATTTATTGTAAAACTCTAATAGTATTTAAATGTTTATTTTTAAATAAAATAATTAAAGTTATGAACTATAATATAATAATTTTATTTAAAAATAGTTCAATTTTAAAAATGCTTTAGATTTAAATCAGTTGAAATATTTTAATGCCTGTGGAAAAAGAAATAGGTATTTAAATACTTATTTGAAAAAAATTATTCTATTTTTGAATATAATTTAATTTAAAAATAATGGAAAAATTGAGTCGTCAAATTTAATTTTTCCCTACTTTTTCCAGTCTTAAAGCTACTTTTTTAAAATTAATTTTCGAGTTACTCTAAATTAATGTAAGTAAAAAATAGTTTAAAAATTAAATAACACCTAAAATAAAATGATTCAGACAATTATTTGCATTCAATAAATTTTATTTTTATTCATAATTGTTCATTAATTAAATTTTATTTCTATATTTGGTATTTTTAAACGTAAAAAGTATTTTCGAAATAAAAATAAAATTATAATTAATTCTCATAAAAAAAAAAAAAAAAAAATTTCGTTTCAAATGGGACTAATTTTTCTAAAATGTATAGAAGGATCCCCTACAATAAGAAACGGAATAAAATACTTGTTCGTTTATTTAGTTTCTTTGCAGATACATGAATGTTCTTCATGAATGAACTTTAGAAAAATATTTTTTCAATTTCTCGCTGCATCTGAAAAAAAATTCAAAAATTAGAACTTACCTTCCTTCTTAAATATTGGCTCGATGGGAATTATTATTTTGACGAATTTCTTGAATGTGAACCAGAAGGATTATTGTCCAAAAAACAAAAGAAATTGACTAAGAGTCCAGGCAAGCAACAAAGAAGTTCTGCTTCATGAATTTTTTTGTCCATATCCAGAAACAAATGAAACCTAATCGAAACACTTGATTTTAATAATCTTTTTTTTTATCTTGCCAATGAAAAATCACAAGGCACATGATCACTAATCACATTTCTACATTTTTCTTTTCTATCACAAAGCTATTAGACTTTTAATGTTTTTTTCCTTCTATTTTTTTTTTTTTTTTGTAAATGTCTAAGAAAATAACTTTGAAACTATCACAGACACATAATGAAAAAAGAAACTTCTCAATAATTTCCCCTCTATAGGCAGAAAAAAAGAACAAACCATTCACAGCACCACTAACTATTTTTCTTTTACTCTCAACTCTAAATGACTTTTGTTAAATAATATTTAAATTCGTGGATTTAAAAACTTTTTGCATCAATTTTCCTTTTTTTCAAGTGTTTTTCTTTTTTCAGTTTAATTCACTGAACTTGGAAACCAAAACTTCACCCATTTTAAAAAAAAATAAATTTCGTTGAACTATGTTTTTAATTCTCTATTCCATAGCCCAAAGTTTTTTTTCAAAGTTTTCCTTTTTTTTAAAACAGTCATCATCACTATTTGCAGTTAAGAATTTTTTCGATACTAACTAACCAAATAATTTTATAATTATTACAAGTATCTTAAATTTATATAATATGTAGATAGATATCAAAAATTAACATTACAAAATTTGTAAATCGAAATATGAAAAATTTCTAAATAGATTAAAATTTTTACGATCAAAATTATTTTGTATTAAATAAATAATTAATAATTGATTTCATCCTCCTAATAGAAATACTTCACGAATTTTACTCAAAATGAATTGTAATCACAAAAAAAAATTACTGTTAAGGAAAAATTTGAGAAACTTGAGGCAAACTTTTTTTTCTTTAAATGTAAAACTGATATTAAAAAAAAAAAACACAGACACGGGAACAAAACACTGTGATTGTGGAAACTCAAAGAATTTGAAGGTAGACATCATCGGAGATATGAAATTAAACCATTGGTCGAGTTTGTCTGCATAACGGCATCTATTTCGTTTAAACACCATACCTCTACACTTAGCCACTGCACCTTTTGATCGCCACCGAGGTTGCAAAGGGGAATTTTTTTTTCTTTTTCTAATCATTTTTCATTTTTCTCTCAAATTCTCTTCCAATCTCCGGAGCGATTATCTTTATATATATCTATTAAACGTTCCGGAAATCAGTTTTTTAACCCCAGCATCCTCGAAGGCGAGAACACATCACTTTTTTTTCGTTTTCATCTTTCTTTTAATCTTTTTTTTTACATCATCACTATACACATTTTCGATTAATGACCACCAAACACTGACCTTTAAAAAAAAAAAAAAGTGTCCGCACTTATTAACAAAACTGAGACGTCGCATTCACAAAAATAAATTTTCAATTGTTATAAATTTCTTTTCCTTTTCTTTTTTTAAATAATATATGTATAAAAGAGGAAAAATTTACTTTTTAGACTACCGAAATATTGTTCTAATTTTTCTTTTTTTAAATTAAAAAAAAATTTCTTTTCACTGTCCTTTTTTTCACTGTTGGTTTACCTCACAAGAAAATAAAAGACACTTGGCACTTAATTTTAATAGTCACGAGAGACTTAATTTCTAAATTAAAAATTAAATATAATCGTCGTACATTGTTTTTTCTTTTTCTCTGAGAAATATTCATATTTTGTGACAATTTTTTTCTCTCTCATTGATTTCCAGAATGCCGAACGTCGCAGACTATCTAAATTCGTTCAAGTTGTAATATCTATTCTTAAAACATAAAAAAAAGGGTATTTGTTAATCGTAGTTCATATTATATGAAATGCTAAATCAAACTTTAAAATTACATAATGCGACTTTCAATTAATAATAAATTGTCGAAGAATTACAAATGGAAGATCATAATAGAGAAGTCGAATAATAATGAACTGTACATTAGGGTTTTTTTTGCATTTAAAATCGCATTTCCTTCATCTAACTTTTGAGACAAAAGCAATTTGTCTAATTGTGTGCCCTTGATAAAACAAAATATCAAAATAATGCGAAAATCTTTTACTGTATAGTGTAAATTAATGTTTACTTGAAAACTCAAAAACTCTCCAGACATTTTTTCTTTTCTTCTCTCCCTCTCTTTTTCTGAATATTAATCTTAATACTAAATTCATAGTGGAATTAAAAATTTTATTTTTAAAACAGAATTCGTATAACTTGTTTTTAAACTGAAAAAATAGAAAAATATTTAGAGGTCATTTGAATTTGTTTATTAAATTTATTCTTTTGTAAAAAAAATGATTATTAATTATTACTATTATTATTGCTATTAAAATTATTATTACTACTACAATTATTATTTACTATTAAAATTTCTACTACTATTAGAATTTTTAATACTATTGGAATTATTAATGTTTTTATTTGAATAAGTATTTTTTCAATTAATCTATAATTTTAAATTAAAGACAGTTTATCGTTTCAAATCGTTTTAAGGGGAACCAATACTTTTAACTACATTAAGAAAATAATTTAAATATTCCACAAACTTATTTTTAAGGTAATTTTTTGTGAGGAATTCAATGATCACAACATAACATCGGTCAGAAGATATTTTTACCCTTATTTTTCTTAAAAATTAGTAGATTTTGAAATCCATGAGTAATTTTGTAGAAAACATATTTTTGAATCAACAAGAAAATTGCCAAATGAAAAAATTGGTATTTTTAATTTTCGAAGCATTTTTTTAAAAAAAAATCTGCTTTTATGTTGAAGATGCTAAAATATACGTCATTATTATTAATTTTTTTAAATGAAGATTCGTTTGTTTATTTTTCTAATGAATTTCAGATAATAATGTTATTTTTGTATATAAAAAAAATAAAAAATATTAGAAAATTATGATCTGAAATTATAGTTAGAAAAATAAGCAAATGAATTTTCAAATAAAACAATTGAATAAAAATGGTATTTTTTAATATTTCCAGTCTAAAAACAAAGGCTGAAAAAGCTCACAAAAAACTACCTTAAAAATAATTTTGTAGAATATTTAAAATATTTTCTCGACATATAGTTAAAAATATCATTGTACCCTCCCCTTAAATTTTAAATTCGAAAAAGTTGAATGAAAATATCCACTACTTTTCTCTTTTTCAGAGAAAAGTACATTTTTCGAAGAAAAATAAAATAAAAATTAACAATAAATTATAATTTAATAATATTAATTTATAATATTCGATATTAATTTACTAAAATATTAATTAATCGATATTAATTTACAATCTTTAATTATATTAATTCAAAATATTCGAATTTGCAAACATTCAACTTAATTTATAAAATTAAAAAAATATTTCAAATTTCACTTTGAAACAAACTTGACAAAAAAATTGAAGAATAAATTTAATAAACTCGAGAACCTTTAAATATTTTCTATTTATCGAACAATTTTATGGGGAAAAAAAGGTAAAGTTTAAAAGCCCTCAAGAAAAATAAATAATTTTTGCACTTGAAAAAATGACCGAATGCAAAAAAATTGAAAAATAATTTCTAAATTCCCTTCTAATCTCAAATGTACACAATTTTTCGATTATTTCACAAAAATTAACGGAAGTAAATAATACTGAGGGCAAAATTATTCGTACCAAAATCCTTGAAAAAAAGATAAAATGTCACTTCTGTTTGTTTTTGAGAAAAAAAAACAGGACTTTGGTACACATATATAATTTGAAAATCGCATTCTTTTTTACTTTAATTTTATAAAGTATCTCTGTAAATAAAAAAAGTTTTAGGCGCTACCTCCCTTTACGACGACTATTACCAAATGATCCTCTTTAAGTCCCTCCTCGCTTAAACTGGGACACGTACGTTTAAGAAGTTCGGTTGAGAAAGCGCATGGTGGGAAAGCGTAAAGAACACCTGTACCCTCGGTGTCTTTATTCAATAGCGATATCACACCGGCCGCCTCTTTTTGCTTTAAATACGAAACTAAATTGCGCAATGGTCGCGTTTGTACATTGGCGTCGTCATTAGTAACAGCCGAACTTGAACCGGCGAGTCCCAGGAAGATGGCGTGCGAACTCGAGGTTTGAATTCTCTTCGACACATCGTCCAATTTCGGTTGATCCAAGCGTAATCTCTGCGTAATTCTCAGCATGTGCTTTCCTTCCTCGTCCTTCATCAATGACTCGATTATCTCCGTGTCGCCGTCAGTCAGATGGAATTTAGCCGGGAAGAGGGAATTTTTCAGAATTAGCGCACCCTGCCAGACGGCGATTGACTTTCTGGCAACGTCCGAGAGTGTTCTTGATGAGGAGAGCATTCCGGAGCGTGCCAATTCGGTGTCGGAGTCGGAATCAATTGGTCGCCGTCTTGGGGATCGGGATCGTGAACGATCGACGCCGGGTTCACGGGAAACGGATCTTCGAACACCACGACCCTCGTACTCGGTCTCACCGGCAGCGCCACGTCGATTGTTGCTGTTCCACTCGGCGTCGTCGCGAACATAGCCTTCTGGGTAGCTGCCTCGATAGCCACCGCGACCACCACCGCGTCTCTCGTGCCAAGGACCTGATCCTCTCCCTCCTCGGAAGCCACGTCCACCACTGTAGCCGAATTCGCCCTCGGTGGGATATGGATCGTAAGGCGATTCATAGTCGGCGGGTCTTGATCTGAATTCGCCGCCGCCTTCCTCCGGATACATTCGGGGTTTGAAACCGTAACCTGGCGTGACATCGGCAAAGTCGACTCGCAGTCTCCGATCCGGACCTCCTAGAGGGAAGCCTCGCATTTCCTTCACCGCTGCTTGTGCCGCGTCGATCGAATCATAGAGAATGTAAGCGTTATTATCACCCTTGATGTAGTCGATTTTCTTAATAGCGCCGAAGCGATCGAACTCCCTCTCGAGCTGTGGCACCGACGTCCAGGGTCCAAGCCCACCGACCCAAATCCTAGTCGTTGGGGTCGCCTTTCCATAGCCGATTTTGCACTGAAATTTACCAATGTACTGACCTGAGAGTTCCACCTTACATCTGTGGGCCATATCCAGTGTTTGGAATCTAACGAAAGCGTACGCATTCCCAGTGCCTGGTGGCGGGCGTTTAATATCAATATCATCGACAATTCCGTACTTATTAAATATACGGCGAAGTTCCTCCTCGGTGATGTTTATCTCCAAATTACCGGCGAAGAGCGTTCTCGTTGCCAAAGGATCGTCCTCGGGCGACACATGGTGGAGATAATTTGGAAATTTGTCCTTCTTATTCTCGACGCGTTCGAAACCGTGCACCGGATGTCGCACCATCATGTGACGTGGTGGTCCATAGTGATGTGGAGGTCCACCGGGATGAACGTGCGGTGGGCCGTGATGCATTGGCGGTCGGATGAAATCGTGATGTGGTGGTGGTAAGGTTTCGCGTCTCATTTCACGATGTGGTGGGATTCCAACCGGTGGTCCATAGACGCGATCGTATCTCTCAATGGGACGATGTCTATCGGTCGGCGCCGGTGATCGCGCGTAATAACGATCATAATCGGGCGGTGTCATTGAACGGGGACGACGATACGCCGCCTCGGGACGCTCATAAGCAGCGTCAACAATTGCAAGTTTATCGTAAATAATAACACGTGGTTTTGCATATTTCGCGTCCCTCGCGTCCTCATGACTACGAAAACACACATAAGCAACACGCTCGTCCAATTCGTGCGCTATTCTTATGGAGAATTCGCCAAATTTCTTATATTCACGATAAAGTGTGTCCTTAATCATTTCGTCACTAGCCTTTGGATGTATTGAACTCACACACAGAACCTTGTAGTAATGTCTTTCGGGTGGGATTTCACGTGGTGTACGCTGATAGTCCTCACGATGTGATCCTGATTCAATGTAACGTGCATGAGATGTTGCTCGTCCCGATGGCGAGGGACTCCTCGCACCACGGCTACGACGTCTCATTCTGTCCGGTGATATTCTCTCGTCACTGGAATCATCATATCTGCAAGATAGAACATTAATTCATCAAATAGAAATTCAATAATTTATCAACAACAATAAAGACACACATACAAAATTTACTTATTTTTGTAACGATTCCGAGAAAAATTTACTCTTTCCCGTTAAAGAAAGTGACTTTCTCTTTATTTGTTTGTTGATAAATTATTTCTTTGTATTTTGAATTTACTCCTTTTTTTCATTTATAAACATTAGTATACAAATAACAGAAAGGGGAAAATCTTCCCCATTTTCCCGTTCCTAAAGTTTCAAACGTTCAAATGAGAATTTTACTTCTTTAATTTTCTATATTCTGTATAAATGAATTTTTTATTAACCTTCGGAGAACACATGGGGTCTTTTTGACCCCACGCTTTTTTACGAAAAGCTTTTTATCTTTTTTTAATATTTTTAATAAGGACTTTCAAGTATACAGACTTATTCTACAGAGTTTAAACTATAATTAAAAAAATTCTTTAGCTTGATTAGATGAGCAGTTTAAAATTGGTTGAGCTTTGAAAAATAGTCTAAAAAAGAGGTGTGTTCTCCGAGGGTTAATAAGTAAATGTTGATTGATTTTTCTTTTTTGTATCTAATTTTTAAAAATACCTCAAAAAATTCCTTCCCTTGAACGTTCAAAACTTTAGGAAAATAAATGTTCATCCCCAGGCTTGCAATAAAAAAAATTAAATATCCCCTTGCGTTGAATTCGATTCATAAAATATTTAAATTTGTAAAAATAATTTCTAAGCGTCTTTACTTGTAGATATAATGTTTATTCATAAAAAAAATTCAGGGAAAGTTTAAAAATAAGATAAAATATTTTTTTCTTGCTTCAATTCAATTAAAGCATATTCAGTAATAGAATTTTTATAAAGCAGAATAGAAGACTGATTAATAAAGAATAATACAGGCCTCGGATCGAATTTAAAGAGCAGAAAAAATTCTTCAGTTGATTAAAAATGCAAGAAAAGATGAAAAAGTCGTTGTCAGAAATATTTATTTCTCTTGATTTTTCACTGAATTCTAAATCACTTTTTATTTAGTTAAATTCTTCTTTATATTTAATTTTTTAATTAAATTCAATTTAATTTTTAAACTATTTAAAACTTAAATAATTTTGTTAAAAAATATTTAAATACTTATTTATTTTCTCAACAGAATTAAAATTTTCAAATTTCCAATTTCAATGATTATGAAATTGAATTATTTCTTAAAAAATTACAACTGTAATTTTATTTGCAATCATTTTTCGAAAGTTTTTCGAGAATTGAATTATTTAAATTAAGAAAATTTAATTTTTTTATAATTGTAACTGGAACTATTGTTAAAAAAAGTTATCATGAAGAATTTTTTAAAATAATTGATTTAAAAAAAAACTCCAATAGAAACATTTTTAAAATTAGTTTTTCAACAATATTTTTAAAAGATAAATAAATTTTTCATTCATATTTAATTGAAAAATTTTTAAATAATAGAAATTGTGTAAATATAGTTTGGAAAATATAAGTTACTAAATTTTTGAAAAGTAATAATTATAAACATAAAAATAAATGATTTCTCCAAATTTTTTATAAAAAAGCAGATTTCTAAAAATTTTAATTTACTTTTTTCTATAATCATTGAATTTAAAAAATTTATGATAAAAAAATTCTATGATTTAGTTTTGTAAAAATATTCTAATGTAATTCTTTAAAAATAATTATGATTCTTAAAAGAATTTTCAGAAAATTTTGAAATCTAATCAATTTTTTAATGAATTTTAATACAAAATTTTGAAAATGATTGTTTTCTACAAAATTTTAATAATAATTCAATAATAAATTAAATTTAAAAGAAAAACATTAATTTAATTATTTTTTACAGATATTTTAATTTTCTAAATTATTGAAAATAATTGAATTTTTGAATTTTAAAAAGTTATAATGAAAAAAGTCGAAAAATTACTTTTTTAAAAAAAATTTAATAAAAAATTTCATTTTTTGAAAAATTAGATAAAAATTGTATTAAGGGCATTTGAACCATTATGACGTCACAATTTTAAAACTCATGCTTTGCACACATTGTGACGTCATAATGGTTCAAATGCCCTTAAGAATAATTGAATCTCTAAAAAAAAATTTGATTGAATTGAGAAAAGTTTTTGAAAATAATGGAAATTTTGTCCAGAATTTTATTAAAGTTTTTAAAAATAATTGAATTTTGGAGAAAAAGTTTATTATTTGTAAAGATAATTGAAATAATTGAATTTTTGAGACGAATTTTTTTTAATAATATTTCTTTTTAAATACCTAATTGAATTCTTTTGTTAAATTTTAATGAAATAGTAGATATTGAAAATAATTGAATTTTGATAAATTATTGAAATTAATTAAATTTCTACGAAGAATTTTATTAAACTTATTTTGAAAAAAATTGAATTGTTAAAAAGAATTTCATTAAAATTTTTGAAAATAAGTTAATTCTTTCAAGAAATTTAATTAAAAATTTATTGACAATAATACTTCAATTCTAATAAATAAATTATAGGAAGGCTTTTTAAAATACCTAAATGAATTTCTTTGATGAATTTTAATAAAATTTTTAAGAATAATTACATTTTTCGAGAGATTTCATTAAAATTATATTAAAAATAATGGAAATTCTGCTATGAGTTTTATTATTTATGAAAATAATTGAATTATTGCGAAGAAATTTATAAAGAATTTTTGTAAATAATAGAATTCCTGTGAAAGTTTTATTATTTATGAAAATAATTGAATGTTTGCGTAGAATTTTATTCAAATTTTTTTTAATAATGGAATTCTTTTGGAAAATTGAATTATTGCGATGAAAAATTGTAAACTCAACTCATTTAAAATTGAATTAAATTTGAAATATTTAAGAAAAATTAGATTTCAAGAATAATCACAATAACTTTTTGATATAATATAAATTTATATTAAATAAATTTTCCAGAATTCCGATCGAAATTCCCTGGCTTTTCCAGGATTTCCAGGTTGCGTGTCAATCCTGATTACTATTTGAGAATTGAATTACTTTTTAAAATTTGCAATAAATTAACATTCTTCAAAATTTTTATAAAATACTTTAAAAATCATTTATTTTCAATAAAATTTTACAAAATTTCAATTATTTAAAACTTTTTAACTATTTAAAAAAAATTCAATTATTTTCCAATAATTATTCAAAATTTTGAAAGATTTGACTATAGTTATGTTTGACACTATAAAAATCCAAATTTGCAGTTTATACCAAAAAGTGCTATTTTGTTGCAATATTTGGAAGAAAAGTCGAAAAAATCGCATTGTTTTGAAAATAAGTAAAAAAGTCAAACTATCCGAGGCCTAATAATATAATTTACAGAAACTACACATAAAGAATTTGTAATCAAACGGATCACTGTAAAAACTTCAAAATAAATTCACAAACATTTAGTACAAAATTTTCTTAAATCATTTGTAGTGTAATTTCTATTTCATTCTTCTTTCTATTTAAATTTCTCTAAATATTGTGATGGTAATTTATTAAAATTTTGAACAAAATTTATTTTAGAAACTTTAGAATAAAATTCACACGACAAATGATATTAATTTCTCTATAGTGTAATATTTGAAATTGAATTCTTTACAGTGGACCTAAATTAAAATTGTAATACTTTTCCTTCTTTCATTCTTTTTTTTCGGAAGAACATCCGCTGCTGAAACTAAATCTGGAATAGGGCAATTTAATTTTCTTCATGCACCAGAACAAGTTTAATTGAATCACCACAAAAGGACTTTGAAACCTTGCACAATATTTTTTAATTAGTATACAAGTACTCACTGTTTATCACATAAGCAATAAAAACACTGCATCAAACTAAGCTCTCACATAATCTTTTATCACGCACAACTTTTATCATACTTAGAATTCAAATAACCAAAAATGAAAAACAAAACTTTACGATATTAGAAACTTTTATAAATTCACAAAAAGAGTTGATGTATTTTGCATATTATTTGAATTGTAAATTTGGAATATTTATGAACTGCAAAAATTTTTTTATACTTATGCACATTTGATATAATACACTTTTAGGCAAAACTTAACATGCATTCACTAAATTTATATTAGGAGAATCAGCATATCACAAATGAAAAATAAACATTTAATGCAAAAAATCAAAAACACTAATTCGAAGAAAATTTATCCAAATTTTGATATACACAAGAGAAGAACTTAAAGCAACGCCATTGTATATATTTGTATGCGATAACGTAAAGATAATGAAAGCCAGTTTTTTTTCTTTTGAAACTTTTTGTTACACTGAATTAATTTTCTTTTTCTTTATTTTTTATCACCTAGTCATTATGATCAAGAAACAATAGAAAATTCTGTACGTATTCCAGCATACCGTCCGATTGAAGATCTGCTCCGTTTGACGCGAGTCGGCGGTGAATCACGACTTGTACTTCTTTTCATGGTATTGCGTATTTTAACCGTGATCTTATGCCGGTCGTCCCGTGGAATCCCAATCATCAACGCTGACTAATTATATTGTAATCGAACGTCGAACAGCGGCTTTATAAAAACACACTTTTTATTTAATAATCAAATAATGAGAAACAAACACCCACAAATAAAAACGCCCTTTTTAATTTAGACCTTTCTTTCACCAGTAAAATGGCGTAGGTAGCTTTGCTTCGACGACTTTGACACTTCTTCTTCTTCCGGTTTTATTGTTAGGCTTTAATCACATCACTTCCGGTTGTTGCGGGCAATGCGTCTTCTATTGGTCCATTCTTGGACAAGTTCTACATTAACCGCCAATATTTGAATTTTATACCTCAAACTTTATTTTCTTTAAATAATGGAGTTTCTTTAATAATTTTAATTAAAAATTTTGTAAATAATTGTATTTTATGAACAATTTCTTTCAAGTTTTTAAAATAATTGTGTTTGTTAATAATTTGAAATTAAACATTTAATTATTGGATTTTATTAAATTTTGAGAAGTAATTGAATTCTTTTGAAAAATTTTGAAACGAATTTAGAAAAAATTTTACTTTTTCCTGGAATTTTTTTTAAAAATGATTGAATTTTTTCGAAAAATATTATTAAAAATTAAAAAAAAATTGAATTCTTTCATGAAATTTTATTAAAATTATATTAAAAATAATTGAATTTTTGCAAAGAATTTTACTATTTATAAATACAATTGAATTGTTTCCAAGGATTTATTAAAATTTAAGAAAATAATTGAATTTTTTCGAAAAAATTTTTTAAAAATTGAATTCTTTTGTGTAATTTTTTTTGAAAATAATTGAATTTTTGCAAAGATATTATAACGAATTAAGAAAAAAATTGATTTCTTTCGTGAAATTTTTTTTAAAATAATTGAATTGTTTTGAAGAATTTATTAAAATTTTAGATAATAATTTTATTCGTTCGTGAAATTTTATTAAAATTTTGTTGAAAGAGAATTGAATTTTGGCAAAAAATGCAACTATTTATAAAAATAATTTAATTCTTACGAAGACTGTTATTATTTATAAAAATAATAGAATTCTTGCGAACAATTTTATTAAAATTTTTGAAATTTGTAAACAAGAATAGTTAAATAGTAAATTAGTTAATAATAGAATTTTTTTAAAGTTTGAATCTGAAATTATTCAAAAATTCATATTTGAAAATGAAAAATTTTGTAATTTGCATAATTAATAATAAATTGAATATCATGTTCTAGGAGCTAGTGCGCGTATTATTTACTATTGTAATAATAATTGCATTTGAAATAAAATTTAATTATTTTGAAGTTTAAATTCGCTGACAGAAAATGATTTTTATGATAAAATTAATTATTTGTGGATAATTAAAAAAGATTTTTGGTTAACTTTTAGTTATTTTTTTATTTAAAAAAAATTAGAGTTAAAAATAATGTAAATCGTTTACTTTATTCTCTCCAGTAGCAAAAATAGATTAAAAAAAAGAAATAAATACTTAATATACTTTACGAAACTAATCTTTAAAAAAATATTTAGTACCTGAAAAATTCAATTATTTCAATGTAATTTACATTATCACAACGATGAATATTATCAATTCTCGCTCATACGTTGTACGTCATTGTTAAGTGTATCAATCATCAATGACCCAAAGAACGTTTACACCAGACATTCCGAGGTTAACACGTCCTAACATTCCATGATCTTGGGTCTTCACAATATAGAGAAAGAGTAAAAGAGTGTGAAACATATTATTCCTCCCCTGAAAAATGGTTTACAATAATCAAATTAATTTATAATATTTTAATCTAAAAAGATTAAATAAATTATTATAGAAATACTATATAAAAATAACTACTATATAATAGAATTATTACTAATTATTACTATATTATAGAAATACTATATAAAAGTAACTACTATATAAAAATTATAGAGATTAAATAAATAATAAATTTTCCAACTTATTTTTTTTGATCAATTAATTGATTAATTCCTTAAGTGCAAGTGGCAAAGATTTTATGGACAAATTTTCGCCATCGGCATTCAAAGGCTTAATTAATTAATTAATTAGGAAATATTAAAGAAAGAAAAAAATGTTATACCCTTGGAATTTCTTCGTAATCAGCAGCTAATGAATCGCCAGTAAGCGATAGACAATAATTTGGAGGAATTACAGATTGACAAACGATTATCGGTCCTTTTGTTCGAGGCAATTCAATTCCACTTTTTGCCGTGTATCTCGAGGTAAATGAACGAGCGTCTGGTTGATCCAAAGGAGCTTCTAATTGTGTGTCCATATAGGTTGAAACCAGATGCATTATAATCTTTAAAAGAAATTATATCGGAAAATGAGGATTATTGATTATTTGATAGAAATCACAAGTCTGAAATTTGTTTGATTGAAAGTAATTAGATACACTCAGAGTAACTATGACGTAGCAAATCACAGAACAAAGAAAATTCTAATCAGAACGATTAGAATTCAAAAATTTTGATCTCTTGCTAAATTAATCATCATTGTGTAACGCTAATAAAATGTTACTTTTAAAATTAAATTAAATTAAATTAAATTAAATTAAAAATGAAAATACACAAGAAAATGCTGACAATACATTTATATGTGACCGGGTCTGAGAAAAGGGACCTACTTACCAAAAAATCGATTTTTTTTATGATGGTTTCTTATAGTTTAAGGTCCTAGAAATACAATGCAATCAGTCCAGATTGTTAAAAAAATTTTTTTGCAATTGTTTAAACAAATTTAAAAAAAAAATTTTTTTTTAAAAGTTTTTTTATGAAAATATAAGTAATTTTAAGACAAAAATTACTCTTAGTTGTCTAAGTGGTCAAGAATATTTCCCCTAAATCTTATATTGAATGCCTAAACCATTTACATAAAATTGGACTTAATTCCTCGAAGATGATCCCCAAGTATACCCCGTCATCGGCAACCTGGTTGTGCAAGTCAAAAAATAACTATGGATTATTGTAGAGTTCAGAATTATTCATTATTGTACCAGTTCTGAACTTGCATAAAAAATTTCAGACCTCTAGGACATTCGGAAGTCTTTTAAATTAATTTTGAAAATTCCATAATTTGACTTTTGCAAAATAAATTGTTTATAACAATTACAGGGTTGTTTAAACAATTATTTAACCATGAAAATTGGATTCAGCATAAAAAAATACATAAAGAACACTCATCATGTTAATTTAAATGTAAAATGTTTCAAGAAATCTAATTTATTTGGATAGAAAACTTTAAACGCGTTTTTCTCGAAAAGTTGATTTTGGTAAGTAGGTCCCTTTTCTCAGACCCGGTCACATATGTGAATATTTTCAATAATAAAATTATTCGAAATATTAATATTGCCTTTTTTACATAAATATTTAATTATTTTTTTTAATTTAAATTCAAATTTTCGGAAATTTCAAGTTTTTTGAAATTTAATATTATTTATAAAAATTGCAACTGCAACTCCTCCAAGATTCAGTTTCTTTTCGAATTTTTAAGTAAAATTATTCTCTAAATCATTTATTGATAATAATTTTAAAAAAGTTTTTCGAAAATTAAATTATTTAGAATAAATAAATAAATTGCATTATTATAATTATTCAATTAAAATTTTCAAAACTTGCAATCTAAAATTTTCTGAAATTCAATTATTGCTAAAAATTGCAACTGCAATTTTTCAAAAATTCAGGTCTTTTTAGAATTTTAAAGTAAAATTATTCGCTTATATCATTAATTACTGATAATTTTTTTAAATTTTCATCGATTTGAATTATTTAAAATAAATAAATTGATCAATTGCTTATAATAATTATAAAATTATACGAAAAATGATTTTTTTAAAAAATTAATTGAAATTTTAATTTGATCAAATTAATTTATTAAATTATTTTTCAAAAGGAATTTAAATTAAAAATTTTCTGACATTCAATTATTTATATAAAAATTCCAACTGCAATTTCTCTGCAATTTAATTATTTATCAGAAATTTTAATTAAAATTTTTTGCTAAATCACTTATTAATGAAATTTTGAAAAATTTTTTCAAGAATTAAATTATTTAGGATAAATAAATAAATTGCATTAGGTATTATAATTATTAAATTATTCGAAACACTAATATTTTTTTGAAATATTGATGGAAATCTTTAATTGTTAAATTATTTTTCTCGAAAAAAATTGTAACTGTATCTCCTCCAGAATTCAATAATTTTTTGAATGTTTAAATAAAATTATTCCCTAGATTATTTATTAATAATAATTTTAAAAAAAATTTTCCTAATAAAATTATTTAAAATACATTAGTTCAATTGCATATTAACATAAGTTTAATTGTTATTGTCAGATATAGTAAAAAAAAAATAGTTTCACAATTTAAAGATTCAAAGATTTTTTTTCAAATTCGTGATGATTTAAAAGTTTTAAAGCGAACAAAAAAATCAAATAATTAATTTTGTTTTAATATTTTTTAAGGGTATTAGATGTCAAAAACCATAATTTTGATATTTTTCCAGTACTTTTGATAAACTTTTCTGACCTCTCCCTGGTTTTCTGAACCCTGAATTTAATACTCAAAAAAACAGAAAACAAAAAAAAATTGCAAGATAAAGAATTAAAAAATGCTAAAATTTTAAAAATTGTATAAAATTTCGTATTTCAGAACTAATTTCCAAAATTGATTCCTATTATTTTCACTTACTGCTGTATCTGTTGGTAAACTCGAGTCCCATTCTTTTCCATTGTACGAACCTCCACCATTCCATTTAAATTCGCTCATTGATCCTCCCTTAGCAAGAATTTTGATTCTATTTACTAAATAATCTTGATTGTTGCAGAGTTCCAAAAATGGTACCAAAGTCGGAAGCGTTGGAATTGCGGAAGCAAGAGATGATTGCGCCAATTTTCTGAGTTTATCTAATCCAATGTGACCTGGTTGAGAATCACTGAGACCTTGACGAACAAGACCGGAGCATACGTTGTCAATTTCGATTGCAACTCGTTCCACTACCGTTTTACTGATCCACTAAAAAAAGAGAAAAAAATTCATTCAAATAATGAATATGTTAGATAAAAATATCTCTTTTTGCATTATTTTTAATTTGCTTATTTTCATACCACACGAAGATTTGCGGTCCATTGATTTACTTTAATAGCATCTATTCTATATTTTCTCCATATATCTGGTGAACCAAACGATCGTGTCATATTTCCCTCCTCTGCACCAGGACTTGTTGATTTTGATTTATCTGTAAAACGAAATTGCAAATTTTTGTATTTCAAGTAAAATCGATCAATCTTTACAGTATTAAATTAATCAAATCTAAAATAAAATTATTTGAATCAATATGATTTGAACCTGTAATAATGCAACTCGATTTTTAAAATTTTATTACAGTAAACAATCCTTAAAGAATTGTTTTATAATTTAATTCTTTTTATATTTTTACAATATTAAATTAAGGCCTAAAATCTCATTCTACTGGAAATAATTCTTGTTTGACATTTTTGAATGCAAAAAAAAATTTTAAAATAGAGTTGCAGTTCGACTGGTTCAACTGTAAGTTTAATTTTTAGTTTTAAATTTATTGTTAATTAAAATTGTTTGTTTCTTTATTGGTATAATATATTTTTACCAATTGTGGGTGCGAGTTGATAGGCACATCTTCTTAACATTGGCGAAACTTCCCTGGGGCTTCGTGTTGCAGGATGAGACCAAAATGAACTCAAAAGATTTGACGGTTGATCGACGTTTGTCGAATGAGTTGATTTTCTCTCCCTATTGACAACTTCTTTCAAATAATTTTGCAATTCCACCTGATCTTGTATAAAGTCCTCGCCGGCAAAACTTGAATTCATCGACGTATTGAGTGATTTATTGAGAGAACTATTTGCACTCAATAATTTCCTAGGCGTTGGCGAATTACCATATTTACAGAAAGGATTCGCACTCGAATAGTCTTCTAAAAAAAAAGGGAGAAAAAAGAACATGTCAATACAGGGTTGCCACAAAAAATTAATTTTGTTTTTACCTCATTTCCAGACAAAAATTTTTACTTTTTCCCCGAACCTAAAGTATATTCTGATTCGCTCTTAAAATTATTAGATACTCAAAAAAAATGTTCTATTACATTTATTCACGAATTTTTTTAATAGTAAAATCATTCGAAAACATCAATAAATTTTTTTTTAAATAAATATTTAATCATTATTTTTACTCCATAGGAATTAAGATTTTCAAAAAATTTCAAATTCAAACTTTATGAAATTCAACAACTTATAAAGATATTATTATAAAACATGAAGATATCAATCACTCTGAGTCTTCGACTCGGAGTGATCGTTATCTTCATGTTTTATAATAATTTAAATTTCCATAAAATTTTACAAAAAGAAAATATTATTTACAAAAATTTTAATAAAATCCTTCGCAAGAATTCAATTATTTTTAAAAGTAATAAAATTTTTCACATGAATTCAATTATTTAAAAAAATATAGTACAATTCGTTGTAAGAATGCAATTATTTTAATAAATAATAAAATTCTTCATAGGATTTCAATTATTTTTAATACAATTTTAAATAAATTCCTCGAAAAATGTAATTATTTTCAATAATTGAATTGCAAGAATTCAATTACTCTTCACAAATAATGAAATTTTTCGCTGAAATCCAAATATCAAATTTTCAAAGATTTTAATTTTTGAAACATTTTCGAAATTCAATTATTTTTAAAAATTCATGCTATAATGCTTTTAATATTCAATTATTATCTAAAATTTTTATTTATTTTTTAAATCAATTTTTATTAGAAAATTCTACGAGAATTCAATTATTTAAATAGGGTAACTGCACCAATTGCCTAGGGTGCACCAATTGTCGATGATCATAATTTTCTTTTTTAGAAACGATAGTATAATATATAATATTTAAGAACAAAAAAAATTTCTAAATAAACTTTGTATTTTCAACTGTACATTTAGATATTTAAATTTCGTAGCGATTCTACTAAAATAATTACTTAATTAATAATTCACTGCTGTGAAATTTACTCGGATCTCCATTTTCTTAATACTTCAGGTTGATTGAAACAGATTTTTAGAAATGAAAACTAAACGTATTTATAACGACTTTTTGTGTACAAAATTATTATTATAATTTTGTACAAGAACTAAATTAATTTTGTATACATGTTTTTTTGTTAAAAAAAATATTTAATATTTTTTAAAAGTAAATCATCGGTATTTGGTTCCTTTTTTTGACAGTTCCATTTTTCGAGGTAATGACTCGAAAATTGGTTTAGTCACTTTTGTCGCTGATGCACCATTTATCGATGTTTAAGTGTTTATTTACTAAACGTCAAACATAAATGCCAAACATTTACAGGAACAGGGAAAAAGAAAACAAAATGCTCCAAAAATTTACAACCAACAGAAAATAATCAACCAAAAAAACGAGGAAGACCGAAAAAAATTAATAAAAAAATGCATTATTTAAAACTAAGAAATTTTGTATTACAGTTTAATTATAATTAACCATTATATTTACAGTTCACAATAAAAAATTATTTTATTCGTTTACAAATTTAATGTGACTTAAATTAATTTATTTTTTCAATTAATGTCTGAATAACAAAATTGATTTAATTTAATTAACTTATTTATAAAAGTTTAAAAAACAGTTAAATAATTTTCTGTCCTGTATCATCTACTATAAAAAAGGTTTTATATCGATATTATAAATTATTTAATTATAGAATATATTTGTTTTCTGGTAATGTTCTATAATATTTTTATCGAAAAAATAAATATCTACTCGATTTTCAAATATCTGTATAGGGTAATTGTTAGGTTATATTGGGTTATATGTTTAAAAATGTCATACCCTCGACAATTGGAACAGACCCTCGAGAAATTAGCACAAGACCATCGACAAATGGTGCTTTTGCTCGATTGACTTTTAAATATATTTTTTGCTTAACAATCTAGTTTATATTAAAAAAATAAATATGAATATTAAACATTATTAGATCCTTCGTCCAAATATACAAAAATCAAATTTTAAAGTGCATTTACTTCCGAGAAAAAAAATGTCAAAGTCACATGTTGCCTAAAACCATTGACAATTGGTACAGTTACACTACAAAAATAAATAATTTATTAAATAAATTAATGTTTCTGAAAATGGAATTCTCATAAAGAATTTTATAAACATAATTGAATTTTTTCGACGAATTTTAATAAAATTTTCAAGAATAATTACATTTTTCGAGGAATTCGATTAAAATTGTATTAAAAATAATTGAAATCCTGTGAAGAATTTTATTATTTAGGAAAATAATTGAAACTCCGTAAAAAATTTTATTATTTATGAAATAGTTGAATCATTGCGACGAAATAATTAAAAAAAACTGGTAAATAGTTAAATTTCTGTGAAATTTTTATTATTTATGAAAATAATGTAAAGTTTGCTTAGAATTTTATCAACACTTTTTTTAAATAATTGAATTCGTTGGAAAAATTTTATTAAAATAGTAGATATTAAAAATCATTGAAATGAGGAAATTTTTTGAAAATAATAGAAATTTTGACACGAATTTTATTAAAATCTTTGAAAATAATTGAATTTCTGCGAAGAATTTTATTATTTTTAAAGATAATTGAAAATTTGACGAGAATTCTTTTTAATCTGTGAACATAATTGAATTTCTGCAAAGAATTTTATTACTTTTGAAAATAATTGAATATCTGCAATGATTAAAATTTGTAATTTCTCAAAAATTCAATTTTTTATAGTACTTTAATAAAAAATTCCTGACTTTTCCCTGATCAATTCTTCTTTCTCTGACTTTTGTACTTTGAATTTTTTCAACTCACTGCTCTCGTTAAGTATCGGAGATCCTAAACTGTTAGAGTTCCTGCTTAAATTCATGCAGGACAAATTTAGTGGTGAACTTGGTTCCAAGGATTTTTGTACTTTTAGAGTTTCAGTTTTAAACAATGGATCATCGTCAGCAACGCCTAATAATTTTCTTTGCGGTGGATTCAGAACAACTGGTTGAATACTCAAAGTGGTGGCCGTGTAGGAAAAAATATGGTAAAGGGCATTTAAAGCAAAAATCGAAGCCAAGAACCATTCTATCCAACAAAATGGTTTATACGCCATTCCTCCATACAATCTAAAAAGAATACTCCAATTAATATTCAATTTCAATAAAATTCTACACCAAAAACAAAAATTATGAATGAAAATCAGAGTAACTATGACGTAGCGTCTCATAAATCAATTCGAGTTTCAATCAAAACGATCTCAACTCTAATTTCATTGATTTCTGCACTATCGTTTATCATCATATTTTTAAAAACACAAAGAAATTGAATAAGTAATGCAAAAATTAAATACATACATGTCAAAGACAACAATTGCAAGTAGAGTTGAGTTGACAAAAAACCATGTTATACTACTTTTTGCTTTTGTTTGAGAATGTTTAAGACTCAAAGTTTGTTCCACTTGTGGTTTTGCTGTTAAAATCCTAAAATCAAAATAATTCAGTCACTATTTTAAGTAAAGCAAAAATTAAGAGGGAAAAAATGTATAGACAAAAATTATTCTATTAAATCATACCTTGCATTAGGAGAAATGCATTTCATTGGAGAAAGAAAATTACTCATTTTAAAGGGATTTCTTTAAAATTTTGTACAAGAAATATAAAATTTAAATGAAAAGCAAGTGAAACACGTGAAAATTACATTTGTACACTATAAAGTTTGTAAGGTTAGGTTTCCACTCGGCAACGTGTTGTTCGTTAAGTATGAATTTTCCTCACACATCTCGATATTTATTATTTGTAACTATTGTAAATTTTTCAAAAAATTATATTTCGATACTTATGTAAATTTTGCAAGTAAATATTTAGTAAATATAATTAATTCACCGTTTTTATAATATTGAAATTTAAGGTGCCTCTATACCTCCGGTGGATTGGTCAAGCAATCGGCTTGATGAATTTTCACGGTCGGATAACGTAATTTGATTGGCTGTACTAAAGGCGCTTGCACACTTCCAAAATTTTGGGCGAGCAGCGAATTTTCATGGCCTTGAAACTCACATTACTAAATATGATTGGCTCTACAAAAAGCTGCGAGAAAATGTACTTTTGTCAGAGCCAATCATATTTAGTAATGTGCATTTCAAGGTCGTGAAAATTCGCTGCTCGTCTAAAAATTTGGAAGTGTGCAAGCGCCTTAAAGATTCCATTTTCACTGTTTCTAATTAATTTTCAGGAACAGTAAAAATAGAATTTACTATTTGATTAGTGGAAAGATTCGGAAGCTTTCTACGAATTAAATATTAGGATGTAAAAATCCTGCAAGCTGATTGGTAGTTCAAATCAGGGCTATTCACGCAAACAATGCTTTAAAATTCAGTATTCTTTTCACTTCCTCAACTCTTGACAAAATTAGTTCAATTTTTTATTATTTGTTCAAAATATTCGCATTATGGTTATTGATTAAGCAAAATTGTATTATAATTCGATAATAACATTGGAAATTAAAGGAAATATTCCATAAAATATTGAAATTGAACAACACGATTCGTTGTGAATGAGATTTGGCGCCAACGCTGCTTGCAATTCGTCAACCAATCAGGAGAGCTCATTCATGTCTGACTTCACTTCCTTTTGGAATTCTCGTCCAGTTCACGTCGTGTTTGTTCAAGTTCCCAAAGATTCGGTAAAAATGATAAGGATGGTAAGATTTTGTTGATTTTTTTCTTAATATTCCGGTACAAATTGTCAGTACGTGCCAAAGAATCATAAATATGTATTAATTTTTACAAGTGTGATAAAAAATTTCCACTTTTGTATCTGAAATGGCGCATTTTTGAGGTTATGTAAAGTTTGCCGCCAACGGCTGCATTTGCGGATGTAAAATTTTTGCAAAAAAGAAGTAATTTATTATAATTAACACTTTTGTAATAGTTTTCCAATTCAATTGTATTCGAAGTAAAACATTTTGTGGAAATAAAATAATTCCAATATTTATGGAACTAATTTCGATTCAGTCGCTCTTATCGGCGAATTCCGGTGAATTCGCTCCAACGATGTTTTGGTTTTTTTCGTATAAGTTAATAATTTACGTAAAAGTTATACGTCCCTTGTAAAATATAAATATAATTTCAAATAATTATTCTATAATTAAGCAAATAGTAAAAAAATTCATTTTTTAATACTAGAAATATTTTTCTTGTTTGTGTAGAGGTGTAGATTTGAGAACATGCGTCCTTTATTGGAGAGGAAGAATTGATTACTTTTATTCCCGACTGATTTCATTTACTTTTTCCGAAGAGTTAAAATAAAAATCGAAGTGAGAGAGATCAACAATCGGTAAGTTTTTAATATTTATTAATTAATCATAATTTTAAATTATAATTAAAAACTAATTATTAAAATGGAGTTGAATATTTCTAATAATCTCTTGCCGTTAGTTATTTTTAATACTCAATCGAAATTCGAAATCGTTTAAACGTTCATTTTATTTTATTGCAAATTTCAAATTTTCTTTTTCAAACAAAAGAAAATTCGAAAAAATAAATGTAAATTCACATGTTCTATTCCTATTCAACCGTAATATCCGTATTTTTACGTAAGAACGCGATAAGAATTTTCTAACCTCAAATTGTGATTACGTACCGCATGTACTTGATAACAATCACGGGGGTGACACTCTCGAGTTGAAACTAACCATACTGTTGACTGGTGACCACCGTGGCGCTGGCTGGTTAGTTGGCCGATATTGAGTAAAAATGCATTAGAAAAAAAGAAAAATTTATTTTACAATTAATAATATTAATTTAATGGTATTTATTTGTACATAATATTAATCCAGTATCTTTTTAGCATTTTTTATAATATTAAAAACTTAGAAAAAGCGTTTAATATTTTATTTATAATGAAAATTGTACAACAATTCATGGCGGGAAATTTAAATTAATAAAATTATAATTATTTTTTATTATTTTAATTATTGCTACTGACTATTATTTAATAATATTTTACAGTATAAATAAAAATTTGTTTGATAATTTATTTATTATAATATTATGTAGTATTTAATTTAAATTTCCCGCCATGAATTGTTGCACAATTTTCTTTATAAATAAAATATTAAACGCTTTTTCTAAGTTTTTAATATTATAAAAAATGCTAAAAAGATACTGGATTAATATTATATACAAATAAATACCATTAAATTAATATTATTGATTGTAAAATAAATTTTTCTTTTTTTCTAATGCATTTTCACTCATTATCGGCCAACTAACCAGCCAGCGCCACCAGTGGCGACGGTCAACTCTCAGGTTAGTTTATTCTAATGGGAAACTGCACCAGTGTCACCCCCGTGATAACAATCGTGCAAAAAAATAGAAATGTTTTAAAAACAGTGTTAAAAAAAGAAAAATAAATAGTTGAAGCATTTTAACAACCGCCTGTAAATATTTATAATCAATATTCTTAAGGTAAGTAATAATATGCTTATTTATAAATATACATTTTTATTAAATAAATGTGATTTTGTGTTTTATGATTCAAATACACTGAATCCACTGAATCTAAATTGTTTTACTAAATTAACAATTAATTTTACTAAATTAAAAATTATTAGTTATTTTACAAATAATTAAAACCGTTTGGTTATAAACTGATTCATTAACTTCTTTTAATTCCTTTTCTTTTGTTTATTCTGTATTTTAATAAATTACTTTTTTGCAACACTAACCTGTAAAATTGAATTTTACACACAGAAAACTGTGTGTAAAGTACTTCATTTTATAGCGGTGTGTAAAGTGTTACTTTACACACCGCTAGCAGTGTGTAAAATGAATTCCAGTGTGTAAAGTGATTTTCAGTGCGTAAAATGATTACTTTACGCATTCTTGTGACTGTTTGATGAGAAACCATGAATTAAAGCTTTTAAACAACAATTTACAATCACATTTTTATTTTAGCTTCTAGAAAACTTCATTTAACAGTTCCCCACTACACCTAAACTTTCAGTAATATTGGCAATATTGCTGCAAGTTTAGTTGTTTTAGTGTTGCAAAAAATTTTGTATGACACTCGTGCGTAAATCAGATTATACTTGTGTGACTTGCAGCACTCGCCTTCGGCTCGAGCTGCAAACGTCACACTCGTATAATCAACGATTTTACGCACTTGTATCATAAATAACTATTATTTTTCTAGCGATAAATAAAAATACTTTTCTCTTTTAGATGAATCGGGGCATTAATATGATGCGATCTTTGATATTTTCGAATTTACGAAGCAGAAATTATAGTACTCTACCTAAAGAAGCTATAATATATTTAAATAAAGAAACAATTGTCTGCTGGCATCCGGAGCAACCATTTCCCTATAAATATACAAAACCATTGCCCAAGGAAATAGTGCCAAAGTCAATGCTACAAATTGGTAAACAAGAAATAAGTCAAGCATATGATCGTAAACCAAGACAACAATTAGCAGATGAACTTGCTGCATTAACACAAACGACAAAACACAGATGGTTCCCAAGAGCCAGAAACAAGAAAGCAAAGAAAACGCCACTTGAAAGGAAATATATATAAAATTATCATAATTTCTTTTAAAAAAAAAGTTTTTTCTATTATATTATTTAGGACTAATGTAGAATCAAACTAATGTAAAATAAATGCATAAGAATTTAAACAAATTTTTAAATATAATTGAATTTCTGCGAAGAATTTTATTACATTTGAAAATAATTGAGTTGTTTTTTAGAATTTTATAGAAATTTATGAAAATAGCTGAATTCTAGTAAAGGATTCTTTTTAAAAATAGTATTCAAAAGAATTTAGTAAATCTAAAGAATTTTGCAACTTATAGAAATAATTAAATTCTTGAGCAAAAATTTTTACTGTTTCTAGAAATAATTGAATTCTTTCGACGAATTTTAATAAAATTTTTAAGAATAATTACATTTTTCCAGGAATTTGATTAAAATTGTCTTAAAAATAATTGAAATTCTGCAATGAGTTTTACTATTTATGAAAATAATTGAATATATTGCGAAGAAATTTAAAAAAATAAAATTATAATTATGGTGACTAACTTCCCCTGATTATTTAAAAAAAATTTAAATAAAATTCTTTAAAAATTTTTTAAACATATCGATATTATAATCGATATGTTTCAATTTGTAAAAGGAACACAGAAAAATGTTGTCTCACAAAAATCGAGAATTTATTCTGAAATGGTGAATACGGAAAATTTTTTAGAGAAGTTACAAAAAATTACAATATATACCAATATTAATTAGTAAAAAGAGAAAACTGAGAGACAATTTAAAATTTTGCGATTGTTGAGTAGTTCAACAATTATTCTATCTAAAGTTCAGAAAGTTTCCATTAAATTCATTATAATTTTTATTGAAAACTCTTAGCACACGGAAAACATTTTTTCAGTCAAAGTTCCCGAACTGTACCTAAAGATGTCCCTGAATTTTTCAAAAATCTGCCGTGAACTTCGAGAATTTCTCCTGCTCTACACAGTAGATTCCTGAAAAGTTCAAGAATTTCTTTAGTGTAATGCAGGATTAGACCTCAACTTTTTCTCATGTTCTTTTCTCACTGTTCAGGTGTTCAGGTACAGTTCGAGAACTTTCCCTGAAAAATTTTTTCCGTACATTTTCAACCTACGGTTTTGTAGGATTTTAAAAAATTTTTCCGTATCCATAGTTCTGAAATATATTTTTCATTTTATTAATCATGAACATTTTCCCGTATGTACTTTTTCTGTGGTAAGACAGGCAGGTAAATTGCTACCGTGATAATTCTTTAAATCATTAACGCGCGCATCGCGCGCGTAGGACTTTGCTAGTTAAATTTAATAATTAAATTGAATTCTCATAAAGAAGTTCATCAACAAATTTTTAAATAATTGAAGTCCTAAAAAGAATTTTATTATTTATGAAAATAATTTAATTATTACGAAGAAATTTATAAAACATTTGTAAATATTTGAATTCCAATAAAATTTTTATTATTTATGAAAAAGATGAAATGTTATACTTAAATTTTTTTCAGAATTTTTTGTAAATAATTGAATTTTTTTGGAAAATTTTATTAAAATAGTAGGTATAGATATTGAAAATCATTGAATTGAGAACATTTTTGAAAATAATTGAATTTCTGCAATAATTTGTAACTTCTCAATAATTCAATTTTTTTAGTGTTTTTAACTAAAATTTTTCTATAAATCCATCATTATTAATAATTTTTGAAAAAGTTCTTTGTGAATTTTCAAATCCATTGGCTTATAATTCAATTTTACGAAATTTCGATTATTCGGAAATTCTTCAATTAAATATAAGTATATTAGAAAATAAAAACTAAAAATAATTTAAAAAAAAATTCCATTAGACTTTATCAGAAAAAAAATTCATTCTACAAAATTGTTAGTTAAAAGTATGAAAAATGCAAATTTTCTAAGATTTTAATTTGAAACCTTTTGAAAATTAAATTATTTCTAAAAATTCACGCTATAATGCTCTTAATATTCAATTATTATCTAAAATTTTAATTCATTTTTAAATCAATTTTTATTAGAAAATTCTACGAGAATTCATTTATTTAAATACAAAAATAAATAATTTATTGCCGAATTGAAAGTTTCTTAAAATTGAATTTCTGCAATCATTTGTAATTTCTCAAAAATTCAATTTTTTAGTGTTATTAACTAAAATTTTTCTATAAATCCATTATTTTTAATAATTAATTAAATATATTTTAAAAAATTGAACTAATTTCAGAAGAATTTTAATAATTAAAATTTTTCAAAAATCTACGTTCTTTAAAATTTCCAATTAAATTAATTGAAAATTGAAATTTTATAAAAGTTCAAATTGAAACCTTTTGAAGTTTATCTATTCATTAAAAGTGTGAACGCAACTATTTTAGAATTGAATTTTGTATTAGAATTCGTGGTAATTTCATAGTTTATGAGGCAAACAAAACCGACACAAAAATTTAGAATTTTCTTATTAATTCTACAAATTTAATTGTTTCCAGTACTTTTTATAAAAATCCCTAATTTTCCCAACCTATTCTACCTTCCCTGATTTTTCCCTGAATTCCCTGACTTTCCTGACCTGTGGTAATCCTGCATTAAATTTTTCATTTCATTAAAAGTTCATAAAATATATTTCTTTCTTTACACAAAATCACAATGTTTTTTTTCTACATTTTCATTATTTTATGAATTGCACTTTTTTGAATTAATACGTCTCCTAAAAGTAATAATACAAGTTTACACAATTTCTAATAATACAAAATTTTGCGAAAAAATAAATTTTCTACATGGAATAAAAAAATTATCAGAAATATTCAACTCCATTTTGATGAATATTGTCTTACAATTTGAGATCATTTGTTTTATACTCGATGTATAAAAAAATACGTCAGTTTTTTTTCATGGAAATGTACGAAAAGTTAATTGTTTTATTTTACATTTCTATAAATGTTCTGGATAAAGATGTCGTTCACCTTCCATCATTAATATCTTCATAGCTTTGTAGAGCAAATATTTTCCCAAATCACATTTTTCTTTATTATTCCAAGTTGCTATTTTACCATAATATTCTCCGCCTTTGCAATTCGCTAATTTATCAACGCTCAATGCATCGATCATTGCCGCTTCTCTCGTGTAAGCCTCAACTGGAATTGTATTGTGAAATATATGCAAAACAACGACACCTTGCTTTTCATTCCAAATGTCAAGAATTTTTTTTATCTTCTTATTTGTTGTTTCAACTTTACTTGAAACCCAGACATGAAACGCGTCATATAAATGTGCATAGGGTCTCGTTTGTTTTCCCTTGCCGACATAAAAAATTGCCGATAAAAATATCTCCCATTGTTCTTGAAGGGAAAGATTTGCTTTTCGATTTGGAAGATCTCTTGTTATTCTCGAATCGAGGAGTAGATAATTGAAACATGTTTTTGTTAGGCCCTCACGCCATTTACGAGTGGGATCGGGTCTCGCGAACTCTTGGAATATTTCACGTTCCCTATCTTTATACAGTTGTAAATCAATTCGCCAATTTAGAGAAATTAAACTTGAACGAATAGAATGTGATTCGAATGTTTCAGATGAATTTTCATTGTGGAATGGCTCATTTTTAAAATTCTGTTGATTCATTTCGAGTTTCATTAAACGTTTTAAGTAGACTCTATGCGTGGAATTTGTTATTGGACCTGGATTTTCTCCTAATTTTGTAAGTCTCTCGCGAAGTGTTTTCTTATCGATAAGCAACATTTCCTGTGGAAGACTTGAAACTGAAAATTAAATTTTATTTTTTATTTATTGAAAATTTTGAAATAGTTTCGAACGTTCAAATGAACGACGATATTTTTTTTACTTCTTTTTAATTTGTATATTTTTATTTAAAAAAAAGTATTTTGTACGCTAACAAAATTAATGTAAATGCTTAACTTTACTTGTTTAATTTCTTGTAAGATTGAAATAAATAATTATTACTCTTTTTTGTAGAAGAAATTTTTCAAAATTTTAAGAAACAAAAATTTCGTTCATTTGAACATTTCCAACTTTAGAAAAGTTACTAAAAACTTTTAGAAAGAAAATAAAGATAGAAAAATAAACTTTAAATAATTTTCTGATATTCGAATTTGTTTGTAATTATAATTTTTCATTTTAATATAATGGAAATCAAGACCAATTGTTAAGGAATAAAAAAAATTAAAAATCTATTTGATAGTTTATAAAATAAGTAAAAAAATTTAGTTAATTTTATTATAAATTGTAAATAGATTCGAATTTATTATTTAAGGAATTCTTTTCGAAAAATAATCTCAAATTTTCGTATTGTGAACAAAGTATGAAGTTCTTGATAAATATTTTATTTAATACGGAATTAGTAGAAAGGTGATAAATAATTAAACAAGATCGAGACTTGCTGCAATGAATAGTGAAATAATTTTAAAATAGTAAAGAATAAAGCCAGTAGAACAACTAAGAATAATTTAATTATAAACTTTTATAATAAATTTATTTATGTAATTTGTAAATAAATTAAGTTTTATTCATTTTTTTTAATCGACTATAATATAAATTTCGATATCTCACCGGATTCAGCAGTAGAACAGGTGTAATATGATGTTAATTCTTCCTTATTTATCATTACACTGAAAAAAAATTTATACAATTTAAAATAATTTGTATATTATTATCAACTTTTAATATTATTAAATTATTTATATTTACAGGGATCACAGACTATCACCATCTCACCTTTTTTTAAATTTTGCCCCCTATTTCGTTAATTTTCACCTATTTTACACATTCTGTACATTTTTCAAATATATATTTAATCAAAAGTTTAATTTCTAAAAATTAATTAATTATTTTTACTTATTTATGTTTTAGAAACAATTGAGTAAAACCTGATATGTACATAATTTTTTTTCATTTTATCAGTCATGATTTCTGAATATTTAAATGAACGAAATATTTTCAAAAATTATTTACTTAAATAAAAATAAAAAATTTAAATTATTTTCGGAGTTTATAAATCGTTTTTCTTCAAAAATGACGCAATTATATTATAATAAAATTTAAATTTGAGAAAGAAAGAAATAAATTTTAAAACTTTTAATTCAATTATGAAAAAACAGAATAAAATTAAAATCAAAATCACATTACTGTGATCCCTGTATTTGTAATTAAACATAGAGTTTTAGAAAAATATTTTTTAAGAAAATGTTCTTACCAAGATGGTGTTATACAAAGTCTTCGTTCCATTAGGACAACTCCTTCTTCTAAATCTTTGTATTTATATTCTTCTTCGATGCTTACAAAAGATTCAGTAATTTGTCTAGAAAATTAAAAAAGAATTTAAATTAATTTCACATGATTATAATTAATAATAATTAAATTAGAAATATAAATATAATAAAGAATAAAATGAATACTATTTCAATAATTTTTGTTAAACAAATGTTTAAAAACTTTATTGTTATTTATTTTTTTTTTAAATTAAAATTTAAAATAAAAATAAAAATAATTTCAATGTAAAACCTTTTGAAATTTATGTTATAACGTTTCTAATTTTCAATTATTTTTCAAAATTTTAACTGAAATTTTTAAAAAATCAATTCTTATTAGAATTCAACGATAATTGAATTATTTAACTACAAAAATTTTTGTAAAATTTAATTATTTTCTAAATTTTTAGTTAAATAATATTCTTCAAATAATAATTCTTCATACAATAATGTATTTAAAAATAATTTTTTAAAGTGAAAAAATAAAATTCTTTAAAATATAGAATTTATTTTAATGAAATTTGAGAAAATTATCTACTTTTTCAATTTTTTTGAAATAATTTTTTGAATTCAACTATTTTCAAAAAATTGTAATTACGTTTTTTGAAAAATCTCATTTTTTTAGAATTTCTAAATAAAGTTTTTCAAATTTTATTAATTTTTGTTGAATAAATATTTTAATAATTAATGTTATTTATTTGTCTAGCATGAAATATAATTTCAAAATACTTTCAATGTAAAACTTTTTGGAATTTAATTAAAATTATAACTGCAATTCTTCCAATTCTTGAAATATTTTCTAAAATTTAAACTAAAATTCTTATTTAGTACAATTCTTATCAAAAAGTTGTAAGAGAATTCAATTATTTAATTAAATAGAAAAATAAGCTATAAAACAATTTGAAAACAAAAAGCCCTAACTTCACGTGAGAACAAAATATCTCGATTATTATTATATAATATTTTTAGTTCGTTAAATATATTTATTAAGAAACTCGAGTAAAAATTTTACCTGTTCAAAGGACTTCTTCCTGTGAGATCATCAGTAATGAAACTGTTTTTGCTTTCCTTGAAAGAATTTTCACTATTCCTAATGTTATCTTCATTTTCTTGTTGATTAGAAGATAAAAAAGATTGTTCGGATTGATAAGATTTACATTGCACTTGACTATTAACTGTACTATCACTTTGAGAATCATTTCCTTCTAATTCGTATTCAATGTTAGATATTTCTTCAGTAAAATTTCTACTTTTTGCCTTTATTCGTGTACTAGAATCACTTTGATTAGAAGTCATATTTTCTAGAGATGTATTAAAATCATTTTCATCGGTATTATTCATAGAGTTCGTTGCATTTTCTTCAAAATTATCATCAATTTTTGTATTTTCAGTGACATTACAATTATTATTATTATTATTATTACTCGTCAATGAATCAAAATCGTCAGTAATATAATCTTCTAATTTCATTGCTACATTCTTTAATTTCATTATTTTACTCGTATCACTGTAAATTCCACTCGATTCTTCAGTATCCTTCTTCTTGTGACAAGAATTAATTTTCCTATCCATTGATTGTGGTCTTTTGAAGAAAGACGATTCTTGTTCACCTAAAATTTTATTTTGAAAATTTCTCGGTAATGATTTTGATGTTTGTGCCATTCTTTGACAGTGTAATTTGTAGGTTTCACTAATTAATCCACAAGGTGTTCGTGATATTATTTTTTTCAAAGAATTCCTTCCATTCGTTGGTGTTGATTTTTGTCCGAATATTGGTATTTTTGATATTCTTTTCTCCTTATTTGCACTTGAGACAATTGCACAATTTGGTGATTTAGTAATTATAGAGTCGTTTAAATAATTTGTCTTCTCAAGAAATAGTGACTTTTGGATGGTTTTGTCAGGTTTGAATCGAGTAAGAATATTGCAGTTTGGACTCTTGCTGATTATGGAATTTTCTAGATTGTTAATATTTTTTTCGATTAAGGGAGTTCTTGTTCGTTGTTTATCAAGTGTTGGTGATGAAATATTTGTTTCCTCTTTTAATTTTCTTTTTAATCTTCCTCTAATTAGATTCTCGGCAATTTCGTTTCGCTTATTCGTCAATTGATTTGACATTTGAGCTAGAGCATTTTTTGTTTTTGGAATTAAATGTATTCTTCGGTCGAATATGGAGGAGTCTGAATTATGTGGATTTTCGGTTCGGGTGATATCGTTAGAAATTGTTGTCGAAAGATTAGAAATTAATTGACTGTCTGTTTGCTCTTCTTTTTTGTATTTATAAACTTCGGTTTTATTGAAAAGTTTATTTTCTTTTTGTTCTTGTAGGGTTTTTCGATTTCTTCTGCGTGTTATGTAATCTTCATGTAATAATAATTGATAGTCGGAAGAACTGGAACCGTTTGATGACTTAATATTAAGTTCAAGAACATTTTCTGGTGAAATATTCAAAGTGCTAGTTGTTTGTTCATCTGTTACTACATATTCGGCTATTAAATTCTTGTTGTTGATTAAAACCTTTTCTGTAGGGGGAGAAAAAAGAAAAATTGTTAAAATGAATCAAATTAAAATTATATCAATTAAATTATTGGTAGATGGAAAAATAATTACCAAGCGCTATGTCGTATTTGATTTCTTCCTCCTCTTCTTCGTCATTAACGACATCTTCACAATATTTACGAAGAACACTAACAGCATTGTAGTGTGCTCCATCGAAAGCAAAATGAAATGGACTGTAACCTTCATTATCGAGATATAATGGATCTCCGCCATTCAATAAAAGTAATTCGAGAATATTACAACGACCCCAAGCAGCGGCTATGTGAACAGGGGTCAAACCCTCAATAGATCTGAAACAAAATTAGTTTTTCTTAAATTATTTTACCTATTATAAAATAATTCACAGGGTTGCCACAAAAATTTGATTTTTTTCCCTGATTTACAGACAAAATTTTGAATTCTTTCCTGGCCCTAAAGAATATTTTGATTCACTCTAAAAATTATTATATACTCAAAAAAATGTTCTATTACATTTATTTACGAATATCTTGAATTGCAAAATTATTCGAAAACATTCAAAATTTTTATTCAGATAAATGTTTAATTATTATTATTATTATGTTTTCATAGAAAATAGGATTTTTAGGAATTTCAAATTCTCTGAAATTCGATAATTTATAAAAATTGGTACTGTAACTTTTTCAAAATTATTTTCATTATTTCAATTCAATTATTTTCTATAATTTTTGAATAATTGAAATTTATAGAAAATAATTGAATTGAAATAATGAAAATAATTTTGAAAAAGTTACAGTACCAATTTTTATAGATTGTAGAATCTATAAAATATCATATAAAATATCTAAATATTATAGAAATATGTATTCAAAACTTTAACTAATTTAAAAAATTTTGAACTAAAATTTTTCAAAAAACATAGTTTTTTATGATTTTTAATTCAAGTTTTCTAAAATTCACATTTTCTAAAACTTTAATTCGAAACAATTTGAAATTAATTTATAAAAATTGTTAAACACAACTCATAGTAAACTTAAATTATTTTTGGAATTTTTTAAAGTAAAATTATTAAATTGCGTAAAATTGTTAAATTCTAATTCAATTTTTCTGCAACTTCAATTTAAAATCTTTTAATATTAAATTATTTATAAAAATATTGTAAACGTAACTTTAGTAAAATTAAATTATTTTTGGAATTTTTAAGTAAAATGATCAAATAATTGAGTAAAATTATTAAATTCCAATTAAAATTTTTCTACAAGTTCAATTTGAAACCTTTTGAAATTAATTTACAAAAATAAATTGTAAATGCAACTCGAGTAAAATTAAATTGTTTTTTAGGATATTTGATTACAATTATCAAATAATAAAGTAAAATTATCAAATTCTAATTCAAATTTTTTACAACTTCAATTATTTAAAATCTTTTGAAATTAATTTATAAAAATATTAAACGCAACTCTACTAAAATAAAAATATTTTTGAAATTTTTAAGTACAATTATTACTTGAGATTTGTATTAAATTTCATGGTGATCTCAAAGTTTATAAGCCAATACAAAAATTCAAGAAGAATTTAATCTTTTCAATTTTTTCAAAGACTGCTGGACACAAATCCAGAATTTTCTTATAAATTCTAGAAATTTGATATTTTTGCAGGACTTTTGAAAAAATTCCCTGAATTCCCCTGATTTTTCTGACCTGTGACAACCCTGTAAAATATTGTTCTTCAATATAGCATTTCAAGAATGAATTTTTGAGAATTTAGAAATTTTCTTTTCGAGTTATTCTACCTTATATTTGGGTTTCCCCCATGACGAAGAAATAATTTCGTTACTTCCTCTGCAAACGATTCCGAAGGGTTTCCAATTGCCAAATGAAATGGTGTGATTCCAAAAATTGGTACGAGAGTATTTGGATCTGCTTCATTACTGTCCAGGAGTGTCGTCACCTGTCTTTTAAATTAAAATCTCATTAGTACTCTGAAATATCACAAAAACTTCATAAATAAACATGTTTCACATTTTTTTTATTTCAATTTGAATAATTCCTATTTTTATTCGAATTCTTTTTCTTATTTCAATTAAAATTAGTTCTATTTGAAATTCATGTTGAAATTCTTATTTATGATTAGAACAAAAGTTAAAATTCTTAATGATTAAAACAAATATTAAATAAAATTTTAACATTTAATTAAATTTTTCAAATATATATCTATAATAAAAATCTTTTTGAATAGTTGAAATTTTGTAAAATTTAATTGAAAATAATTAATTTATTTCAAGTATTTATTTACAATTTTTAAAAATCAATTTTTGAAAAATTTTAATTGCAAATTTTGAAAATAATTGAAACATAAAAAATTTGGACGAAAAATCTTTAAAGGTAAATTTAAAAATGAAAATGAATGGAAATTAGTTTTCAATTTTTCAAAATTCAATATTTTCAGTATTTTTGATTACATATTTCCAAAAATTCAAATACATACAAAAATAATAACATTTTAGAATTATTTTTGACATTTTGGAGAAAACAATCATGTTCAAAATGTTTAGATTAAAATTAGTTTTTTTTAAATTATACAAAAATTCTTTTTAGAAATTCTATTTATGAAAATTTACTTTTTAGACTTATTAAAATTTTTGAGAAATCATGGTCCTGTTTATAATTAAAATTCTTCAAAAATTTAATCATTTTTATTTATATTTTTCAACAATTAAATTATTTTTAAAAGATTTTACCAAATTTTAATTGTTTGGAAATTTTTCAAAATTGAAAAACTATTATCTTTCAAAAATTATTTAAAAATAACTTAAGAAAAAAGTATGGAAAGTTACAATTATTATAAAAAATTGAGTTTTTGTTTTTAAATAATTGAATTCTGGAAGGGTTATAATTGTAATTTTTAGAATTTATTAAAATTCATAAATTTTACTCATTTTTCGTAAACATTCATGTTTTTCTGTAAAAATAATTTTAATGTCAGTAAATTGTCAGGGAAATTGATAAACTGAAACTTGTGACCACCCTGAAAATATATTTACGATATTTTTTCGTAACGTGCATTAATATAACCTAAAATGGAAAAATTCGATAAATTTAATATTTTCAGACGAAATTAAATTTTACTTAATTCATGCACTGACAATTAATAGTTATAATTAATTTACAATTATTTAAACAATTTTAAAGAAATTCAAAAATGTTTTATTATAGAAAATAATAATACTTTACCGGAGACTAAAACGGAGCAGCTTAACGAAATTTTATATATTCATCAATATACTTACTTTATATTATTATCCTCTACTCCATCGCACAATGAAGAGGCCAGAAAAAGTTCTTTTTTCGCTTTTGGCGTAGCAAACATTGTTTTAAGTAATAATTATTATGCTTAAATTAAAATAAATAGATATTTTTTATTCCAAACATTCGAATAAACAAACGGTCAACTCAAACTGACTCAAACCCCTCAAACCCAAACAGAGGCAAACATAACCTCAAAACATGAATTCGCTGCGAGGCCGCTGAGGCGCTAAATTTAAAACTAATAATTTAAGTTTACAGTTTATAATAATTAATAATAATATGATAATAGAAAATTAAAACTTCAACATTCAAATATTATAAACTTTAAAATTATTTTTAAATCTAACTATTTTGATCGATAAGATGTAAAATAGACATATCATCATTTTCCAATGTCCATCGTTTTAAAAGTTTTTCCAGAGTTTTGGCATTTGTCTACAAAAGAAATATTAAAGATAAAATAACAATAATCGAAATAGTAAAGGATTTATGTCATTTATATTACTCGAGATATTACTCACGTCTGCCGAACTATGTTCGATGAAATTTAATTTTTTGAACATAATTTCTACGTCGAGTAAATAAAATTGACTGGTTACTTTTACAATCCATAGAGAAGGTTTTATTCTTCCGATTACAATATTCTGTTCTGATTTTTTTGGCCTGAAATAGGTATTAATATTTTTTTGAAATTATTATTATGAAAATTAAACTTCTTCATTTATTTTAATTCAAATTTATTCCTAAACAATATTTACCTATAAAATTTGTCAGAGAGCTTTTGTATACTTGTTTCCATTTGCTTTGTGGTTCTTGATCTCATTGTTTCATTCGTTTTATTCATATCTTTACTATTTGCTTTCATAATGTTTAACATTTTTAAAAGTCTCTTTTTGTTTTTTTCCTTTTCCTGTTTTTCTTTTTTCTCTCTCTTTGATAATTGTTCTTCATTCTGCATTCTCTCTATAGCAATCTCATAATATTTCGCTTTCTCATCGTCACTCATTTCCTTCCAACGATTCGTCAAATGCTGAGCAATTTGAGGGATAGACATTTCTGGATTTTCTTCCACTACTGTAAATTGGAAAAAATCATTGTTGATTTGGTTAAAAAGACAAATAAAAAATATAGTATAAAAAAAATAATAATAATAAAATACAATTTTTACAATTGACAACAATCATGTTGATTTTTTTAATTACCTTGAGATCTTACTTGCGAAAAAAATACATTGAAACCAGTTAAACTGCTTGATTTTTCCTTTTCGGTTAATCCAACAACTTTGACGTTAGTGCCTGACTAAAAATGATATTTTATTTAATTTTTTCTTGCTTATATATAAATATAGTTATTATATATTACAATTTATTTAATTGTTTAAAAATGTAAATTTCTGTATATTAACCCTTCGAACACAATAGAAACACAATAGAACACAATAGGATCAGTCTGATTCCAAATTTTTCTGTAGAACACAATTTTTCTTTAAAAAGGGTGTTTTCTTAATTAATGTTTTAAATGTTATTAATTCCTTTAGTACTTCTGCTTTTATACTAATTAATTTGTCTACGTTTCAAAAAATTTTGATAATTTTCGCAAGATGATTAAACAATTCGTTTTCAAATGCAGACCTCGGATCGGCTTTAAGGCGCAAAAAAAACTCTCTTTAGTTGATTAAAAATACAAAAAAAGTAAAATAAAAAGTCGTTTATTTAATTCAGTGTTGCCACAAAAATTTTATTTTGTATTTCCCTGAACTTTCACTAATTTCTAAATTCAATTATTTAAAATTTAAATAATTTTGTTAACTAAATATTTAAATATTTATTTGTTTTTCCTTAGGATATAAAAATAAAAAAATTTAATTTGAAAACCTTCTGAAATTTAATATTTTTTTGGAAATTACTACTATAATCCTTCCAAAATTTAATTATTTTCTACAATTTTTAACTATAATTCATCTCTAAATTAATTACTTTAATAATTTTCGGAAATTCCTTCGAGAATTCAATTATTTAAATCCTACAAAAATTAAATTTTTTATAGTAATTGTAATTGTATCAGTCCATGTTTTTTCTTAAATTATTAAGCTGCATTATTTTCAAAAAATTATAATAAAGAAATTCTTAAAATTAATTTTTTAAGAACATTTAAAAATAATTTTTAAACGATAATAGTTTTTTAATTACCTATGTACAATTAAAAAATTTCCAAATAACTGAAATTTGGTAAAATCTTTGAAAAATTAAAATTTTATAAAATCATTTAAAAATAATTTAACTGAAAAATATAAAAAAGATAATCAAATTTTTGAAGAATTTTAATTATACATATGAACATAATTTCTCCGCAATTTTAATAAGTCTAAAAAAGTAAATTAAAAAAAATTTTAATTTACTTTGTTGGAAGAGAATTGAATCTTAAGAAATTATGATAAAACAATTCTTTGAATTATTTTTTTAAAAATATTGCAATTGTAATTTTTCGAAAATAATTGAATTTCATAAAAGAATTATTGTATAATTTCAAAAAAGACTAATTAATATTTTAATTTTAAAAAATTTTGAATATGATTATTTTCCTCCAAAATATTAAAAAATTAATTTAAAAAATTTTAATATCATTATTTTTTCTATGTATTTGAATTTTCAGAAATATGTAATTGAAAATAATTGAATTTCAAAAAAATTAGAGAGAAAAGACTCTAAGAATTACTTTTTTCAAAAATATTTTTATACAATTTTTTGAAGTCAATATAGATTAATTTTCATTTTTAAATTTACACTTGAATATTTTTCATTAAAATTTCTGAGAATTCAATTATTTTCAAAATTTGCAATTAAAATTCTTCAAAAGTTTCTTTCTTTCTCAAAAAAGTTCTTTCTTCTTCAAAAGAAGAAAATACTTGAAAAACATAAATTATTTTCAATTATATTTTACGAAATTTCTATTATTAAAAATCTTTTTAATTGTACCTATATTTAGAAAATTTAATTAGAAAAATTATTCAAAAATAATTTTTAAAAGATTTGTCTATAGTTATTTTTTACACTGTAAAAATCAAAATAAGTTGCATTTTATACTAGAAATATGGTATTTTGTTGCATTTTTTGGAATAAAAGTCGAAAAAGTCCCATTTTCTGAAAATAAATCAAAAAGATTCGCATTTTTTAAAAATAGTTGAAAAAATTAAAAAATGTCGTAATATCCGAGACCAATGTCCCAATTTTAATATCCAAAATCTTTGTGAAAAATTGGGAGTGTTCTCGAAGTGTTAAAATTGGTAAGATTTGAAAACTTATTTGAAAATGTAAAATTTTTCTAAGAAAAGTTTTTAGTTTTGTATATAGTAAAAGTACCACTAATCCAGTAATGTTTCCTCGACTCCAAGAATTTGTCGATGATTGATTTGAATTACTATCATTAAGATAATTATCCTTATCCAATTTCAATGATACTTCACCAGTTTGAGAAGTGTCTAGTGATAAGGTACTTTGTTTCAAGACAGTTTTTGATTTTTCTGTTTCTATAGTGACGTCCAAAAATTCATCTAAATCCAATTCCAATAATAATGAATCCATAACATCCATTGGCTCAGGATTCAAATCACTAGATTGAAATGTTGATTTACTTATTTGTGAAAATTCCTCTCCCAGATCGACAACTGGCAACTGAGACAAAGTTTCCACATCTGAAGGTGGCATTTCGATTTCCTTAGTTCCAGTTCCGTTGTAGTCTCTCTTATTTCCAACTGATTCTTTGTTACTGTAATTAAAATTATTTATTATGAATTTAAATTTTTATTATTTTATTTTTTACTATTATAAAAATGTAATTTTTAGTTACATTGTAAGCGAAGTTTGCAAATACCTTTTAGACACGACACTTCGTCTTCCTTTGAGATTATTTTTCTCACTGTCGCTATTTGAGTCCGATTCGCTTAAAACTGGTTCTCTTATATTTAAAATCATTGGCGAAATTGTATCCTCAGATTCATTAACTAAAAATAAAGAATCGACGTATATAAGAGAAATTAAAATATTCTTGTGAAAATATTCTTTCGAATTTGATTTTAAATATTTTCTTACTTTTTCCATTGTTTGACAAATCACCGTTTGACAATTTTCTGTTAAAGTCCACTTTCCTTTTTTTACATGCAGGCCATTCGTTTTCTTTGTCTGCGACACTTGAATCTCTTCCATTTCTCTCATCTAAAGGAGAATTGCCATTTAATGATGTTTTTTTCACTTGGTTATTCTCATCTTCCTGAGATATATCAAGTTGGTAGAAATTCATGACAACTGTTTGGATTAATTCGAGAATTTTACTCTGAAAATTTGAAAATAATTTTTTTAATAACTTTTTAAATTTACATTTTTACTAATAATATTTATTTTTACTGAAATAATTAATTATTTTTGGTCATTTGAATGTTTATTTTCCAATAATCGAAATATTAGATTTTGTCTCATTTTTAAATATCAAATTATTATTTTTTAAAACCTTTTTTAATTGTTTAAAAGTATTTTTTATTCTAAAGTTCACGTGATAGAATTCGTAAACAAATTACCTCGTTTTTCAAAAATCCCTTCGACTTATTCGGTTCTAGATTAATGTCCAGATTTGCCGGATCAACGTCAATATTTAGAAGAAATAGAGAATTTGTAACAGTGATTCCTTTCTTTAAATAGTATTCTTGAATCTTCTTATTCAGTAGCTTAAAATAAAGAATTGTGTTAGAGTCAGAAAAATTGGCATTCAAATTTATAAATTATCTTTGTCACTTTGAAGTTCTTTTATATTTATAAATTTAAAAAATATTTTTACCTTTTGTAATGCCTTATGCACGAGAATTCTATTGTTGACGAAAATGAATTGAGATCTTGTTTGGCAAATTAGAGTTGAATCCATGAGATCTTTTTTTGGTAGCATTAATTTAACTTTGACCTATTAAAAAAAACCAGAAAATCGAATAAAAAAAGGTCAAAAATGTGTTTCAATTTTTTCTCTACTTAAATTTTTAAACAATAATTTAGACAATTTTTTATCAAACCTCGGGAAAAATTCCTTCGATAAATTCCAAATTTGATGTTACATCTTTTCCCAAAACATTTCTAATTGATTCAGTTAAATTACTTGCACTTGGTTTCATAAATACAATTTGTTTATTCAGTCGATAAGTAATTCTCAGATTCGGATGAATAATTGCAAAACTTTTTAAAAGATCTTCTAAATATTTCAAGTCCTGATTTGCTCTTCTTGAATTTAGTAAAGTTTGCCTCCTTACAGGGAAATTTTTAAATAATCCCTTTGCTTGAACAGTTGTACCTATATAATAACAAAATTAATTAGAAGAACTAAAAGAAAAGTTATTTTACATTAAAAATTTTAGTCCATTTTTCTTACCTATTGTTCTATGACATGGCTCTGATTTCACGATGTTCCCCTTTGAATTAATATTATATAATGTCGCAATTTCTTCATTTTGCGATTTTGTAATAACTGTAAGCTCTGAAATTTCACTGAGAGCTTGCAGAGCTTCTCCTCGAAATCCATAAGTGTAAAGTTTATCTACAAAATTTTTTAATTTAATAATAGAGGATTTTAAATTTTTTTCAAAAATAATTTTTGTTTAAAACAATAATATAGATAGGTGGTAAAAATAATACTTTTTAAATAAATTACTAACCCAAATCTTCGAAATTTTTTATTTTTGAAGTATATGACGAGAGTGCCATGAATGGAGCATCCACTTTCGAAATTCCAGAGCCATCGTCTTTTACTTCAATATTTGCTAACCCATAGTCTGACTAAAATAAAATTCATTTATTATTATATTTAGAAAAATAGAAGTATTATTATATAAAACTCAAAATAACAGTAATTTATTAATTATTTATATAATTTGAACTGAAATACAAATATGTTGTGACAATATATTCTTTTTTTTTAATTAATAACAATTAAAAAAAATACTTTACGAATTACTTTCATAGAAAAATATGAGGTTAATTTTAAACTTTATATTCTCTTTCAAAGAACTTTTATATTTCTTGAAAGAAAAAAAATTGCATTTTGTTCATTCACATAATTTATTGAAATTGTCTTACCAAATTTATATGTTTATTAAAAAAGTTTTAAAAACGTTAAATACTTACAAGGTTAATTTCAATATTTTTTGCACCGGCATCAAGTGAATTTTCCACGAGTTCTTTAACAGCAAAAGAAACTGATGTGATAACTTGACTTGTCTTTAAAAATTTCGCTGTACTTTGATCTAATGCTTTGATTGACATTTTAATTATTTAACACTTTATGTATATTTAACAATAAGTTAATAAAACTGATTAAAAACACAATAAAAGCAGAACGAAAATAGATAAATAAACAATCAACTGTGACGCCTGCGCGTGCTTTAAAAATGTCCACTTTTCGCGCTAATTTTCAAATTATAAAAAAATTCATTTACTATTTTTTCCTTTAATTTACATTTAATTCGACTTTTTTGTCAATCTAGTAATGTGATTAGCTAATTAAATTTTTTTACTTTTTTATATCTCTAGAATTTCAAAATGATTTAATATTACCCGCTTTTTTTTATTGACCAATAAGAATGCGACTTGAGGTCGGTAAAGAAGTTCTGAAAATACAGTGGAGGGGGTATTTAATGGCCGACTAAAAGCAGAAAGAGTGACGCTTATTTGGAAAACTTCAAATCTGTTAAAAGCATGATAATCGTAAAGTTAATTGTAAATGTTTTAAGGTAATTAAGTTTTATTTAGTATGAATAATTAATTTTATGTAAAAGTTTGTTAGAAAACTATGAGAAATATTAATATTTTTGTTAAAAACAGCTATTCAATTGTCGAACAAATGGCAATTTTGTCAGAGTTATATTTATGGAATCGGGTGTATAAAATAACTTTATCTGACAATATTCTCACATAATTGCGATTTGATTTGCATAATCAATTAATATTTCGAGAAATAAAAATAGAAATTGTAAAAAATAGGTATAATAATGTATCAAGCGTACCTAACCTAAAAATTTTTGGCATATTGCGCATTTGTTAACCGAACAACCAATAGGAAAGGAATGCGGCTCACAGTCGGTAAATAAGTTCGTAGTTTAGTACGAACAGTGTAGGGGGCGCTTTAAAACTATAGTTTGGCGCCATATTTATTTCCTGTCAAAAGTTATTGTTGTCTCGCATAATGTTTACATAATATTCTTTCTAAATTTGATGAATATTTTCATTGTAAAAAACAGTTTTTTGTTTTAAAGTATTTTTATGCTAAGAACTAATGTATTTTACAAAAGTTTAATATGTACGTGTTTAATAATGGTGAAATGTGAGTTGTCTGAGTTGTCTTATGAAGAAAGCACAATATCAAAGATGATGAATTTTTAACGGTTTTTTCAGTTTTTATTGTAATATTATTGTTAAACGATTGTTTAAATCTTTGACATGCAGTAGTAATTCTCTTGATTTATAATTTTTATCAATTGCACATATATTTCACATAGCCTAAAAGTGTTGATATATTTATCAACATTTACATTTTTCCATGATGGCGTCGACTTGAATATTTTTATATTTCTGATAAAAATATGCATATTTTGTCCTTATTTAATTAATTCTTTTAATTTTCCTTTTAATTTTAGTGACTTTGGTGAATCGAGGAGTTTGTTGGCGCTGTCAAATGTCAATAAAGATCTTCGGTGGAGGTCCGAACTATACGTCCGTAAATCCCATAAAGTCAGTAAATTATTTTCAATATCTACTATTTTAATAAAATTTTCCAAAAGAATTCAATTATTTAAAAAAAATTTAAGAAGCTAGCTTCTGTAAGCAAATATTTAGTTATTTTCATAAATAATAAAAATTTTACAGGAATTCAATTATTTACAAATTTTTTACAAATTAACTCAGCAATAATTCAATCTTTTTCATAAATAATAAAAATTTTTTTATAGGATTTCAATTATTTATTTATTTATTAATCTATTAATTATTTTTATAAGGGAATTTTTCACATGTGAAAGTTGCATGAAATTGCGAGACAGGGGGTGAGGGGGGGGGGGGGTGAAAATCACAAAAAATCCCTAAATAATAAAGCTCATGTTTGAAATATAGTTTTTCCTTCCATTATAATATTTTTAAAGAAATTCTTTTCAATTTTTGGAACATGATGAAAAAATTAAAAAAGAAAAACAATGAAATTGCTTCCCGAAAAAAATCTAAATTAATTTCAGAATTCTTTATTGTATTTCTCTTAAAAAAATCGATTTTGATAAAATATTCTTCAAATTTTGAGTAAATTTTTTTTTTTATGTAGCCTTAAAGAAACAAGACGTTTTGATTCTATGTTTACATAAAATTTTTTTTTTCTTTATGTACATGGAAAAATTTAATTTATAGTTTTAAATAAAATGTTCTCTTATTTTTCTCAGACTGGTTATATTTTTGTCAGAATTGGTCCGTAATTTTGAATGTTTGTCCGTATAGTCCGTATTTTTAAATGATTTCACAAGATTTAGAATTTTAAATACCAATTTTATTTTTAAGGAATTAATTTATCTTATTTTCTTTTAGCTGGACTACAAAGGGGAAGTTTTTTCTACTCAAAGAAAAAATATGCAGTCACTGTATCTTCCACTACGACGCTTATATAATTCGAAATAGTGAGTATTTTTTTTTATTCGTAAAATTAAATTTAAAATGTAATTTTCAAAGTTTTCATCAGACTTTGCGGGGTCTGGTTTTTTTCTAAAAAAAAATTTTATTCATTTTTTGATAACGGTCAACTAAGTTAGGTAGAGGGTTAAGTTTCTTTAATTTTCTAATCACTTGTTCTTCTTCAGAGTATGACAATTCGAAAATACAAAGGAGAGGAGAGATGTGGAGAAGAAAAGTGGTCCCTGCGCACTGCCGTGTTTTTTTATTTTTTTTTTTGTAGTTTACTTAATCTATTTTTTAATTTTTTTAAAATAGTGTATTTAGTTTATTTTTTATTTATTTTTGTTAAAATTTTAATTCACGGTTCCGTGTGGCCCTTGACCTGGCGCAGAAGTGCAATCAAGAGCCAGGGATCTTCAGGGGAGGCCCAGAAGGGGTGATGTCGTAGGATCCCGTCGCCACAACGTGGGCTCATCATCCACCGTGGGAATCACAAAGTGGACAATCACAAACTGTGATGCCACTAAACAAGTGAGTCGATCAAACAATCGACTTAATATTACGAAATTCCATTTTCAATATTTAACCTTCCCTGTTTAACGCGCTTTTTGAATTGATTTTCGTCAATTAAAATTAGTATAATAGTAAATTAATTTTGAGAATTAAAAATCAATTTTTTTTACTAATTCTTGAGACTATTTTGTTTATTTAAATGCAGTTGAAATTAATTTATAAATAAAAAAATAATTTTTTGATCAATTTTAAAGTTTTGAATTTTGAAATTGTTTATTGAACTTTTTTAATAAATATATCCCATTGTTAAAAGTCGACAGTAAATTTCTAAAAAAACAGGGAAGGAACAAAAACAACATAGTGACACCATTGATAATAATTATTGAAAAGTTCTGAATGTTCAAATGAACGAAATTTATTAATTTCTTTTACAAATTAAATTTTTGCTACTATAATTTTGCATCACTATAGTTTCAAAATGTAAAATATAAATTTATCACTTTATCATTCATTAATATTAATAAAAATTAATCTGTAATTTATGAAAGTGTTTTTAACAGGAAAAAATATTTCGTTCATTTGAACGTTCAGAACTTTGGAGACTTGGCAATTGGCATTTATAGATATTTTTTTCAGGAATTTTTTTTTTCTTTTTTTGAGTGATTTTTGAGCTGAGGTGACGGATGCGTCCCGGGACGTATGGGTGAGCCTAACGTGCCCCTTTATCCCTAGTGTAGGCTTTTTGCACCTTGGCGGTATGAGAGAGGATCGTGGAGTGTTTGTAATTAAAAATTAGGTTTGAATTAAATAGATAAGGAGTCGGTAGGAGTAGCTTTTTGCGTATGATTGACTTAAATTTTTCTTTTGTTTTAAATTGAATTGTAGGTAGGAAAATTGGTATAAATCTTTTAAGTGTGTGTATTTATGTCTCAATAACTGAATTAAATTACAGTGATACCAGTACCGGTCTTATAGCCATCCCGATGTTCTGTGCAAGAATTTTAAATTGCGCCCCTCCCCCAAAATAGGAATATATATTTTCGCACATGCATTCTCGGCGCCTCCTAACGTGAGGTTAAAAGTCGGTACTGCGGGAAAAGATTATTTTTATTTAAAATTTATTTCTTTATATTATGTCACTATGTTGTTTCAAGTTTTATTTGTTCTTTTATAAATTATAATTTGTATTTAATGTTTTTTGTTTGTTTATTTATTTTTTCATCTCTGAAGTAGTTTTTTTAATTTAAGTTCATTTTTTTTAATTCGTGGTTAATTCAGAATAAAATTTAATAAGTCTATCAGCTTCCCTATAGCCACTTTCAATTGCTCCGTGCACAGTGCCAAAGTGATGTTTATTTGTTGCTTCTCCGGCAAATAAAATCATCTGTAGAAAATAAGAATTTTTTTGTGGCTATAAAAATTGTAAAATTAGTAATAATAGTAGTAGTACTTACTAGTTTTGTTTTATCAATGGGTTCTGCTAATGTTTCAGCCCAAACACTTTTAGCATCTGACTTCATATTCCTAAAACTGTAGGTTCCCTTAAAGTGATTATTACTATTCCACGTGGTTCTGAAACGTAAAAATCGCATCTTTAACTCTACATTCATGATTAAATTCAGTCATCTTTTTGAGAAATATATATCTACATATTTAACTAAGCATTTAAAATTTAACAATTTTATTTCTTAAACACTTAGTAAATTAAATTAATAAATTTAGGATCCAATTATTTTTTTACCGGATTATTTCTGTTGGCTTAGTGACATTATATGTTTTTCCAAGGAATCTTTCTATAACTTCGATGCAGTGATTTTTAACTTGTTCTTCTGTTAGTTTTTCCATTTCTCGACTATATTTTCCAGATACCCATCCCTCGAGTAATTTTGGTTTATGTTCTACTGTTTCGAAGCCAATTAAACCAAGAAGCCAATTTTTCTCGGGCTGTTATTATAGAAGGAGTTTTTAAATTGTTTGTATTCATGAATAGTTAGAGAAAATATTTTCAGTAAAACACACTTCATTTACAATCATTTCGAAATCTTCGTCTTTCCAGAGAAAATCCAAAAATACCGTTTCCTTAGTCCACCAGTATTCTTCAAAGGAGAGAAAAATCTTTCCAACATTTCCAAATTCAAGTGCCTGAAATTAAAAATTATTTACTTATGAATCAGTAACTATTTATTGAGAATTTTTTTGTGTCAAACCTCAATGGTTTTTTGTTTTCTTTTCGGTAAAGATGGTTTAAACATTGAATGATGTCTGTCTTTTAAAACTCCTAAGGAACATGTAACAATAACATGATCAGCAGAGAATATTTCTCCGTTTGATGTTTGAACCATAATTTTTTCATCTGATTTGGAATAATCTATTAATGTAACTTCAGTGTTTAATATTGTGTTATTGATAATTGGTAGCTCTTCTTTTGGATTTGGATACTGCTTCTAAAAATTAGTGAAGAAGGTGAAAATTATTATTGGATGTAAAATATATTTAATAAATCTTTATGCATCATAAGAAACTATTTTAAAATAGCAATTTTTTACTGTAAGTAATTCAAGAACAGTGCCATATCCATTTTCTTTCCAATTCATTAAAAAATCTCCGGTACTACTATGATATTCCGAAATACTTGTCGATGAAATATCCAACCATGAATCTGATGATTGCCAAACGCTTTGCATCATATCGAGCAATTGAAATAATCCTTTTTCATTTTCTTTAAAATTTGGATGGATATCAAAGTATTTATTAAATCTGTAAATTAATAATTTACAAAACTACATTTTCTCCCACATGATCTTAATTAAAACGGGAAATTAATATTTATTTATAATAATTACTCGTCAGTGAAAAATTTCCCAACTGTCACATTTGTGTATTTCGTAGCACAATGTGATAATTTTTTCTCAGTTTTATAATAAAAATCATAGAAATCATTAATCACTGTTTGATCAACTTGCTTCCCTGAAGAATCAAACATACTATTGGAATAATTTCTTACAGTACTTCTCTCTAATAGTCCAAGTGACCATGCCATATCGAATACAATATTTTCTCCGTGAACCCATTGAGCTCCGAGGTCAACAAAATAATCATCTAATTAAAATCGTTTAAATAATTTATTTAAATTTTATATTCATTTCATTTATTACATTTAAAAATAAAATAATTATTCGTAAAGCAATAATAATGTATTACAAAGAAAATATCATACGCTTTAATATTATACGAAATAGATAAATTAATTAACATCATAATTATATAGTAAATTTCTTCTTACTGAATTTCGTTGTATATACTCTTCCACCAATTCTATTTTCCGCTTCGAGAATTTTTATATTGTTGAAACCATTTTGAAAAAGTCTGGATGCAGTGGCTAAACCTGATGATCCTGCGCCAACGATAATTACACTTGATGGCACTACGTCTGTATTAACTTTCAAAATTGTGGTCAATAAGATTAGGAGTGATTTACTTAAAAATTTCATTTTGAATACCATTTTTTATTAATTATTTTGTTAGACTTTTGTTAATTGTATTATCCGCATCTTTGTCCTCGAGAGTTGCTGAATTATTGGTTTAGTATACCTTGATCTGAATTACTTAAACATGAGGTTTGATAAATTAATTTTCTTACTCACAATATTTCATTAGTCACAGTTATGCATAATTAGAACATAGATATTTTATATGGATAATTATTAAAAAAATCTTTATTGGTTTTGAAATTAATTTTTTTTGCACTGTTGTTTATTGAAAGTCGCATTTACTCGTGTAAATCGTTTTTTAGAATCTTGATTTATTTTTTCGTCGAATTGATATAATTATGCAAAGTTAATTGAATATGAAGGAAATTATCATTTGTAATATGTTGAAGCTTATTTGCCAGGTATATAAGTTATGATTTTAATAGTTTGTTTTTCTGTTAGACAAATTATTCCAGTAAACAAAAACTAATTGAAATAAATTAAAAAGAATTCACAAAGAGCTTCAGTGAATCCCGCTTTGTGACAAATACGAATTGGAGCTATGTTGCAATTTTCCTGAATTCGTCAAACTGTATTGAAATTCCAAACCTTCTATTCTAACTAATTCAATGGACAAGTTTTGGGGCCTTTAATTTTTTTTAATTCGCCAGCACGAATTCAATGCATGCCTTGGTCATTTCTTTCGAATGCGAATTCGTTTGCACAAATTCAGGCAAATTCAATCGAATTCAATCGAATATACAAAAAGCTTGAATGAATCCCGCTTTCTACCAAAAATCTTAATTCATTTCAATCCGTTTGAATTAGTTTTTTTTACTGGGATATTAACTCTCTAAATTTGAAAGTGTGTGATGTCATTTAATCATTAAAATTAGTTAGAAAGAATGTTTACTGACTAGCAAATGATGTAGCACTATTTCAGATTTAAACGAAATATATTTAGTGAATAATTTAGAAAAGAGAAAAAGAAAATCGAAGTATTCTTAACATTATTTTGATCTACATTCATGTTGGATTGCACAATTTTTTAATTAAATGTTTCTTTAAAATAAGATAAGAAATTTGAAAATTTGCTTCTACTTTCTTGCTTTTGGATAATGTTTAATAATTCTATCAGCTTCTCTCCAACCAGTTTCAATTGCTCCCTGAACTGTGCTAAAGCGATGAGGATTTGTAGCTTCTCCAGCAAACAGAACTTTCTAAAACATTAGAATTCTAGTAAATAAAAATTCATTTAACAATTAATTCGTAAGGATTACAATATCCGTTTGCAAACCATTTTTAAATCCTTACCAATTTCTTTTCATCAATCGGTTCTGCTAATGTTTTCGCCCAAACATTTTCGGTGTTAGATTTCATACTTCTGTAGCTGTAGGTACCTTGAAAATGACTGTTACTGCCCCATTTAGTACTGAAAATTGATAAATTTCATTCCCTTCAATTGTACTCAATGTATTTCAATCAATTCGATTCTTTCATAAATGTAATTTTGTCTAAAAGGAAAATATTTTATCTTCTATGTTAAGACTTATTTAACAGTAAGAGAAAATTATGTTACCGAATTACTGCACTGGGTGAAGTAACATTGTGTGTTTTTCCAGCAAATCTTTGTAAAACTTCAATACAATCTTTTAAAATTTGTTCATCCGAAAGTTTCTCCATTTCTCGAGTATAATTTCCGGACAGCCATCCTTCGAGTAATTTTGCTTTGTGTTCCACTAATCCAAAACCAACTAAACCGAGGAGCCATTTCTTTTCCGGCTAGAAAAGTATATTACAATTTTAGAGATGTATTATTTTCTCAATATTACAGTTAGAATTCTTTCAATTTTATTTCTTCTTTAATAGAAGCTCACATTATTTTTTATTTGCTCTAAATCGTCATCTTTCCAAAGAAAATCAAGCCATGTAAATTCTGAAGTATTGTTAGACCACCATGGTTCTTCGAAATAGAGGAAAATCTTCCCAACAATTCCAAATCCAAGTGCCTAAAAAATTAGTATTATTACAAAAGAAATTTGGAAATATCTATTTGTTTAGAAAGAATAAGTAAAATATTTGATGATTTCTATTTTTCGTTAACAAAGAACGTACTTCAATAGTCTTTTGTTTTTCATCTGAGAGAGCAGGCTTGAAAATTGAATGGTGTTTATCTTTTAAAACTCCCAAGGAACATGTGAAGATGACATGATCCGCAGAGTAGGTGTCTCCGTTTGCAGTTTTCACTGTAACTTTTTCACTTTGATTCGTGTAGTCAATTAATGTAACTTCTGCATTCAAGACTGTATTATTTAAAACAGGCAATTCCTCTTCGGAATTTGGAAAACGTTTCTATAAAAGCAAATTTAAAATAAGTTATTCCCCTTTTTTAAATTTTTCGATAACGAAACTTTTTACTATCTAAAATAATTTACCTAGATTCGGCAAGGGTCCTGCTGGCATGTGGACTAACTGAAAAATTTCATTAATGAGAAAAGGATAGACATACCTACGTTCTTTTTTTACTAATAGAATTTTTTAGTTAGTCCACATGCCACCAGGACCATTACCGAATCTAGGTATATTGTCTTAGGTTCTATTCAAGAAGGCTAGTCTTCTTGGTTCTATTACATAACTTTGTTCCTTTATATTGCGAAATTTATCATGTTAAGTAACAGATAAAATGTATTGTGTAAGAATTAAATAAATTACTATCAGTATGTCCAAAATAGTGCCATAACCACGCTCTTTCCAATTGACCAAATAATCACCAGCATTATCATGATATTCTAATGAACTTGTTATTGAAACATCCCACCAAGTATCTGCAGCGTCACCAGCCATTGTCATCATGTCTAGTAAATGGAACATTCCCTTTTCATTTTCTTTAAATTGTGGATGAGAGTCAAAATATTTGTTGAATCTAAAAAAAGCGCAAAAAATCTAAATCTGTAACAAAATCTATATAAAAATAGTTATTTTTCAATTGATAATTACTCATTGGTAAAGTATTCGCCTACAGAAGCGTTTTTGTGTTCTTCAGCATAATCTGATAAATTTTCCGTTAATTCATGGTGAAAATCATAAAAATCATTAATAACAGCTTGATCTAATTTATTTCCTGCAGAATCGAATATAACGTCTCGACGACTTGTTATGTTACTTCTTTCTAATATTCCAAGTGGCCAGACCATTTCGAATACAACGTTTCCTTTTTCTCCGTGCACCCATTGAGCACCCATGTCAATTAGGTAATTTTCTAGTTATAGCAATCAAAATGTACAGAATAAGTTACAAAATTTAATGATAACTAGTTTTACAAGAACAATAATGAATGAAATAGAATTTTAAGAATATGTTCTTACTAAATTGTGTTGTATAAACTCTGCCACCAATTCTATTTTCGGCTTCAAGAATTTTAATATTTTTAAATCCATTTTGGAAAAGTTTTGATGCAGCTGAGATTCCAGAAGGCCCTGCACCTACAATAATTATGCTCGGTGAATCATCTCCATTTACTTTTAAAATTGTAGATAGTGATATCACTGACAAAATACTAAATAATTTCTTGTAAATCATCATTACTTCTCAGATAATCTTGGACTGAATAAAAATTGTAAAATACAGTTTCTCTCTTTTCTGCTTTTATCACTCTGACAGTGGTAATGGATCTAACTGTTTTGATAGTACTTTGAGGTCAGGTTTGATAGTTTATTTTTTGATTATATTCAACAAGAACTTATTGGTTATTAGTGTAAATTTATTACATAGTGAACTGAAGGGAGTTGAAAGGCCATTTTGTTAAGAAAAAGAGAAGTTTTTTTTGCATTGTTCCTGATTACGAAATTTAAAAATTCGCATCACTTTTACAATGATTAAATTTACTTACTATATCACAATTGTCAAAAAAAATGTATGAAAGTGAAGGATTTGTCTTATATTTTCTTTTAGATAACGAATTAAAATATTGCGATAACTGCATTTTTTTATTTTATTTGCAACGAATGCATAATTAGATTCAAGATTATTAAATGATAATTTTTGAAGGACAAAAACAAATGTTTAATAATTAATAAACGTCTTAGCACTGTACCAGATTTAAAGGGAATATATTTAGTAAATATTAAAAAAAAGAAAAAATGACAAACATTGTTAGTATTATTTTGATTGACATTCATTGTTGGATATTATAATTTCTTGGTAAATATTTTCTTTTAAAGATTATAAGAAATTCGATTTGCTTCTAATTTGTTGCTTTCGGATAATGTTTAATAATTCTTTCAGCTTCTCTCCAACCAGTCTCAATTGCTCCTTGAACTGTGCCAAAAAGATGAGGATTTGTAGCTTCTCCAGCAAATAGAACTATCTAAAAATATTAAAATTTTATAGTCAGTAAATATTAATTTCTTTTTATAATTAATTTGTAAAGATTAAACCTTCCGTTTGTTAATTTTTTTTCAAATTATTACCGGCTTCTTTTCATCAATCGGTTCTGCTAATGTTTTCGCCCAAACATTTTCGGTGTTAGACTTCATACTTCTGTAGCTGTAGGTACCTTGAAAATTACTATTACTGCCCCATTTAGTACTGAAAATTGGTAAATATTTCTCTCTTCAATTGTACTCAATGTATTTCAATCGATTCGTTTCTTTCAAAAATGTAATTTTCTTTAAGAGAACAAATTTTATCCATCACTGTGTTATTCTTTTAATATTATAAAAAATTATGTTACCGAATTATTGCATTGGGTGTAGTAACGTTATATGATTTTCCAAAAAATCTTTGTAAAACTTCAATACAATCTTTCAAAATTTTTTCATCTGAATGTTCTTCCATTTCTCGAGTATAATTTCCGGCTATCCATCCTTCGAGTAATTTTGCTTTATGCTCCACTAATCCAAAACCAACTAAACCGAGGAGCCATTTCTTTTCTGGCTAGAAGATTGAATTATAATCTTAGAAATTCATATAAAAACACAGTAAGATTGTTTTCAATAATTATATTTCTTTATAGTTTGGATTTTTATTTAACGAAATTCGTGGTTTAATAAATTTGGCTTACATTATTTTTTATTTCCTGTAAATCGTCTTCTTTCCAAAGAATATCATTCCACGTGAATCCATGTGATGTTTCGTTAGGCCACCAGGGTTCTTCGAAATAGAGGAAAATCTTTCCGACAACTCCAAATCCAAGTGACTAAAAAGATGAGAATGTATAAAAATTTTGTAATGTTTATTTGTTTAGGAAATAAAGTAAATACTTGATGATTTCTATTTTTTGTTAACAAAGAACGTACTTCAATAGTCTTTTGTTTTTCATCTGAGAGAGCAGGCTTGAAAATTGAATGGTGTTTATCTTTTAAAACTCCCAAGGAACATGTGAAGATGACATGATCCGCAGAGTAGGTGTCTCCGTTTGCAGTTTTCACTGTAACTTTTTCATTTTGATTCGTGTAGTCAATTAATGTAACTTCTGCATTCAAGAGTGTATTATTTAAAACAGGTAATTCTTCTTCGGAATTTGGAAAACGTTTCTATAAAAGCAAATTTAAAATAAGTTATTCCCCCTTTTTAAATTTTTTGATGAAGAAACTTTGTTCTGTTTAAAGATCTTTGTTTCTTTGTTGCGAAAGTTTTTCATTTTAAGTAACCAATATCATTATTATAAAAATTAAATTACTATTAGTATATCCAATATAGTGCCATAGCCACGTTCTTTCCAATTGACGAAATGATCACCCGCATTGTCATGATATTCTGATGCAGTTGTCGTTGAAACATCCCACCAAGTATCTGCAGCGTCACCAGTCATTGTCGTAATGTCTAGTAAATGCAACAATCCCTTCTAATTTCCTTTAAATTGTGGATGAGTGTCAAAATATTTGTTGGATCTAAAAAGAAAGTGCTTTTCAAAATCTGCATTACTTTAAAAAATATTTTTTCGATTGATAATTACTCGCTTGTAAAGTAAACGCCTATGGATTCGTTTTTGTGATCTTGAGCGTAAGCTGTTAAATTGTCATACAGTTCATTGTGAAAATCATGATAGTCATTAATAACAGCTTGATCTAATTTATTTCCTGAAGAATCGAATATACCACTCCGACGACTTGTTATGTTACTTTTTTCTAATATTCCAAGTGGCCAGACCATTTCGAACACAACGTTTCCTTTTTCGCCATGCACCCATTGAGCACCCATGTCAATTAGGTAATTTTCTAGTTATATCAATCAAAATGTACAGAATAAGTTACAAAATTTAATGATAACTAGTTTTACAAGAACAACAATGAATGAAATAGAATTTTAAGAATATGTTCTTACTAAATTGTGTTGTATAAACTCTGCCACCAATTCTATTTTCGGCTTCAAGAATTTTAATATTTTTAAATCTATTTTGAAAAAGTTTTGATGCAGCTGAGATTCCAGAAGGCCCTGCACCTACAATAATTATGCTCGGTGAATCATCTCCATTTACTTTTAAAATTGTAGATAGTGATATCACTGACAAAATGCAAAATAACTTCTTTTCGAACATTATCATTGGTCAGATAATCTTGAACTAAATAGGAATCTCGAATTGCTCTTCCTCTTTTTACTGTTTTTATCATTCTAACAGATAAAATTGGCCTAATTTTTTTGATGATACATTGAGGTCAAGTTTGACAGTTTAATTTTGAATTATTATTCAACAAGAAAATCTTGATTAGTGTAAATTTATTGCATAATGTACTCAATGGAGTTGAAAGAGAATTGTTTTTAAAAAAAAAGTTTTTAGCATTATTCCTGATTATGAAATTTAAAAATTCACATCACTTTTACAACGATTAAATTTATTTACTCACTAATTATTATAATTGTCAAAAAAATATGAATGTGAAGGATTTGCTATTTGTGTTTAAAAATTTGCTTTATAGATAACGAATGAAAATACTGCAATAATTGCGTTTTTTATTTTATTCGTAACGAAAAGCATAATTGGATTAAAGTTTATTAAATAATAATATTTGAAGGTCAAAAAGAACTGTTTACAATGTGATATTGTAATTTTTTTATTTATTCAATGTGAAAATAATTTTTCCAAATGATAAAATGTTGAGATAGTTGAAAATCTAATTTTTAACATTCGGATGTTCTTTCATAATTCTATCAGCTTCTCTCCAACCGGTTTCAATTGCTCCATGGACAGAACCAAAATGATGGGGACTTGTTGCCTCCCCGGCAAACATAACGACCTGTAATTTTCAAACAATGTAGAAATATGCAAATCTTTATTGAAATAATACCTTCTAATTTGATGGTAATGTAAAAAGATTAAGAGGCAAGAATTGACTGTTTAAGAATTGTAATGTTCAACACTTACTGGTTTTCCATTGCCAACTACGGGTTCTGCTAATTTTGTTGGATTAACAACGTCTTGGTCACTCTTTACATCTCTGAAGCTGTATGTTCCCATAAAATGTTTATTGCTATGCCATTTTGACCTAGAATGTAAAATGTGTTTCTTAGCTTTTAAGTTTTCTCTTTTGGAGATTGAACATTCATTAGTTTAAAATTGATGTGAAACTTAATAAATTTAAAATTATTACATTTTAAATTGATGATGGGAATTGAATTTCATTGCTCAAATTTAAAATTACCTCATCATTCCTGTGGGTTCTGTGACGGTGTGCGTTTTTCCGAAAAATCTTTTCAAAATGTCAACAACCTGAGTTTTGACTTGATCATCCGTGAGCTTTTCCATATCCATAGTATTTTTTTCTCCGGATACCCAAACTTGGAGTAAATTTGGCTTGTGCTCAACTGCATAAACTCCAACCATACCCATAATCCACTTCTTCTCAACCTGGAAAAACGTTTTGTTTTAATATAGAACTTTTTCAATATTTTTAACCTTGCGTGGAAATATTAAGACAATAATTTTACAATATGTTGTACTGGGTGAATAGATATAATTTTTTGTAGTTTTATGAGATTCATTAACGATAATACCCACATCCTTTTCGAGCATTTCTAAATCTTTGTCCAACCAAAGTAAACCAAATCCATACTCCATATCTTCTTTCCACCATGGCACATCATAAGAGAGATAAACCTTTGCTGCATTTCCGTAACCAGTTCCCTAAAATAATTTGTCACAAGTCATTTTTGTTTCTCGTTTCAATTGAATAAAGAAACTAGTGTTTCATAAAACAATAGTATTTTTTTAAATAAACAAACCTCGATTGCTTTTTGTTTATCTTCTGGCAAAGCGGGCTTGAACATTGACTTATGTTTGTCTTTTAACACACCCACGGAACATGTGACAATTACATGATCTGCAGTATGTGTGTCTCCATTTGTAGTTTTTACTGTAACTTTTCCATTTGGATCTGAGTAATCAATTGATTCTACTTCAGCATTTAATACTGTATTTGCCATCACTGGTAATTCTTCTTCTGGTTTCGGAAAACGTTTCTGCAAAAATATGTGTTACTTTGTGCCGAAAACTAAAATTTCAATTTACTGTTTTGTGCTTGTTGTTCGAATCATTAGACAATTTTTAAAATTCAATGAATATTAAAAAGTATACTACCATTAATATATCGAGAATAGTTTTATATCCATTCGTTTTCCAATTGACGAAAAATTCACCAGGGCAGTTGTGAAAATCATTGACAGCTGCTGTTGATACTTCATCCCAAGAATTTGCAGCATATATAGACATCATAATCATATCATGAATGTGTGTGAATCCTTTTTTGTTATCCTTCCATACTGGATGTGCTTCCACATATTTATCAATTCTGAAAGAAGGACATTCTTCCTGTTAATAACTGGCATCAGTATATTTAAACTACTTGGTACTCTCTCTATTGATTGAGAACTAATAAAAAGTAAATTCAATATGATAAATACTTATTCTCGTAATAATCGCCTAAAGGAGAATTTTTATTCGTCTTCGCATGCTCTACTAATTCATCTTCTACTTTTACAGTAAATTCATTAACATCTTTGACGTCATTTTCATTTACTACGTTGCCCTCAGAATTCATCATTTTCTCATGCATATTTACTGCTTCTCCGTCTCCTTTATCTAATACTCCATGTGGCGCTGCCAATTCATAAACAACATTTCCTTCTACCCCGTGGACCCATTGGGCTCCTAATTCAACTTTTTTATCACCTTAGGGAATAAAATTTAATAATCTTTATTAGCACTAAATATTTATACAAGAAAATATATTTTTATTTTTTTACCAAAATCTTTAGTGAATATTCGGCCTCCAATTCTATCTTCTGCCTCGAGGATTTTCACATTTTTAAAACCATTTTGCATAAGTTTGGATGCTGCTGCAATTCCCGATGCTCCTGCCCCCACAATAATTACACTTGGTTGATCATCATCGCAATTTACTGACAAAATAATTGAATACAAGAATAGTAAAGCAATAGTAAAGAAATTCTTCTTAAGCAGCATTTCTGCTTATTATTGTACTACAATTTTCCAAAATGATCTTCCAAGCTTGATGGCTCAATTTATATTAACGGATTAATCTGAACGCATCTTCTGTTATTAAAGTGTCACTTGCGATAATCTATTTTTTTATGTTTCGAAGGAAAATTTATTCATCTCTATCAAAACAATTATGTATTCAGTGTAATGCAATTAATCACAATGCTTGTGTTCAAAATATTTTTCTGTTACTTCAAATAATTTGATACGAATTTATAAAAATAATTTCAAGGTCAATGGTACTATCGTGAAAATTTTTTATTATAATTTACTGAAGACAACACATTATAAAACTAATAATTATCCGATGATTTTTATATAAATATAAGTGGAATAAAAGATCAAAGTAGCATGCGATAGGAATGAAAATTGGTTCAATGGCGTTTTTGTAATCTTCAACGTAATCTGATAAGTTTTTTCTATTTTTTAGTAAAAATTAAACTAATTTAAAAAAGTAGTTGATTAAAATTAGCTTGATCAAATTTATTTCTTGTATATTGAAATATAATATCCCGACGACTTATTAAATTAATTCTTTCAAATTCTTCATGTACTGTAAGGAAAATCCAAAACACTGATAAATGTCTTTTTAAATTGATAAATATACAATTCAGATTAAAATTTATTTTGTGATATTTTTTTAGGGACAAAGACAAAACCTTTCGCTGTAATACAACAATTTTTAATTTGATTTATTTGAAATTATAATTTTTTCTAAAAGATAAACATCAAGATTGTTAAAAAGCTAACTTTTAACATCCGGATGTTCTTCCATAATTCTGTCAGCTTCCCTCCAACCGGTTTCAATTGCACCATGAACTGAAGCATAGTGATGGGGACTCGTTGCTTCGCCGGCGAATAAAATGACCTAAAAATTACATTAAATTTAGGGTACTGTAAAGTAATCGCTTAAAAAGAAAATTATGTTAAAGTCAAGATTTGAGAACTGAAAATTATCAAATTCATTAACACTTACTGGTTTTTCTCCTCCAACGGGTTCTGCTAATTTTGTTGGATTAACAACATCTTGGTCACTTTTTGAGCTTCTGTAGCTGTAAGCTCCCATGACATGCTTATTGGTGCGCCATTTAGTTCTAAAATGTTTAATATTTTTTTTAGTGCTTAGATATTCTCTTCTGGTGATTGCATCTTTGCTAGCTTTTGAGTAATTTTTTTTTTATTTTTAATTACTATAATTAAAACTAGTGTTTCAAATTTAAAATCACCTCTTCATTCCAGTGGGATCAGTGACGGTGTTGGTCTTTCCGAAAAATCTTTTTATAATTTCAACAACCTGACTTTTGACTTGATCATCCGATAGTTTTTCCATGTCTTCAGTGTTCTTTTCTCCGGATACCCAGCCTTCGAGTAAATTTGGTTTATGCTCTACTGCAAAAATTCCTGCTAATCCCTTAATCCACTTCTTGTCATCCTATAAAAGCATTTTTATTTTTACATTCTACATGAGAAAGTATAAGTTTTGGTCGAAAATAATTGACTTTCGCTAATTTCATGAAATCTCGACGTTTTGGGGTCCCCTGAATCCGAAAAACATGGTCTAGAAAAAGTGTCTGTCTTCGTGTCTGTCTGTAGACACAATGGTGTCGCCACGATAACTTTTGAAAAACTTATTGTATCAACTTGCAACTTTGCATGCACAAAGTTAGTGTTAAGGCGTACTTGCGTTTGCGAAGGCAAAAAATGGGCCCCACATAAATATTTTTTTTTCACAGTCATTTTATTTAAAATATTAAAAACGATTTTTGCACCTTAAAGTACATTATAAAAACTAAAAAAAGAAAAAATTGTTTCGTTTTTTAACCGTTATTTACGATTCGTAGAGTGCCCCAAAAATTGTCGATCTCAAATTTGTAAGAGTTTGCGGTGCCCCGCATAGAGCCTCTCCTGACTGTCTAAAATCAAAAAAACAAAATTTATTCTTTAGTATACATTAATACCTAGTGGACTAACCTGATGAAATTAAAAAAAAGTAAAAAAAACGAAAATGCGGTACTTTTAAAGTCAAAAATTCAAAAGATCAAAATCATCATTCTTTAAAAATTGACTTTAAAAGTACCGCATTTTCGTTTTTTTTACTTTTTTTTAATTTCATCAGGTTAGTCCACTAGGTATTAATGTATACTAAAGAATAAATTTTGTTTTTTTGATTTTAGACAGTCAGGAGAGGCTCCATGCGGGGCACCGCAAACTCTTACAAATTTGAGATCGACAATTTTTGGGGCACTCTACGAATCGTAAATAACGGTTAAAAAACGAAACAATTTTTTCTTTTTTTAGTTTTTATAATGTACTTTAAGGTGCAAAAATCGTTTTTAATATTTTAAATAAAATGACTGTGAAAAAAAATATTAAAGTGGGGCCTATTTTTTGCCTTCGCAAACGCAAGTACGCCTTAAAATACAGATCGAGTTCGTTAGCCAGCCATTTTCGTCGAAAACTATGCAAACTACAGTAGTTTTAAAATTTTGAAAATTCAATTTTTTCAAATTTCATTATGTATTTTTAACTTTATATTACTTTAGATTAGAAAAATACAAACAACTTTTCTTTACAACATTTTTTCAGAGAAAGTCAAATTTCGGAGTTTACGGTGTATTGGCGGAACCCTATTGGTGAGACTCTGTTGTCCGTAGCCAAATCGTGTCCCCCCCCTAGCGGCTAAACTATTTGACCTAAAGAGCTCAAATTTGGTCCAGATATGTATTTTCACTCGTAGATTACAGGAAAAATATAGCGAATGTGATTGGACGTGATGGTCATAGCGTTGTCAAGGAAATAACAAGATTTTTGGCCAAAAATGCATAAAAAGTGACCATTCCCCCCCCCCCCTTAACTTCTAAACTATTCGACATGGAGAGCTGAAATTTTGCATGCTGGTGTATTTTTACTCGAATATTACAGGAAAAATATAGAGAACTTGATATGTAATGATGGCCATAGCGTTGTCAAGGAAAAACGCCAAAAAATTTATTCAAGAAACTTTTTGAAAAAAAATCAAAAAAAATTTTTTTTTAATTTTTTTTTTCAAAAAAAAAAATTTTTTTAAATTTTTTTTAGTTTAAACACGTGGCATTAAATATTTTAAGGAAGAGAGTGAAATTTTAAGAGAATAAATGAGAGATTGTTTTCTGACTTTAATTTCTTAACTAAAAATAAAAAAAAATTGGACAAGTGCGAGTTGTACTCGCACTGCAATGGCGGGTTCCGCACACAAATATTAAAACAATACTTGCAACATTGATCGGTAATTGGTAGAATTAAAATAAACAATTATAAAAATATATTAAAATCATTTGATAAAAAAAAAAAACTAAAAAAAATTAAAGTATTGTATATCTAATATTGTAAACAATAATAAGCAGAGGAACTATAATAAATTTTGAAAATTTTGTTCCTCTGCTTATTATTGTTTACAATATTAGATATATACAATACTTTAATTTTTTTTAGTTATTTTTTTTTATCAAATGATTTTAATATATTTTTATAATTGTTTATTTTAATTCTACCAATTACCGATCAATATTGCAAGTATTGTTTTAATATTTGTGTGCGGAACCCGCCATTGCAGTGCGAGTACAACTCGCACTTGTCGAATTTTTTTTAACAAAAAATCTATATTCCGACTCAATTATCTCCAAAACTATTGCCTGTGGGAGCTTACTACCCGAGACTTTTTTTCTCGTCTTACCATCAGCTACAACTTTGCTGTTGACAACTTTTCACTAAACTTAAAACTTTTCGACTTATTTGCAAAAAACTAATTTTTTTTACATTCTCATCACATGAGAAAGTATTAGTTTTGGTCGAAAATTGACTTTCGCTAATTTCATGAAATCTCGACTTTTTGGGGTTCCCTGAGTCCGAAAAACATGGTCTAGAAAAAGTGTCTGTCGGTATGTCTGTCTTCGTGTCTGTCTGTAGACACAATGGTGTCGCCACGATAACTTTTGAAAAACTTATTGTATCAACTTGCAACTTTGCAAGTACAAAGTTACTGTTAAAATACAGATCGAGTTCGTTAGCCAGCCATTTTCGTCGAAAACTACACAAACTACAGTACTTTCAAAATTTTAAAAATTCAATTTTTTCAAATTTCAATATTTTTAACTTTATATTATACTCTAGATTAGAAAAATACAAACAACTTTCCTCTACATTTTTTCATAGAAAATTAATTTTTTTTTTTTAAGTTTTTGGGTCAGGCTAGCTGAACTGGGTTAAAAATTTTTTATTGATTTTCTAAAATGTTATAACTAAAATATATTCATAAAAGTTTTAACATTTTAGAAAATCAATGAAATTTCTTTAATATACAGTTTGGCTGGTCTGACCCTTTTTTACATTTTTATTTTTGGTCCTATCTTGTTGGAAATGGTTTTTTACATTCTCATCACATGAGAAGGTATTAGATTTGGTGAAAAATTGACTTTTTATACCTCAGGCACAAAATAGGCGCTTTTAGATAGCAGCCAACAGGAACTAAAAGCCATTCATTTGTCCACTTGAATGAAAATGGCGACCTTTTTTTCCCATGGGCAAAAAAAACAGCTAGTCCCATGCGTTATTTTTGCTCATGGAAAAAAAGGCCGCCATTTTCATACAAGTCGAACAAGTGAATGACTTTTACTCCCTGTCGTCTGCTATCTTAAATCGCCACTTTTGTGCCTTTGGAATAAAAAATATCGTAAGTAACACGGGACTTAAAGGCTGCCTTTACGTACCTTGTTGCTTAATATACTATTTGCTAATTTTATGAAATTTTTGCGTTTTGAGGTGCCCTGAATCCAAAAAACATGGTCCGGCGATTACGTCTGTCTGTATGTAGGTTTGTCTGTCTGTCCGCGACGATAACTTTTGAAAAACTTAATTTTTTTAAAAACTTTTTTCGAATTTTTGACTTTTTGTCTCATCTTAGTGGAGGTGATTTATTTTTGCTTGTTAAAACTATGGGTAAATTTTGGAGGATTGTTTTTATTTTCTTAGTTCAAAAATTTTTTTGAAATGCTGTGCTATTTATTATTATTTTGTTCTAATTTGGGTATCCTACCTTTGCTTTGCTTACAATTTCTAAGCAAAGAATACACGTTAATACCTGAAGTAATTCTCATACTGTTGAAAATGACCTTTAAATTAAGAAGAGAAGCTTTAGAAAACGTTTACTATTTTATAAGTTATTCAAATATTTGTATAGCATTAAAAATGGCGATTTTTTCAAAATCTAAGTGAATTTCTTGTTTAAGCTCAAAATAACATATAATAACAATATTTGTTAATATATTTAATAAATTATGTAAGAGGCGCGTCTTGACGGAAGGTCCTACCGAAAGTTTAGGCGCTTGGACGTTCTTTTAAAAAAATCATGGAGAAAATTTATCTAATTGTTCATTTTTAAATCTTCAGTAAATTTAAAGTTTTTCTTATAACAATTAAACTATCACATTCACTGTATCCGGATTTACATGTTTTTAATTATACATTTGATATATATTTACAAATCACGTATATAGGGGGAACGGGAAATAATGGCGCTTGCGCGGACAGATTTTTTTTTATTTGATTGAAGAGTAATTTTTTTTGAAAATTCTGAACCTTTTCTAAAAAAATTTTAATTGCGCTGCTGTCTGCATTGCGAGCGTTTCTTTCAATATTAAAAAATGCTGTTTAGCTTGAAGGAAAACATCTCTTTCTCTACAAGGACAACAGCATCTTTTAAATTTTTCAGTGATTACTTACATCCTTTTCGAGTTCTTCTAAATCTTTGTCCAACCAAAGAAAACCGTAACCATCATTCATATCTTCTTTCCACCAGGGTGCATCATAAGAAAGGTAAACTTTTGCTACATTTCCGAAACCGGTTCCCTAAAATAATTTGCAACGAATAATGCAATAAAAAAAGTAATTTGTTCTTGTAAAAAATATAATAGGTAACTAGAGGAGAAGCAACTTTTCTAGATTTGATTCTTTATGATCGACAAATAGAGAGTTCGTTTCTCCCCTAGTTAGGCAATATAATAATTGTTTCTCATTTTAATCTTTTGGGTTGTCAATCTTTGAAGAAATATTATTTTTTATTAACAAACCTCGATTGCTTTTTGTTTATCTTCTGGCAAAGCGGGCTTGAACATTGACTTATGTTTGTCTTTTAACACACCCACGGAACATGTGACAATTACATGATCTGCAGTATGTGTGTCTCCATTTGTAGTTTTTACTGTAACTTTTCCATTTGGATCTGAGTAATCAATTGATTCTACTTCAGCATTTAATACTGTATTTGCCATCACTGGCAATTCTTCTTCTGGTTTCGGAAAACGTTTCTGCAAAAGTATGCGTTATTTTGTGCCGAAAACTAAAATTTCAATTTACTATTTTGCGCTAATTATAGGGTAGATGCACCAGTAGTCAAGGCTTACATATGCTTTTCTTTATTTTTGTTCTTCTTACTAAGTGTGAAGGAATCCCTCCAAACATAGTGAAAAATAGCACATTTGAACCATTTAGAACCTTTTTTTTTGCTGCTGATACACAACTAGTGCATCTACTAAATTGGAATCATTAGATAAAATTTTGAAAGTTTGGTGAACATTAAAAAGAATACTGTACCATTAATATATCGAGAATAGTTTTGTATCCATTCGTTTTCCAATTAACGAAAAATTCACCAGGACAATTGTGAAAATCTCTGATAGATACTGTTGAAACATCATCCAATGAATTCGCAGAATATAAAGCCATCATTACCATGTTATTAAGATGTGTAAATCCTTTTTTATTTTCCTTCCATTGTGGTTGTACTTCAAGAAATTGATTAATTCTGAAAGAATTAGGGAAAATTACTTTTTGGAAATATAGGAATTTAGAGTATTTGCACTGCAAAAAGAAGTATCTTATTTAAGATGTTTTGGTAGTCATTTCTAAGATGTTATGGTAGTCACTTTTTAGTCATTTAAAATATCTTAATTTAAGATGTTAAAAGTATCTTCGTACACATTTTCTGTGTATTTTTGGGGCAAAAAGTTTTGAGGTTAACTATGGGCTTATATGTAAGACATTTTATGCATCTTAGTTTTTAGTAACTTAAATTTTTTTCGCATCTTTCAATTCACAAGTATCTTATTGCTAAACATCTTATTGAGACAGAAACATCTTAATTTAAGATACTTTAAAAAACTTACAGAAGTATCTTACTTTTTTAAGATAGAAGAAATATCTAAGACGTATAAAACATCTTAAAAATCAGTAAGATACTTTAGAAAACATCTTATTTTAAGATGTAAGATACCATTTTTCCATCTTATATCTTATTTTAAGATATCAAATAAGACACTTATTTTTGCAGTGTGAGTATTGAAGAAAAGTAAATTCAATGATAAATACTCATTCTTAAAGTAATCGCCTAAAGGAGAAGTTATATTTTCTGCAGCATGCTCTCCCAAACTTAGCTCCATTTTTGCAACAAATTCATTAACATCTGTAATGACATTTTGTTGCACAACATTGCCTTCAGAATCCATTATTTTCTCATGCATATTCACTACTCTATCTTCTCCTCCTTTGTCTAAAACTCCATGTGGCGATGCCAACTCGAAAGCAACATTTCCTTCTACACCATGAACCCATTGGGCGCCCAGTTCAACTTGTTTATCACCTTAGGGTATGAAAGTTTAATTAGAAATTATTAATACTATATTTTTAAGAGAAAATATTGAAATTTAATAAATGCATTAATATTACAATAAAATATTTAAATTCTTTTTTTTGCTTACCGAAATCTGTGGTGAATATTCGGCCTCCAATTCTGTCTTGTGCCTCTAGAATTTTGACATTTTTAAAGCCATTTTGCATAAGTTTGGATGCTGCAGCAATTCCGGATACTCCAGCACCAACAATAACTACACTTGGTTGATCATCATCGCAATTTACTGTTAAAATAATAGAATATATAAATAGCAATGCAAAAGTTAGAAATCTCTTTTTGAATAGCATTTTTAGTTATATTTTTTAAGAAATTTTCCAAAATGATGTTTCGATCTTGACGGTTTAAATTACAGTGACCGATTAATCTGGACGCATCTGTTATTAAAATGTCATTTGCGATAAATGTACATACTCTTTTTTATGTTTCGTAGAATTTATTACTCTCGATAAAAACAATTACGTATTCTACACAATTCAACAAGTCATAACACTTAATTGTAGTGAAATTAATAAGTAATTATTTAAAGTAGATATTTAATTGCTTAATTTAGAGATGATATTCACATTGTATATTTTTTTTAAGTATAATTGTGTTTTTAAAGTTCTTTTTTCTTTTTTCTAATAATTTTATAAAAAAAATTGTAAAAAGAAGTTCAAGGCTGACGAGATGATCGTAGAAAATTTTTATAATAATCTACTGTAGGCTGTAAATTATGAAAATTTGATAATTATTAGATCATTTTGTTGTAAGTGTGTATACCTATATATATTTATTTATAAACATAATATATATACAAGTAAAATTTTATATACGAAGCAGAAGATCAAAGTATTTTGTGTTGGGTCAAATTAAAAAAAAATGTTCTGATGCAGTTTTGAAATTAATATTTTTCCCTCAATCATAAAGATTTGTATGTTTGTTTCTCAGGATGTAATTTTAATTTTTTGACAAGTTTTAAAAATTTCCTATACTTAGAGCAGTTGAGTATAGATTAAAAAAAGAATTCTTCTTTTTGCCAAATAATAATTAATGTTAATTTTTTGATTGAATTTTTCTATTTTTGAATATACTTTTTTCTTTTTAGTGGATATTGCATACACTTAGTGAAATTTGTTTATTTAATTAAATTTTTTATTAAATCTAATTAAATTAATAGTATATTAGAACAAATGATCAAAAAATTATTAACAAGTTTTTACAAATTAAATTTATTTATTTCATTATGATCTTAATGATCAGAAATAATTTAATTTAATAAAAAATAATTCTATTATTTTTCAATAATAATTATTACAAATTTCTTAATTATTTTTTTGAATAAAGTTGTACTTTGAGATATTTAAAAAGGTTTTAATTCATCTCAATCTTTCGGTGCAGTTTAATAATTCTATCAGCTTCTCTATAACCAGTTTCAATTGCCCCGTGCACTGCACTAAAGCGTTGAGGATTCGTTGCTTCACCAGCAAATAAAATAACCTGTAAATTTAATTTTATTTTGGTAAAATGCAAAAAACATAAAAATTGGATGGAATAGTGGAAAAAATGAATTTTTTGCATAATTACCGGTTTTTTTCCTCCAATCGGTTCAGACAATTTTATACGAATGGGAATTTTATGATCAATATTTGGACTTCGGTAGCTATTGGTTCCTCGAAAGTGTTTATTGCTGTGCCACATGGATCTAGAAAATATTTTTTTAGGTATTCTATTTTCTTTTGAAGAATCGGATTTTATGTTTAAACTCTATATCAGTAATACTATATAAATATTAGAGAGTTTATTAAGCATGATTTATATTTTTATTGTAAATTTTATTTGCTAAAAAATATCTTTTTCTCTTTTTGATAAATAGGTACAAAAGAATTTGCAATTTAGAAATTCTTACTAATAAAAAAATTTCATTTTTGTAAAATAAATTCTCTGTTTTTTCTGTACTTGACCTTTATGCTTTAATTTTATCTTCACCTTGACTTTAATCTAGATAAAAACATTTTTTAAATTTAAGAAATATTAAAAAATTTATTATCTAAATATTAAATTATGTGTTTAATAGAAAATTCTTTCTTAATATCATTAGTAAAATGTTTAATATCCTTCGTATTTCTGCTATTTTTTGGCAATGTTATCAATGTAAATTTCTGAAAAAAGATTCTTAAAATATGTACCTATTGTTGATTCTAAAAATTTAAAAAAATTTTTTAAACTTTTTCGTAAAGATATCTAAAAATTGTGAAAGAAACTAAAAAATAGATCTTACCGCATCATTCCAGTTGGTTTAGTGACGTTGTAAATTTTGCCAAAAAATTTTTCTAGAACTTCATTGCAGTGATTTTTGACTTGTTCATCCGTTAGCTTTTCAACATCTCGCGAATGTTTTCCACTTACCCAGCCGGAAAGTAGTTTTGGTTTATTTTCAACTGGAAAAAATGCAAATAATCCCTGCAACCAACTCCTTTCATTCTGAGGAAACAAATTTTTTTTAAAATAGTTTATTTTTCCACAAAATGTAATATGAGAGATTCTTCTTTTTTATTTCAACAAAAACCCACTCACATCTTTATCGAGTATTTCTAAATCTTTCTCCTTCCAAAGCAAGAAATATTGACTGTTTAGTGACCACCATGGTTCATCAAAAATAAGGAGAATTTTAGCCACATTTCCGTAATTCATTGACTATAAAATAGTTTTTGATAAAATTCACGAAATACAGCAAAAAAAATTAATTTCTTTTCGATTTTGAAATATTGCACCGGAGAAAGATGAAAATAATAACTTTTACTACTTTTATAGTAAAACTAGTTAGGAATTTCAGCGCGTTTCTGAAATTCGATGTTTACTATTTTGGAGCAAATTTTAATGTTTTTGAATTAGAAAATTAACTATATTAATCTCTGTGGTTTTTCATTCGTTCTGTTCGCAGTATGAAGTTGGTTGTTAGTTACTTTTTTGTTTCCCAACTTTTTTAATTATTTTCTTTTTCAATATTTTTTATTATTTCCATTAAAATTAATGTATTGAAAATCATTGAATTCTTGCAAAAAATTTCAGAATAATTCAATTCCTTCAAAAAATTTTATTATTCAGTAATTAAATTCTCGCAAAGAATTATTAAATTAAAATTAAAAAAATGTTTAAAACCCTAATTAAATTTCTTTGAAGAATTATTTTCAATTTTTTTTTTTTTTTTTTTTTTTTTTTGAATAATTGAATTTCTTTAATAATTTTAATTGGAATTTTTTAAAGTGATTAAAATTTATTAACAATTTCTTTCAAGGAATTTCATTAAAATAATTGGAAAACAATTAAAGTAATTGAATTCTAACAAAAAATTCCTTTATTTATTGAGTATAATCAATTTACAATTAAACTTTTATTAAAATTATTCATTGAAAATTAAATTCTTTTATATAATTTTATTAGAATTTTTCTAAATAATTACATTTTTTTGGAGAATCTCTATAAAATCTTTTATAAAAAAAATGTAATTTTTCTAAAATAATTTTAAATGAAAATTTTCAAAATAAATGAATTAAAGAAACAATTTTTTTCAACTTTTTAAAATTATTGTGTCAGGTAATAATTATAATTAAATATTTGATCATTCACAAGTTTACTAAAACTGTATTTTGAAAATAACTGAATTCCTGAGAAGAATTTTATTAATTTTCGAAAGTAATTGAGTTATTTGAATGAATTTTATTAAAAATTTTAAAAAATTGAATTGTTTTGAAGGATTTATTGAAATTGTAAAAAATAATTCTATTTCTTTCGAGAAATATTATAAAAGTTTTTAAAAAAATTGAATTCATTCATGAAATTATATTAAAATTTTATTAAAAAATATTGCGAACTTTTGCAAAAAAAAATTACTTTAAAATTTTAGAAAAAAATTTGATTATTTCGAAAAATTGTATGAAAACATAAAACAATTCATTTTTCTTTTTCAATATTTTTATAATTTTAAAATTAATGTATTCAAAATCATTGAATTCTTGCAAATATTTTAGAATAATTTTACAGATTTTAGAAAAATAATTGAATTTTGAGCAAATAATTTAATTCTTACGAATAATTTTACTAATTTTAGAAAATAATTGAAATATTTCGAAAAAATTTCTATAATTATTTATTTATTCATTTTTTTATTTTTACAATTAATTGAATTTCTGTGAAGATTTTACTAATTTTTTTTATTCAAGAATTCAATTACATTTTCACAAATATAATAAATTTCCTGGAAAGAATTCAATTATTTTCAACAATTAATAAAATTCCTCACAAAAATACAATTATTTTCTAAAATTAATAAAATTCTTCACAGGAATTCAATTATTTTCAAATATTAATAAAATTCTTTCCAGGAATTCAATAAACTTTGAAAATCAATAAAATTATTTACGTAAATTTAATTATTTTCAAATATTAATAAAATTCTTTAAAGGAATAGGGTCATTTGGGGTAATAATGTAAACGGAATATCTATTTTTCACAAAAAACGTTAGTTTTTTTTTGTTAAAAGGTAAAACGGACGGATTTCTTTTGCATGAACTTGTTACTTTACTTCCCTAGAAAAATTTTATGAGGTACAAAAAAATATTGATGCACCTGAATCGCCTAAAACTGAATGTTTACATTTACCCCGAGATGTTGAAATTTTCCTAAAATTCGGGGCAAATGTAAACACCTCTGTAGTTAAGCGAGGTTTAAGAAACAAGTTATTTCAAGCATACACTGTAAAAAAAATTTTGGAAATTTTCCCAAAAAAATTGAGGAAGCAAATTCACATAAAAAGTATAAAAATTTCCCACAATTTGGAAAAATTCCTTTAAAGATTTAGGAAAATTCCTAAAAATTTGTAAATATTCCTTAAAACGTTTAGAAAAATCCCTTTCCCAACAGAATTTAGAAAAATTTCAATTCGTATCGAAAAATTTCCAAACACTCAGAAAAATTACCATTTTTTTGGGAAAAAATTTTTTCTAAACACGTTTTAGGAAAATTCCCATGCAAAAGTTTGGAAAAATTTCCGAAATTTTTTACAGTGTACTACTGTCTTAAGGGATGGAAAAACTGAAAACAAATTATTCGTAGACGTATAGTAAATCAACCAGTTGACTGATAATGTATCTTATAAAAAACAATCAACCATTACGAAATTAGTAATGTAAAAACTTGAATAACTTAAACAAATTTTAATAGATTTTCATTCAACTTGGTAAAAAGTTTTTTTTATTTTTCTGAATAAGAATTCGAGTTTTCGAATTCTCGGGGTAAATGTAAACACTTAATTATTTATTAATTAAATTGACGAAAATCAAAATCAAAGTCAATTTTTGATAGGGCATTAATAAGGAAGAATTACATATTTTTGTTAGATTTTTTAATTTATTTTTATGTTATCTTTTAATGCAAAAACGATTAAAAATCAAAGTTTTACTGTTTCAGTTTTTTTTTTCTCGCATTTGCATAAAAATAAATTAAAAAATCAAACTAAAATTTGTAATTCTTCCTTATTAATGCCTTAACAAAAATTGACTTTGATTTTCGTCAATTCAGTTAATAAATAATTAAGAGTTTACATTTAATTGAATAAATTACTATTTAAATGTATTTGAAACATTATGATGTCATAATAATTAAAATTCATTTAAAAAAATAAAATTTTAATTATTTTAAATAAAACGTTGAAATAAAAATGCACGCGCGCTCGCGCGCGTCCTTTTTTGCTATTATTCCATATAAAATGTCAAATTCGACCCCGTTGCGTTAGTTAAATATTTTGTCACCAGATGGTGTATCGCAGTTCTGCGGTTCCTTATAGCTTTTCAAAAATTAAATTATTCAAAAAAAATTCAATTTTAAATCTGTAAAGTTCATTTATTGTTAAAAATATAAATAATTAAAAAAGTGTATTATTCAACAATGCATTTAGAACATGCACGCGCGCTTGCGCGCGTATCTTATGCTAGTTTCAGTAATTAATAGTAATAAAGTACATATATGTTTCAATAATCTGTTCGCAGTTTGAAGTTAGTTGTTGTTTGCTTTTTTGTTTCTTAACTTTTTTATAATTTTTCTTTTCAAATATTTTCAATTTTAAAATTAAATTCTTTTAAAGAATTTCTTTAAATTTTTTTTAAACTAATGGAGTTTCTTTAATAATTTTAATTGAAAATTTTGAAAGTAATTTAATTTTATGAAGAAGAATTTGATTAAAATTGTATTAAAAATAATTGAATTCTTGCGAAGAATTTTACTATTTATAAAAATAATTGAAATGTTTCGAAGAATTTATTAAAATTTTAAGAAATAATTAAATTGTTATGAAGAATTTTATAGAAATATTTAAAAATAATGAAATTTTTTCGAGAAATTCAATTAAAGTTGTTTCGAAAATAATTGAATTTCTTTAAAGAATTTTATTAAAATTAAGTGTATTCAAAATAATTGAATTCATCACAAGAATTTTATTATTTTTTCAAAAGAATTGAATTCTTTCAATTTTTGTGACAAATATATTTAAAACTTGCATTGAAAATATTTTGAGAATAATTGAATTATTTTTAGGGAATTTTAAATTCTTGTTGAAATTGAATTTTATGGAAATTTTTGAAAATAAATTATTTAATTCCTGCAAAGAATTTTATTTTTTTATAAAAATAGTTGAATTGCTTCGAAGAATTTATTAAAATTTTAGGAAATAATTGAAATTTATGAAAATATTTAAAAATATTTGAATTCATCCGAGGAATTCAATTAAAATTGTTCCGCGCGCGTAACATTTGCTAGTAATTAATAAATTGCATGTCGAACTCAGTAAAATTTACTCCGGAAATAGTAAAACTCACAATTTCAGAAATTCGCAGAAGTTTGAGACATTTTCGGTTTTGCTTTGTAAAAATAAAAATTAGTTCCGTTTATAAGCGAAGAGAGATTTTTTTAATGAATTTTTTTCTTTTTGTCAACAAACCTCAATGGCTTTTTGCTTTTCTTCCGGCAAAGGGGGTTTAAAGAGGGATTTATGTACTTCTTTTAAAACTCCAATGGAAAATGTGACAATCACATAATCTGCTGAATATTCATCTCCATTTGTTGTTTTTACAATTACTTTTCCATTTCTATTAGAGTAATCAATTAGAGAAACTTCTGAATTTAACTTAGTGTTCCTTATAACTGGCAATTCTTCCTCTGGTTTTGGATATCGTTTCATAATTACATCGAGAATAGCACTATATCCACGCTCTTTCCAATTAATGAAATAATCTCCAGGAATATTGTCAAATTCTCTAAAATCCACTGTTGAAACATCATCCCAACTCTCGGAGGAATACATTAATGTTGTCAACATTTTGTATGAATTTATCAATCCTTTTTTATTCTCCTTCCACTTTGGCTGCGCTTCTATGTATTTATCAAGTCTGTCAAAAATTGAGAAAATTAAATATAAAATTGCAATTATAACCAATAGTTTTTTATTTTATTTTCACAGAAGTAACTTTAACTATTTGCAATATGTAAAACCCAAACTGTTTGGAATTTCTGGAAACTTGTACTGTTTCCGTAATAATTTTTACTAACGTGAAAGTACATTTTACTTTACTTTTACTATTTATTAAAATTTACTTCGGGTATTTTAAAATTTACTCTGCAAGTAACGATTTTTAATAGCAAATTTTACCATTTTCATAGTAATTTTTTGTGTAAAAATTATTACCATTTTTTTTAACGAACCCAGAAAACAGTTGTTGTTAATTTAAAGAAATTGGTTTCTTAGACTCATTTTTTTCATTCAAAATAAATTTCTCTTTCAAACAGAAAGAGGGTTTCTTATTCAAAGAAAATTTCTTTGATTTAAACAATTTTTCTTTAAATTAAACAAATTTTCTTTGAATCCAAGAAATTTTTTTTTAAATCAAAGCTATTTTCTCATTGATATAAGATGAAAGAAATAATTCTTTAATTTAAAAAGAAAAATTTCTTTGTAACAAATAAATTTTTATTTACATAGTAAATTCTTATTAAATTTGGGTAATAAATACTCATTTTTATAAAGTACACCAAGAGATTCGTTCTCATTGTTAGTAGCAAATTTTTCTAAATTATTCTCAAGATTTTTATGAAATTGAGTGAGAGAATTTATTTCTGATTTTTCTACTGCATCTCCCGATGAATTTAATATTTCTTCAGTGGATTCTGTTTTTTCTTTTTGCAATAATCCAAGAGGCCAAGCTAGTTCGAAGACGAGATTTCCCACTTCTCCATTCACCCATTGTCCTCCAATGTCGACTAAATATTCGCCTAATTGAAAAAAAATTATTTACATTAAATTTTTCTGTGTTTCAAAAAAGAAATTACTAAAAAAATAATAATTTTTGCAAAAATGTTATTTTTTAAGTAATTTCTTTTTGTCTTATGAAATATTAAGAATTACATTTGAATTGTGTGGAAAAATAAAATATTATATAGAAACAGAAAAAAACTTTTTTTAGAAAAAGTCGAATTTTTGTTTTACCGAATTTAGTGGTAAATACTCGTCCTCCGATTCTGTTTTCAGCTTCGAGAATTTTTACATTTTCAAAACCGTTTTCGAAAAGTCTTGATGCAGCGGCAATTCCGGATGCACCTGCTCCCAGTATAATTACACTTGGTTTAGATTTTGTTTCGAAATTTTCGTTTTTCTTTTTCTCTTTTCGCAATTTGTATTCTTGTTCTTTATTCATTTCAAATATTAATTGATTTTTATTTGTTTTCCTTTAAAAAATTTGTACACGTGTCTTTTTCTACTTTGCGATTTATCTTGAACTAAACGCATCTTATTAATTTTTTGTCCCCTCTCATTACGGATTTCACTTGAATAGATTATCTATAATTTTTGAATTGATTATAATATATTGTAATAATTTTACAACATTTATTTACAATAAAAATAATGACTCGTTATATTTTTCTTGGAATGTATAATGAGCAGGAAAAATTTTTTCACGTTTTTCTATTTTAATTTATTTAGAGTAAAATTAACAAAGTGTGAGTAATTCCATTTTTATTTGATTGTAGAGAAAAATTTGGATACTTGAGGCAAGAGAATAATTTTATTTTGTCCTCCAACCCTATTTCTTCTTAGGTATTATTATATTAGTTAATTTTCTTTTAAGTTAGTATGAATCTCATTAATGATAGCTTATTATCTTGGAAGAATGATATTTGTTATTGTAGGTACTGTATAAGAACTTTTAGAACGTAAACAAATTATAATTTTTTGTTAAAATTTTAAATCATTTATAATTTCCAAGTATGATTTCAATTTTTTTTTGCATTTTATCAGTATATGTGGTAACAATTTTTTTCTTATTGAAAAATGAATTAATTCACTATATAAGGATTTTTCAAAAATTTCCCATAATACTTAATTTTGTTTTACTAAGAAAAAAAGTTAAATTAATTACCGATTCTAGTATAATTACTAAATATGTATTTACTCAACATATATTGAACAAATATTTTCAAAATAAATAGCTGATGATAATGTTTTTTTTTAGATTATGTTTATATCAAAATTATTTCCGGTTTGGATTTTTATTACAACTTTCCCGCATAAATGGATAACTACAAAATATAATTTTAAAGAATGATGTAGCATTCTATTGTGATAAAAAGTATGAGTTTTTTTAAACATTAATATTTTCTTAAGTGATAAATAATTATTACACATTTCACGAACACGCAGCAATTGACGCACTTACCCTATTTTCAATAAAATTTCACGAAAGAATTTCATTTTTTTCTTAATTCGTTATAAAATGTTTCAAAAAAATTCAATTATTTTCTAAAATAAATAAATAAATAAATCCTTTTCAAAAATCCAATTATTTTTATAATTAGCAAAACTCTTTGCAGGAATTCAATTATTTTCAAAACAATTTTAATTGAATTCCTCAGAAAAATTCAATTAAAAAAAATTTAACTCATTTTGAATAAATTAAATTATTTTCTAAAATATTTAATATATCCTTCGAAACAATTCAATTATTTTTATTAATAGTAAAATGTTTCGCAAGAATTCAATTATTTTTATAAAAAGTAAAATCATTTGCAGGAATTCAATTATTTTCAAAACAATTTTAATTAAATTCCTCAGAAAAATTCAAATATTTTCAAATTATTTCCATAAATTCAAGTTCACCAAGAATTTAAAATTCTCTAAAAATAATTCAATTTGTTTCGAAACAACTGTAATTGAATTTCTCGAATGAATTGAATTATTTTCAAATATTTCTACAAAATTCTTCAGAACAATTCAATTATTTCTTAAAATTTTAATAAATTCTTCCAAACATTTCAATTATTTTTATAAATAAGTACAATTTTCAGCAATAATTCAATTATTTTGATAAATATAGTAAAATTCTTTGCAGAAACTCAATTTTTTTTAAAACAATTTAGAATTCTTCAAAAGAATTTAATTATTCTTAAATATTTACATAAAATTCATTTATTTCCTAAAATTTTAATAAATTATTCGGAACAATTCAATTATTTTTATAAATAGTAAAATTTTTCGCAAGAATTCAATTATTTGTATATAAATAATAAAATTTTTCTCAGGAATTCTATTACCTTCAATACAATTTTAATCAAATTCTTCTTCATAAAATTCTATTGCTTTCAAAATTTTTAATTAAAATTATCCATTATTTTAAAAAATTTCAAAGAAATTCTTCATAAGTATTTAATTAGGATTTTTAAAAATTTTAATAAAATTCCTCGCGAGAATTCAATTATTTTCATAAATAAAGAAATTCTTCCAAGGAATTCAATTATTCTCTTCAAATTTTTTGTTAAGATAACTAATTTCAAACTGCGAACAGATTACCGGAATACAACGATTATTAATATAGAAGATTAGACAAATTTAAAAATTGTTGATTTTTGAAGAATTTTTTCTAAAATATTTTTTTAATTTTTAGAAAATAAGTAAAAATTAAATCAAGTAGTAAGGAAATAAAAATTTAAAAAAAACATATTTCTTTTTATTAATTATTGAAAATAAAATATTGTTAATATAGTTCTTTTATTGTAAAACTATTATACGATATTTTTAAAAAGTTTTCTAATTCGTCACAAGATTTTCATGGAGTTTAATAATTCTGTCAGCTTCTCTATAACCAGATTCAATTGCTCCGTGAACGGCACTAAAGTATCGAGGATGTGTAGCTTCACCGGCAAATAAAATAACCTGTAAATTTAATTTTATTTAAACGAATGCAAAAATTGTGTGTAATAACAGATGAAGTGATATTTCAAAATTTTCCACGCTTACTGGTTTTTCTGCTCCAATGGGTTCGGACATTTTTTTATAACTCGAAACTTCAGGATCGGTTTTTGGACTTCTATAACTGTTGGTTCCTCTGAAATGTTTATTACTGTCCCACATTGATCTAAAAAATATATAGAATTTTCCCTTTTAAAAATAAAAATTTCTTGATGTTCCTGTTTAAGTATTTTCCGAAAAATTATTTAACTCTTCAAATAAATAATAAATAAATTGTATTTAAATTCAACTTATTTTTTAGAAATTCAATTTTTTTACTTGTTTTTATTATAATATGAGCTTTCAGAAATTTTTTTTAGTTTTGCTTCCTCATAACGAAACTTTGCATGTATTTAAAATTATTTTGGAGGAATTAAATTTTTAAATTAAAAAACTTCAACATTGTTAAAAATAGGTATCAGTTAAAGGATATATGACGACTAATAAATACAAAAGAAATTAATAAAAAGACAAATAAATGAAAAGAAAACTAATAAAAAAAAGTAGAATTAAATAATTAAATCTAACTTGGGCAAATAGTGAAAAAATAAAAAATACGTTTTACCGAATCATTCCAGTTGGTTTAGTGACGTTGTAAATTTTACCAAAGAATATGTGAAGGACTTCAATACAGTGACTTAATACTTGCTCGTCCGTTAGTTCTTCCAAATCTCGAGAATGCTTTCCAGTCACCCAACCGCAGAGTAATTTTGGTTTATGCTCAACTGGCAAGAATCCAATTAATCCTTGTAGCCAACTCTTTTCTTTCTATAAAAGAAGTTTTAAACCTATGTATTTTATTTTATTTATTCGATATTACAATTTTCATGAAAATACATACTCACATCTTTCTGAAATATTTCAAAATCTTTGTCCTTCCAAAGCAAGGTATATTCGTTGCTTGTTGTCCACCAAGGTTCATCAAAAACGAGAAAAATCTTCGCCAAGTTTCCATAATTAATTCCCTGAAATAATTTTTGTTTTTATAAATTATAACAAACTTCCGCAATTCATTGTCTAAAAAACAATTTTTGTTAAAATTAACGAAATGCAAAAGAAGAATTTTTAATTTCTTTACTCGATTTTCAAATAGAAAGAAAAAAACGAATAAAACAGTTTTTACTACTTTCATAGTGAAACGTAAAATTTTAGGAATTTCAGCGCATTTCTGAATTACAATTTTTACTATTTTTGAAGCAAATTCTACTATTTCTGAATTAGTAAACTTTAGGAATTAATAAATTGCATTTCGAACGCAGTAAAATTTACTCCGGAAATAGTAAAAAGTCACAATTGCAGAAATTCGCAGAAGTTTGAGACATTTCAGGTTTTGCTTTGTAAAAATAAAAATTAGTTCCGTCTATAAGCGAAGAGAAATTTTTTTAATGAATTTTTCTTCTTCTTGTCAACAAACCTCAATGGCTTTTTGCTTTTCTTCCGGCAAATGGGGTTTAAAGAGGGATTTATGAATTTCTTTTAAAACGCCAATGGAAAATGTGACAATTACATAATCTGCTGAATATTCATCTCCATTTGTTGTTTTTATAATTACTTTTCCATTTTGATTAGAGTAATCAATTAGAGAAACTTCTGAATTTAATTTAGTGTTACACATAATTGGTAGTTCTTCCTCTATTTTTGGATATCGTTTCATCATTATATCAAAAATCATGCCATATCCTCGTTCTTTCCAATTAATTAAACAAGCTCCAGGTATACTTTCAAAATCTCTGAAATCCGCTGTTGTAATGTCCTCCCAATTCTCCGCGGAATTAACTAACGTTGTCATTCGATTGTACGCATTTGTCAATCCCTTTTTATTTTCCCTCCACTTTGGATGCGATTTTACAAATTTCTCAAGTCTATAACAAATTAAAATGAGTGAATAATTTTATTAAATGTAAAAATAATGTTAGTATTTAATAATTAAATAATAAAAATAATAGAATCGTGAATTTCGAAAAGAGATAATCTACAAGTTTGTAACGTTCAACTGAACAAAATTCTTTGTTAAAAATATTTTCTGAAATTACTGATTGTAATAAAAATTAAAATCTTAAATTCAATATTAAGAAACTATAATTAATTTTTTTATGACGCAAAATTATTGTAATAAAAATTTAATTTGAATAAGAAATAAATAAATTTCGTTCATATGATATTGTTATTGTTATTAATGTTGTTGAACTCAGGTGATAAATACTCGTATTTATATTTTACGCCAATGGAAGCATTTTCGTTGTCGTCAATATATTCTTCCAATTTCTTTTCAACATCCTTATGAAATTGAAGAAGATCAGCTTTCTCTGATTTATCTAAAATATGCCCGGATGAATCGATTAATTCTTCATTAGAATCCGATGACCAATCTGCTTTTCCTTTTTCCAATAAACCAAGAGGCCAAGCCAGATCGAAGGCGACGTTTCCCACTTCTCCATTCACCCATTGTCCTCCAATGTCCACCAGATAATCGTCTAATCGAGAAAAAAAATAATTAAAATAACAAAATAACAAAAAATAATTTTTGAAGGAAAAAAATTCAAAAAATCAAACATATTTAGAAAAAAGTAAAACTAGGAAAAATTATAGTTATAGTGATAGAATAGTTTTGATTTTACCGAATTTAGTGGTAAAAACTCGTCCTCCAATTCTGTTTTCAGCTTCGAGAATTTTTACGTTTTTAAAACCATTTTCGAAAAGTCTTGATGCTGCGGCGATTCCTGCGGAACCTGCTCCTAAAATAATTACACTTGGATTTGATTGTGTTTGGAAATTTTTTCTAATTAACTCTTCTCTTTTCTCTTCTTCTTTTCTTCTTTCGTGTTCTTTAGCCTTAAATTTTTCTATCAACTCTTTTGTCGAATATTCTCGTTGTTCTGAATGTTGCACTTGTTGAAAATCGTCCAATTCTTTATTCATTTCGAATGTGTTCTTCGTTAAATAGAAAAATAATAATATAATACCTAATTGTAATGAACAAAAATTTTTTTAACAAGACAAATACTGTAAAAAATTTTATTGTTTACACTACTACTTTGTGAATTGACTTTAAACATTTAATTTAAAAATTTTTTCTCGTTACCTTGCGTATTTGAAATGAATAACTAGATTGTAAGTAGGTAATTTGTTGAATTTATAATATATTTTAATTTTTCTACATTTCGCATTGTTAAATTATTTATGTTTTAATCCTATAATTAAATTTTTACAAGACACGTGTTTAAATATTTATTTAATTTCAGGGAGAAAAAGTAACAAAATCCGGATTTTTTGTAATTTAATAGAATAAACAACATTATTAATATCATCATCAAAAAGGGAAACAAATAAATAATAAAATATGATAAGAAATTGTGTGGAAATTTTTCTAGTAAATTTTAAAATATTTTTCTAATTTTTTGACTAATTTGAATAATGTTTAATAATTCTATCAGCTTCTCTATGGCCAGTTTCAATTGCCCCATGAACAGTGCTAAAGTGTTCGGAGTTCGTTGCCTCTCCGGCGAATAAAATTACCTGTAAATTTATTAAAATTTTTTTAAATCTAAAACTAAATAACCAACCAAAAAATATGTTTGAATTAAACATATTTTATAATTGAATTGAACGTAATTTTTATTGAATCAAACTTATTATTTATTGAATCTTTGATTCAGATGTATTATTTTCTCATTATATTTATGAATTGAATTTATTTAATTAATTTAAATGTAAAAAAAAATATTTTATAGTTGTCGAAATGATTTTTGTGACTCTCGAGTGTATTAGCAAATATAATTATATAGAAATTATTACCGGTTTAGTATCGTCAATTGGTTTTGCCAAAATCGAAGACCAGGAATTATCAGCATCTGATTTTAAACTTCTAAAACTGTAGGTTCCTAGAAAGTTTTTGTTACTATTCCACATGGATCTAATGAAAAAAAAAATAAAAAGACTTTATGTAAAAAAATTCTTCACGGAATAGATCAATTTATAATTTAGTACCAACCGAATCATTCCAGTTGGAGTTGGAACTTCGCGATGCTTCCCAACGAATCTATGGAGTAGCTCAACTGTTTGATTGAATACTTTTTGCTCTGAAAGTTTTTCCATTTCCCGGGAATAATTTCCCGATATCCATGCGTACAATAATCGTGGTTTATGTTCGACGAAAAAGAATCCAACTAGTCCCAACATCCAATTTCTTTCTGGCTGTAAATTCAAATTTCCATTTAATAAGTAGACAAATTTCTCGAAGAATTTTTGAAAAATTATTTTTAACAATTAATTTAGAGAAAAAGTTTAGTTAAAAATTGTAGCAAATAAAAAGATTTTGAAAGATTACAGTTGTAATTTTTAGAAATAATTAAATTTCTGAAGGTTTGAATTTAAAATTATAAAAATGTTCTTGTGGAAATATAAATAACAAGTATTTAAATATTTATTTAACAAAATTATTCAAGTTGTGAACAATTGAATTAAAGAATCAGTGAAAAGTCTAGGGAGTAAAAAATGAAATCTTGGTCACAACACTGAATAAAATAAATGACTTTTTTTTGTATTTTTAATGGACAAAAGCGACTTTTTGCGCCTTAAAATAATAAATTTATTATAATTAAATTTATTTATTGTAATGATATAATTATGCAAACTTACATCTTTTTCAAGTTTTTCGATATCCTCTTTATTCCACAAGATAGTAAATCCTCCATAAGTAGTGTCATTGATCCACACCGGATTTTCAAAAGATAACAGAATTTTTGCTTCACTACCAAATCCAAGTCCCTGTTTTTAGAAACAAGATATTATTTTCTTTAAAATACTTTCATTGGGATAAAAATATTTGCAGGTGTACTTTTATTTTTGTTTATGAATTTTTTGATAAACATCCTGAACAATTGTAGACTATTTTCAATTCTTGAAGGTTGTTTATCTTTCAAAACAAAAGTTTTTTCTTCAGATTTGTTGGAAATTTAGATAATTTCTTTTCATCTCTTCTTGATTGTTAATTGGAAAAAAAAGAGAAACCTTAATTGTCTTCTGCTTTTCTTCTGACAAAGGAGGTTGAAAGAGGGAATTGTGTCTATCTTTTAAAACACCCAAGGAACATGTGAAGATGACATGATCAGCAGAATGTGTGTCTCCATTGACAGTTTTTACTTTAACTTTTCCATTTGAATCCGAGTAGTCAATTGAAACAACTTCTGCATTTAAAATTGTGTTGTTCATAACAGGCAATTCTTCTTCCGAATTTGGAAAACGTTTCTAAAAATGATAAATGATAAGTATTATTTGGTTAAAATTTCCTTTACTTTACTTTCCTGTGAAAATCCTGTTATTATAAAAATTCTAGTTGAATTTATTTCACTAAAACACTAATCACTCTATTTACATATGTACATATTAATTGTCAAACTTTTGACATGACAATTTGAATTGTAAAACAATTTGTAATTAAAAAGCCCTAACTCCACGTGAGGACAGAATATCTCGATTATTATTATATACTGATCACGATGATACTAATAAAGTAAAAATAGTGTTTTTGTTTTGATTGTGCAGAAAATTATTTACCATTAAAATATCTAGGATTGTCCCATATCCACGTTCTTTCCAATTTACCATATAATCTCCAGGACTGTCTTTAAATTCGGAAATACTTGTCGTTGAAACTTCCCACCATGAATCGCCAGCATCATTTCCCATTTGCATCATGTCAAATAAAAGTGAAATTCCCTCGGTTTTGTCTTTCAATTCGGGATGATCTTTAAAGTATTTGTTTAATCTGAAAAAGCAAATTAAAATTATTATCAGATGAAAGAATATTACAGGTAATATTAATAATAATACTACTTGAAAATTTAATAATTTCCTAATAAAAATTGAAACAAATATCTACTCTGCGACGAAGAATTCACCAATAGATCCATTGTTTTTCTCCGAATAGATCGATAATTCATCTTTTAATTTGAAAAATAAACCTATAATATCCTCAGTTATTGTTTGATTAACTAAATTTCCAGAGGAATCAATTATTAAGTAATTCAATCCGCTTAATAATCCTCCTCTCTCAACGACTCCGAGTGGCCAAGCTAATTCGAATGCTATATTTCCTTCTTCTCCATGAATCCACTGTCCTCCAAGATCAATGAGATTATCACCTATAATTGAAAAAAGTCAATTTTAATTGTCAGTAACAATTTTATTTATTTATTTAGTAATATACGGGACTATTTAAATTTATAAAAATTAAAATCGAACCGACTGTTGCTTTGGAGTAACAAAAAATATAACTCACCGAATTTAGTTGTAAAAACTCGTCCTCCAATTCTATTTTCCGCTTCGAGAATTTTGACATTTTTGAAACCATTTTGAAAAAGTTTTGATGCAGCGGCAATTCCGGATGCTCCAGCACCAACAATAATTACACTTGATTCTTCTTTGTTGCTATTGACTGCTAAAATAATTGTCGATAATAATAGTAAGAAAATAGGGAGGATTTTTTTTATCAACATTTCTTGTTTCTATGTCTATTGTTTATCTCTAGAAAAAAGGTTGAAAAATGAAATTATCGACAAGATTAAAATATATTCAAACGAGAGTGTAAATCTACACTGTGACAATTTAAATTCCGTAACATTTGAACATCATTTGATAATCTACTATTTTTTAATGGCATCATTAAATGGCAAGGTCAACTCTTATATTCTAACAAGGGTTCATTGAAAAAGATAAATGAAGTTAAAATATTATGTAACTAAAACCATTCTTTAAAAACAACAGAAATCAACATTATTATCAACCTACTGAAAAAATAATTATCTTAAAAAAATTATATGTTTCTAACTGAATAATTAGATTTTTAATTCGATAAAAATTTAGTTTAGTTTGAAGAGAATTTAAGAAAAAGAGAGTAAAAGATTTTTTTTTATTATTAAAAGAAATTTTCTATAGAACAGGGAATTTTTTTTTTATAAATAATAAAACATTCTTTGCGATTAACTCAAACATTTATTTCAAAAGTAAAAATTATTTACAGCAAGGATAACAATCTAAGTTATCAAAGTTTCGTTGAAAATTGAATAAAAATGCTGCAGTCGTCTTTTTTTTTACATTGTAAATGCGGAGATAAAAAATTTGTGTTTTGTATAAAATTATTTTTTTAAAAAATCAGTCTTTAAAAAATTCCTAAAATAATATTATGGTTTGCTGTTTTTTCTCACTCTTTCATATACCTGTTAATTTATGTACAATATGTAGTTATGTGGGATAAATTATTTTATTGATGAATAAAAATTTTGTTTCTTAGAAAAAAATTTTGTTCTCTAAAATTTTAAACAGAAATTAAATAAAATCTTTGCTTAAATCGTCATCCAGATATATTTTCATTGCTTTCTCTTTAATGCATATAATAATAAATTTAAAAAAAAAGTATGCATATGAAATAAAAATATTGCCTAAGGATACATATATATGCGATTTTGATTTTCTTTAAAGTATTCAGGCCTCTGATACAATTTATATTTATACAAATACCTACAATTAAATACAAATTTAAATACAAAAAATTAACTTTTCGTAATAATTCTAACTGTAAACTCTTCATAGCTATCAAAAATTATTTGAAATTTCGAATGATTTAACTATAGTTATTTTTTACACTGTAAAAATCGAAATAAACTGCATTTTATACCAAAAAATTGGTATTTTGTTACAATATTTGGAAAAAAGTCGGATTTTTACAAAATTAGTCAAAAAAGGCGCCTGTTTTAAAAATAATCGGAAAAAGTCTAAATAAACGTATTCTTTCCGAGGCCTGTATATTTCATCTGCGATAATTTATTTTATTTTGGAATTTACAAAGATTTTTCTTTATAATTGAAATCAGAATTTTTTATAACTTTCTATCATAACATTGTTTAATAAATTATATTCTTAACATTAAAAATATTTAAACAAATTTTAAAAAATTAATAATTTTTTAGATACTGAAGAGAAGTTAATTTTATTTCTGATTTTTAAACTTGCTTTTTTAAAAAAAAATACATATTTCTCTTAGAATAGACATAAACAAAGTGTAAAAAAATAAATTTATATAAAATCTTTCCAATCGCCAACATTGACTCACATAAGCAAAAGCTTATCAACAAAGAAAAAGCCTTAGGAAATTTTTTTTCTCAACTATATATATAAAAGCAAGAAAATATGAAGAAAAGCGACTTGCAGTAAAACGAATAATAAAATGAGAATTTACAAAAGTACTGTACAACAATTCAGCGTAATACACTTAATTATATGTATAATATATAATATATACACGTATTATTAAAAATATGTAAATAATTATGAAAAGCTCTCTTGTGTTACAAATAGATTAAGAATAGAACCCAAAAAATAGAGCCATTTATAATTGTTTAATAAATATTATATTTACGTATATAAAATCTGTCATTTTCAATATAATAGAAATTTATTCACTTATTTATTATAAATATAATACTTTTTTAATTAAAAAATTTCCATACGAAATATCTCAAATTTACAATATTTATTTTAAAGATAATAATTTTTTATTTCATATATTCTATTTTTGGAAAATTTTAATTTATTACATTATTATTAATGGCTCTAATTTTTAAGTTTTTCTATATCTCGATTCGTTATCTTGTACATTTATAATCTTGCAATCAGAGTAAAGTAGAATTATAATTTTGGCACATTTACGGAAGGTACTTGATATTTGTTTTTTCTTCTTTGTGTTCTTTTTGAGAAAGTAAAACAAAAATTGTTTTTTTTTTAACAAATTTTTTAAATATTTGGCCAAAATTTGATTAATTTACTCGTACTCAATTTAATAGATCATTTAGATAATTTACTGATATTCAATTTAATTATTGATTGATCCAGATAATTAATTGATATTCAATTTTATAGTTAATCATCGAAATATTCTAAAATTCTATATATATATATTCTAGATTCAATAATTCATTATCTTTTGTTCGTTAGTTGCGAGAGTTCAATGAATCCATTTTTACATTAGACAAGTTGCCATTTCAAGCAATTTTATAAATTTATAAATTTTCGATAATATATTTTTAAAAAATTTACAATATAAATAAATAACATCAATAAATTCCTATTATAAGGAAGTGATAACATTTTTTTAAAACTAAAAACAATTTTTCTCGAATCGTAAAATAATTTTGTAATTCTAAAATAAATTCTTTTATACAATTTTCGTATTTTTTGCTTTTTAATTTGTTAAGTAAAGATTCAAATCTTGTCAGATAAAAAATGGATTAATTGAAGAAATGAGTGATCAAGTTAAAAATGTTATTTAGGAACTTTAAATTTAAATCTTCAAATTCTTATTTAATATCACTTTTTTAGTTAGTTTATCTATTTTTGTTTTTAATTGATATTTTTTCGTTAGATAAATGTTTATTATTAAAATTGTTTTGAGTGGAGAACAAAAATGAAAAGGACTACATTTCAATTTGCAGGATGGAAAAATTTTTATAATTCTAACTCTATGGTTTCTTAAGAGATTCAAATTGTAAAAGTTTTTATTTTAAAATAAGTAGTCAATTTCAATTAGTTTCAATTGATGGGAAATATTGGAAAATTTTAAATGTGATCACTCGGAGAAATTTAATTAATAAGATTTTTTTTAAAAAATAAAAAATTGGATACTTATGAATTCGACTAGGAGTAGATTGTTGTAAAAACAATCAAGTTTTATCTCGTTATGGTCACTTTTAAACGCTCGTCTCCTTTTTCACATTTGACAGATCAAACAATGAATCTGGCGTAAGACAATCGTCATCTAAAGTTGCCACATCGTCGTCAGAATAATTTTCTTTTTGATAATCAATCCCTATACTGGCATTAATATCTTGATATCGTTGAACAATGCCAATTGGACCTCTTGTTTGTTCAAGATCGCTGAGGGAATAAAAATGTTTGCCAATTTTCCTTGAATGATGATCGTCTTTTCTCTCGAAATTCGTCAATTGCATTTCCTCCAATTGCCGTGGATCGGCGCACGAATTTGATGGACAATTTTGACTATTTAATAAATCGCTTATTGGTCCTCGTCGTACCAAATCATTGTCACTAATTGATTTATATGTTTCCTGTATGAATGGCGAGTCTAATGATTCACGTGAATCGTCCGTTGTCATTTTCTCCTGAAGATGTGAATTCGATGAAAATGAATCGACGTAGGATGATTTTGAGTATTCACAATTTTTTGAGCTTGCTAATGACATTGCATCGCGCGTTGAATTACGATGGCTTCGACTTTTCGATGAATTTGTACAGTCAGTGGGTAATGTATACATGCTGCATGAGTAACTTGATTTTTTGAGATCGGATCTGAATTTTTCATCGTTTATATTAATTGGCTCGATGAAACTCGAACAACGGGTTTTTCGTTTAATTGGTCTCTCTAGCATGTCGTCGATTTCGGAAAAATTTTGCTCACTCTTTTCACTTGTCATTTGTACTATTGAATCCATGTCCGAGCTGCATTCTAAACTGCATTGTTGTGAGGCGTTGCGTAATTGCTTTTTCTCCTCGGTTTTTGATCCTGTGTCTGACTCGTAGGGACTTGTGGAGACAGTGCTCTGATGTTCTTGATGCAAGTGTTGGAAGTCTGCTGAAAATTTATTAAATTAAATTAGAAAGAGTTTTATTAATAGAACAATCAAGATATGAGTTAAATAAAGATATAAGAAAATTTTTTATTGAATTGATCAGATTTTATAAAAAAAATTAAATTGTACAGAAAAACATTTAATATCCAGACCTCGAACAGAATAAGTTTTTGGACTTTTCTCGACAATTTTCAAAAAAGACTGCTTTTTTACTTATTTTTGAAAAATGCGACTTTTTTCCAAATAATATTGTAACAAAATACCCTTTTTTTGTATAAAATGCAACTTATTTCGATTTTCACTGTGTAAAAAATAATTATAGTCAAATCATTCGATAATGAATAATTTTTGAATGATAATTAAATTTTTGAAATACAAAATCAAAAAGTTTTTAAATAATTGAAATTTTGTAAAATATTAATTCAACTGTTGAATTGATTTTTTTAAGTACCTAATTCATTAAGACTTTTGAAAAATTTTAATTGCAAATTTTGAAAATAATTTAGTTATAGATTTCCAAAAGTTCGAATATTCACAAAAGTTAATTACTGTAACATGTTTTTAAAAATCTAACTTTTTAGAATTATTAATAGAAGTTTTGAGAAAACAAACAATTTTCAAAATTTTTTGTCTAAAATTCTTTAAAAAATTGATTAACTTTTTAAATTGATGAAAAATTCTTTTAAAAAATTCAATTATTTCCAAAAGTTTGTCATAATTTTAAAAAATTTTAATTATCTATCTTCTAAAAAAGTCAATAAATTTTTTAAAATTTACTTTTTTTAGATTTATTATTGAAATATTGGACAAATCATGAATTTTCATTTTTGTAATTCTTCAAATTCTTGATTTTGTAAAATATTTTCTAAAAATTCTTTCAAAAATATGAATTACTTTTAAAAAATGTTACTAAATTTCAATAATTATTTGGAAATTTTTCATTTATATATAATTGAATATTAAAAAATAAATCACTTTAATCATTTTTAAAAAGAACCTTAAAGATTTACAGTTACAATTATTATAAAAATTTGGTTTTTTGTATTTAGATAATTGAATTATCGAAAAACTGTCGGAAAATTATTAAAAATAATTGATTTAGAAAAGAATTTTAATTAAAAATTGTAGAAAATAATTATATTTTAGTAGGGTTACAGTTGTAATTTTTAGAAATATTTAATTTTCAGAAGAAATGAAATTAAAATTTTGATAATAGTAATTTCTTTGAAAAATTCAGAATAAAATAAACTACTGTTTTGACTTTTTTCGCGCCTTAAAATCGATCCGAGGCCTGAATATCCGAAATGATTCATTTTAATTCGCAAAAAAACTAAATTAATGAAATTAAATTTTTTTTGTCAGTTTTAATTACAACTTGATAGAACTCTTTCTACGTTTTTTGTTTACCGTTGAGTCATTGACATCATCAAAGTCGATTCGGTACTTCTATTAATTCTAAATTGCTTTTATTTGATTAGTGTCTGATTGTACTTGTTTCGGCAAAGACGTTCTTTTGAAATAATCGTCCATTTGAAATGTAATCCTCTATCTTCTTTTGTAGGTAAATTAATTTTATTACTTTTATTAATAATTATGATTCTTTGTGGTGATCTTTGTGTTTGATTATAAAAAACAACCGAGAGAAAAAATTAGAATTTATATTCAAAAAATTTATCTAAAAATAGGTTTAATTTTAACTTTGTGGAGATATCAAAATGTTTGCTTGAATAATAGTATTTTTAGCAAAAGGGAAAAAATTGAATTAAACTAATTAAATATAAGAAAGACAAACCTCTCGATGGTGACATTCGATAATCCAAACTGTCACGCTGAGCAGAATCCCTGTTAATTTTCTTCGTCGTTACAATACTACTTTGTCCACTGTCCGATAGAATATTGACATTTTTTAAATCATTGATTGGATTCATTTCAACGTGAATATTTGTATTATTAACTTTAGTTCCACCGCTGAGAATACTTCTGCCAATATCGTTGTCTAATTTCATTGTTCTTCGAAGAGAAATACAACTGCCGCCGTCGCTTGTTACTCCCCCATCGCCTTGTTTTCTTGGTCCTAAATTATTATTTTTCGTATGTTTGCGTTGTCTTTTAAAAAATTTTCTCGCCACACCACTTTGATGTGGATTATAAAACATTTCCACACAAGCCGGTTGACATTCTGTATTGTAAGTTGTTACTGAATTATTTGATCTGTATTGCTGTCGATGCATCATTATTAATTTCACATTAGCCATTTCCGGTGGATTTACCGCCGTTGCGTCAACAAGTTTCGACATATTGTAACTGGTTTGTGATTTATTTGTATTTCTCGATGAACTCAATGAATTCGTATCAGACGTCACCTGGAATTTCAGAAATCGATTTGGTTAAAATTTCAATTACCTATGGTAAAATGTAAAAATTATTATTATTACTAGCAAATGATACGCGCTCCAGTGCGCGAAACGCGATATTTTATTTATTATTATTTTACAAATTAAAAATTTTATATTTTAAAATATAAGCATCAATTATTCCTCCTCGAAGGAATTCAATTATTTAAAAAACAATTTTAATAACATTTCTAGAAAAAATACAATTATTTTTAAAAATATTAATTGAATTCGATTATTTTCAACAATTTTGATAAAATTCTTTTAACATTAATTATTTCTAAACGTTTTAAATAGAATTATTCGATTAAATTCAATTATTTTCAAAAATTTTAGTAAAATTCTTCCCAAAAATTCAATTATTTTAAAAAATAAAAAAATTCTTCGTAGGAATTTGATTATTTTTATAAATAACAAAATTCTCGGCAGAAATTCGATTATTTAAAAAATTTTTAATAATATTCTTGGCTGGAATTCAATTATCTTTATAATTAAAAAAATTCTTCCTAGAAATTCAATTATTTTCAAAAATTTATGTAAAATTCTTGTCAAAAATTCAATTATCTTTATAAATAACAAAAGCTTCGCAGAAATTCAGTTTTTTTAAAAAAATTTTAATCAAATTTTTCTCAAAAATTCAATTATTTTTTTAAATAACAAAATTCTTGACAGGAATTCAATTGTTTTCAATATAATTTTAATAAACCTTCTGGACAAGATTCAATTATGTTTAAAAATTTTAATGAAACTGTTCGAAAGAATTCATTATTTTCAATACAATTTTAATTGAATTTCTTGACAGAATTTAATTATTTTCCAGAATTTTAGCAATTATGTTTAAAAATATGACAATTATTTTCAACAGTTTTTATAAAATTCTTAAGAAAAATTAATTATTTTTATACGTTTTAATAACATTTTTCGATTGAATTCAATTATTTTCAAAATTTGTAATAAAATTCTTTCAAAACTTTGAATTATTTTCAAAAATTCTTCGAAACAGTTGAATTATTTTTATAAATTGTAATAAAATTTTTTATAAAATAAAAAAAAGTTTATACAAAAGTTTTTTATAAAATTCTTTGTAAATTTCAATTATTTTTCAAAGCTTTCTATGAAAATTATCTAAAAAAAATTACATTATTTTTACGAAATTTAAAGAAATTCTTCATAAAATTCAATTACTTTCAAAATTTTCAATAAAAATTATTAATAAAATTCTTGCCAAGAATTAAATTATTTTCAGTACAATTTTAATAACATTCTTTGGAAGAATTCGATTCTTTTCATAAATAATAAAATTCTTTGCTGGAATTCAATTATCTGCAATACAATTTTAATTAAATTTCTCTAAAGAATAGAATTATTTTCAAAATTTTTGATAAATAATACTTTGCAAGAATTCAATGAATTTCAGTGTATTAATTTTAAAATTAAAAACATTGAAAAAGAACAATTATCAGGATTGTCACGAAAATTTGATATTTTTTCCCTGATTTCCCTAATTTATATCAGCTTTGATTATTCAAATTATTTTGAATTTTTTATACCTGGGTAGCTTGTGTATTGGAGAATGGTGCAGGAATACTTGTAGCGAGCGGCTGAGTTGGAACTGGCGACACAGCATCAGAAACACCACGAGGTCTGCAACATCTGTGCTTTCGTTTCTTCAGCCAACATCTCATTACTGACCATTGGGATCTTACATCATTTCTGGCAATACCGTAAAAGAAGAGAATAAAAATTCCCAATGAACTCGCTGAAATTGCGTACAAAACTGCAAAAAGTGTCTCCTCGTATGAAATGTGTGAAGCAAATAAATTTGCCGATGTCAGAGCAGCAAAAGTCCAAGTAATTAGATAAAGAAACATTATGATAATTTGACCCTTGAGTTGTGTTATTTGTGAATGTTCGGAATCCTCCACTTCCGACGAGACTGTCTGACTACTGTGTAAACTTGCTCGATCAATAATTGGATTTGCATTTGGTTCCAATAATTCTAAATCCATATTTTCAGTCGCTTGCGTCCCCTCCGAGAGTTGACCATTGAGATCAGTATTTCTAATTGTACATCTAATTAGCAGATGAAGAATTACCAAATAAACGAAGAGAATAGCTGCTGGCATGAAAATGGCTGCGAGAGACGGTCTTGATGATAGAAAACAATGCGAATAGGAAGCGTATTCTCGGAGATTAATTGCTCCAGATAGGCCGCAAATTATTAACGAAATACCCCAACCGACGAGATAAAGTCCCAGCAATGGTTTGCGAATAGGCGGCTCGGGAATTTCATCGTCTGGCAGATTTTCCATGTCGGACTTCGAGATACGTTTATACATATTGCTACAATTTTAAAGAAAAAAAATGTTAAGCAAAGTATAATAAATTGGTTCGAATAATTCTAATTTCTTTTACTGCTGTTAAATTAATAATAAATCTTATTATTTAATAATTAATAATCAAAAATTAAAGTAAAGAAAAAAAGGAAATGAAAATAACAGAAAACAAAAAAGAATCAAAGAGTATTCCAATACCTTGCAGTGGCAGCCATCCAAAGTAAACTCGAAAGAGACAAATAATGTAAAACTAATCCAACACCTTGGCAAATTTCTATATTTTCCGTTTGTTGAATTCCAGCAATGTATAAAATACAGAGCAATGTCAACGCTATCCAAGTGTTGATAACACAGTGCTTCGCTTTTTTTGGCATTGCTATCGATGGATAACAACAGACGTACGTTACGGTTATTATAACGAGACAGATTATTGTAATAAAACTTCCAACATAAACCGCAGGATTCGAATATTTAAACATGGCACCAGTTAAACTGAAAATCAAAAATTTATACCACTTTTTATTTATTCTATTTATTACCTATTTATTCTTCACTGATAAGAATTGATTCAAATAACCGATTACTTGTCCACTATCAATATCATTAATATTTACTTCAAATATGTTCAAATACTGGAATTATTGGTTCAAATACAATATTCATTCGATTTAAAAATTTGTTCGATTTAAAATTATTTGATTCAAGTAAATATTTGTTTGACAATAAAAAAGTAATCTCGGTTATTCGGATCAAATAAATTTTTTTCCAAAGTATTCTATTCTATTATATAATTATTATTAATAATTGGAAATAATTCTTAAAAAATTGGTTCGAATAGTGAAAAATTAATTATAAATACAGTACCTTCCACCTTCTTTGTCGAGGTAGCTAACATCCTGCAAAAGACCATAATATCCAAGTCTGTTGCAATGAAAAACAATCAAATTATTTATTAAGTTTAATAATTCACAACCATCGCTGGACCATTTTCCAGTTCCATTTGTCGTTGAATCCCAAATAACAGGAATTAATTTACTATTGTAATGATGTAGAGGTGTTTTCAACATCACGTAAACTGGGTCTGTTAAATTGTTCACTGTTCTTCCCACTAAAATGAAAAAGAAAAAATATTCATTTTCGACTTTTAAATAATTAGAGCAAGCATATTTTATTTTTGTTGAAAGTATTTTTTGACAATTTTTCTTTTCTTTTTTCAATTCTTTCACAGGTTATCACTTATTCATTCTTTTTCACTTATTTTAAAATAATAAATAAATGCATTTCAAAAATGATTGGACTTACAATGTAAAAAGGATAAAAAGAATAAAAAAAGCTCAGAAATGATTAAACAAAATTTCTTTAGTTTAAGAAGATTTTTTTTAATATTCATGAGTTTATATTAATTTAAGAATTACAGAATTATAGATTTTCGCCTCTTTTGTTTTTATAAATGATCAAAATTTCAATGAATCTTAATTAAAATTACTTGAATTATTTTTTACTAACATTATAATCGATCAATATTTAAATTCATCTTAATTCTAGTTAATTTCCCCTTTCATTAATCTAAAATTCAATATATCTTTATTTTAAATTATTCAAATTTAAATTACATCCAAATTATAATTTATCCAATTTTCAATTCTGCCCAAAATTATAATTTAAACAAATTTCAATTCTTTACGAATTGCAATTTGTATAATTCAAATACTTTACGAATTGCAATTTATATAATTTAAATTCGTTTTCGAATTCCAAGTTATACAAATTTCAATTTTTACAATTTCAATTCTTTTTCAAATTGCAAATTAAAAAAATTTCAATTATTTACGAATTTCAGTTTTTACAATTTCAATTCTTTAAGATTTCCAATTTATACAATTTCAATGTAATCAAATTTTATTCGATTCGAATTTCAATCGATCAAAATTTCAATTTTATTCAAATTTTAATTCAGTTTTAAATAAATCATAAATTTTATTGGTGAAAATAAATTTACTCATTGAAATTTAGAAAGGATTTTAAATTATCTAAATTTTAACTCATTTTAATTTTAATAAAACGTAAATTTAAATTTAAAAAAATATGTTAAAATATAATAAAATATTAATAAATATGTATATATTATATATATTATATTAATATATTATAAATATGTTTATAATTAGTTTATAATCTTTAACGTCCGAGATCCTTTATAAATTAAGGCAAATTAAACGAATGTTTTTTGTCCGAATGTTTTCGTTTAATTTGCCTTAATTAAATATATGTTTATGTTGTAAACATAAAAATAGCTGCAGACTATGGAAACAAATTTTAAAAAGCCTAATAATTAACTGAAAAAGTTGAACAAAAAAGCTTGATTTAAAAAAGTAAAAATTCTTTGAAGTGAAACGTATAATAAAATACTTTCTCCCTTAATTTGAAAAATCAAGCTCTGTTTTAAAAAATAAATTCCTTTTTTTACCTAATATTAAATGAAAGAATCACTGTGATCTCTGTACTTTTCATTTTACCTAATTCAAATAAAATCAGATTTTTGTTTCTAGATTACCTAAAATATTTATTTTTAAATGTTAAATTTCAGTGAAAATGGATAAATGTCAATAAATAATTAGAACATTTCTCAGTTCTTTTTCTTAATTCCGCTTCCTAACGAACGTAAACTAAATACTTCGAAAAACTGCAGAAAAAAAAGAAATATTGTATTTTTTTAAATAATTGGATTTATACGTACGTATTTTGCTGCCAATAATACAAGATGAAATATCCATATTATCTTCGTCGATTATTTTTGGAAAAAGTCTACTATTACTATACATGGAGATCATTAGTTGATAGGCCGCTTCCTTATCTTCAAAATGGCTAAACAAAGAAGCTGGTAATTGCACAGATGCCTCAATTGTTTGCTCCTTCATACTAATCATTGCCGTTTTATTATTAATCGTGCAATAAAGTTCACGTTTCTCATCGGGATTGATACTCTTGTACCAACTGCACATTAGTCCAACAAAACTTTCCGGTTTTATTCGTATCTCCTCGAGTGCCATATTATTTTTATGCGACTGAATTGCCGGCGTGAGTTCAGTTATTTTCTCCACTGATTTTATTAATTTTGTACATGACTTGTAAGAAATTTCGGCCATTTTCAATAAGCGTTTTGGTAAATTTAATACAACATTTATAATATCGATAAGCATTGTTCCCAATTCTTTTTCTTCAATTAAAAAACTCAGATAATTTTCTATCGTTTGGGTTATAAATTTAATTTCAACTGGATCTGTCAGTGTGACACTGTCACCGGTGTAGTTTTTAAATTTTTTCACAGTTTCCATTAGACTTGTTTTTGTGAGTGAAAGATTAACTTTTGAGAATTGCTCGAGAATTTTCGTTGTTGGCGATACATAAGGACATTGTTCGGTATTTAGATTCTCCCAATTTCCAGTTGTATTGCAATGATAAGTTGCCAAAAGTGGATTTTGTAAGAGGCTGGATAAAACACTGCCTTCGCATGGCAATTCAACTTTCCAGCCTAATACTGTTCTCGGCCACATGTAGGTCCCTTTATTATTTCTAGTAACTGTAAATTAGATTGAATATTTTTGGAATTAAAATTGGAAAAAAGTTACTTTTATTGATCGAGTTGAGTACAAAAAATAATTGAATAATTACCTATTTGTGGACAATATCGTGTTGAATTTGATATTACTATGACATTTATAGTTTTTGATTTGTTCCCGTACACTGAGGCTAGTAAACAATTCCACTGTCCAGTGTGTTCTTCTCTCACGGGATTTATAATCAGGGAGCTAAAATGGAAGAGTATTTTTAATTTTTTTTTTCACCAAATGGAATTTTTTCGCTAAATGGAAATAAAAAAAAGGATTTCAAATAATTTTAAAAGGATTTCAATATTTGCTTTCTATTAGAAGAAAAAACCAAAAACAGATAAAAGTAATAATAATAGTTTAAATATTAACAGGCCTCGGATCGACTTTAACATTCGAATGTTTAATAATTTTTGTAAAATAAGTATTTAAATATTATTATTAAATATTTATCAATTGAAATTTTTAAATACTTTTCATTTGAAACCTTCTGAAATTTAATTATTTCTGAAAATTGCCTCAGTAACTTCTTATAAATTCAATAGCTGAACTTTCTTTCTTTCTTTTAAGTAATTAAATTCTCGAAGAACTTTCCGAGAATTGTTGATTAGTTAAAAGATTAGTTGAAATTCATCTAAAATTCAATAGTTTTTAATTCTATGTTACGAAATTTCAATTATTCAAAAGTAGTTTAAATTCAACTTATTTCAAAAAAATTTGAACTCAAAATTTTCAAAACACCAAGTTCTGTAAAATTTTTAATTAAAGTTACTTAAAATTCAAATTTTCAAAAATTGTAATTCAAATGTTTTTGAAATTTAATTATTTTTATAAAAGAACTTTTCCAAAAATCAATTATTTTTTAAAACTTTGAAACAAAATTCATTTCTAAATAAATTATTTTAAATAAATTTCAAAAAGATTTTTGAGAATTTAAATACCAATTTTAAAGAAAGAAAATTTACTTAAAATTCATCTAAAATTCAGTTATTTGTTTTCAAATCAATGGTATGAAATTTCGATTATTTAAAAATTTGTCAATTAAATATTCAAAAATTCAATAAAATTTAAATCAAAATTTTTTAAAAATAAATTTCGTCAGAATTTTCAATTCAAATTTTTTAGAAGATTTTAATTCAATTATTTTCTACAATTTTTAAATAAGATTCTTCTCTAAATCAATTATTTTCAATAGTTTTTGAGAAAGTTCTCTGAGAATTTAATTATTCAAAGAAAAAAAAGAAAGTTTACTTACATTTTTTCAATTAAATATATATTTAAGAATTCAACTAATTTCAAATTATTTAAATCCAAAAATTAAATTTTTTTTTTAAATTGCAAACTGTAACAATTCATAATTTTTTTAAGTCTTTAAGGTGAAAAAAATTCAAGGATAATTAAAAGTTTTCAGTATTTTCAAAATTTCCCAAAATCAGAAACAAACATAAAAGTTACATAATTACCTGTCAACAAGACCACTTTCTGTCAATCGTCGATTCTCTATTTTCACATTCGACAAATTATCATTTGGATTCAATTGCACAGTCGAGTTTTGAGTATTTGTAGTGATATTTGGATTCCAAAACCACAATATTTTAGTGCGTTCAGTGTCAGTAATGGTGGGCGCACGACATCTTAATGTTAACGAATCGCCGGCAAAAACAATTTGATTTTGATGCGGCAATACCTCCAAGGCAGGAATACTCCACTCGCAATTTATCCCATCGGTTAGTTTCAATTTTCTGATTGCTTGATCCTTTAGATTCAACGGTGTGGCACATTTTGGAGAACTGAAAAAATTGTTTTTACAATTATTACAATTTTTTATTACAATTATAATTAATCATAATCATATTGAATGGAAAATGAAACTTTAATTACTTCAATTTTAAGGTGCTATTATTAATCCAACTGCTAAACCAATAAAGATCACAATTACAGTTCCATGGATTATTAGACACGTCTCTGAAAATTGCAAATATGATATAAACGATTAGATTAAATTGAAAAAAAATTGTAATTAATTTCTATAAATAATTGACTTAATTTTCGATTTTATTTATTAACTTACAATTGTTTTAAAGATTTAAGTCTGTGAAAAGTCCCCTCCTTTAGTGTTGTCAAGTAATTATCATTCAGTTTTCTGTAATTTTATTTTTATTAATTTATATTTCTCGTGGAAAAAAATAAAATTTAAATTGTAAAATATTAAATAACATTTATATCAATAGTTCGCAATCGAAGAAGGAAAATATGTCTTTTTAACATAAACATTTACTTTTATCGCAAAAATTCAATGTCACTTCCTTAAATTATGGTAAATAATAATTGATAATTGTAATTTTTTTCCTTCTTCGTTTATTAGAAAATATTCAAGTTATAATCGTATTTATATATTTATTTAATAATTTTTCACAAATGTTTTTAAAAAATTATTAAATGTACACTGAAGAAGAAATTTATTTAATTCAAATAAACGATTAATTGTTTATTATCAAATAAATATTTACTTGAATTAAATAATTTTTATTTGAATCAATTAAATAGTTCAATTCATATTTGCTTCAAATACTGAATAAAATTATTGGTTCAAATACAATTTATTTTATTTAAATAAAAATTACTTGATTGAAATAAATATTTATTTGATAATAAACAATTAATTATTTGAATTAAATAAATTTTACTTTTCAATGCGATATTTTTTTTTTATTTATGACAATTTTCATTCATTTTAGAGAAAATTTTAAATTACAAGAAAAGTGCAAAAATTAAAGATAAATATTTCAATTAAATAAAGTGCTATTTGCAAATAATTTAATGAATAATAAATTACTGCCTCTAATTTTTTGTTTACAAATAATATTTCAAATAAAAAATACACTTACAAGCGATCTAATACCACCATACTATGAAATAATGTTGGACCCAACTTGCTTATTCGATTGAAAGACAAATCACTAGCAAAAAGCAGAAAAAATGAGTGTCAGCAAAAAAATTGTGTTTTTAAAAATTATTTTTCATTTTCATTGTGTTACTTACAGTCGTTTGAGATTTATCAGTTGCTTAAAGGCATACGTGTCTATTGTTGAAATTTGATTATGATTCAAATCACTAAAAATAATGTTAAATTAATATTAATTATATTCAATTGTTAAAAACTTAAATCATATTAAATAATTCTTACAGTCTTTCTAAGTTTTCCAGACCGTTGAATGATCCTTCCGCCAAAGTTGTAATTTTATTGTAGGAAATGCTCAATCGTTTTAAGTACGTCAAATTAATAAATATATTCGGTTCAATAATGTAAATATCATTTTTATTTAAATCACTGAAAAAAATTGTAGATTTAATTAATAGTTCATGTTTTATTCTATTCTAATTGTTAATTTTTGTTTACAAGTCACTGATAATGCTATTTATTACAAATAGTATATAAGTAATTAACTTTTTTTAAATAAAAATAAATTCTTTCAAATATAAAATTCAATGAAATTTGACAAAACTTTTAATTGTTTCAATTTTTAAAATTATTTGCGGGATTTCAATCAACTTCAAAAAAATTTTAATTACAAATTTTCAAAAATACAACTTTCTTAGAATTTCTACATTAAATTATTCAAAACTTTAATCATTTTTGTCAAACAAATGTTTAGAAACTTATTGTTATTCATAATAATTAAAATTTTTAATAATTTTAGTGTAAAACCTTTTGAAATTTAATTATTTCTAAAAATTACAACTGCAATTTTTCCAAAAGTCAATTATTTATTAGAATTTTTGAATAAAATTATTTAAATCTTTAATAATTTTTAAAGGAAAATAATGTATTAATAATTTTTTTAAATCAATATTTAAATATTTTCATACTTTTACGGCGATCGAAATGTTAAACAAATTTCAATTTAAAAACCTGTTAAAATTTAATTATTTCTTAAAATTCCTGTTATAACGCTTCTAATATTCAATATTTTTCAAAATTTTAACTGAAATTCTTTTTCAAATCAATTGTTATTAAAATTCAACTACGACAATTGAATTATTTAAATACAAAAATGTTTGTCAAATATAATTGTTTTCCAAATTTTTAGTTACAATTCTTTAAAAGATACAAAAAAATCATTTTTGCTTCCTCATGAGGAAGCTTTGCATTGGTGACGATTTTCAATTTTTCAAAAGAAGGTTATATGGACTCATTTTCATCTAAAACATATATGTATATTCAATTATGAGCAAATGTCCAGATGTATGTGTGTGTGTGTGTCACAAAAATTGTGTACAAATTATCTCAGACAAATTTTGATGGATTGTCCTGAAATTTTGCAGGATTATTGCAGTCATTAATACCTAAAATCTGACACAAGGATTTTCGAAAATATCTACAAAAATTTTTTTTATACAATTTTTTTAAAATTCAAAAAAAAATTTTTTTTTGTATTTTTTGAAATAATTTTTTTATTTGTTAATATTTTCATTAATTATTCTCAAAATTACATTCCTGACAAGAAAACGAATCGATTGATGTATACAAAGTATATATTTTATCAAAATTTATCAAATTAATAAATATTTTTCTTTTAAAAAAAAAATTCAAATTTTGTATTTTTTTTATAATTTATTTAATATTAATATTAATATTTTGAAATGAGTATTCAATCAGAAAAAAGAAGCAATTGGCAAATGAAAGTGTAAATTTCACCAAATATTTATATAACAACTTATAAATTATAAATGATTTATATAATTTTATTTTTAACAAATCTTCTGGACGAACCTTTTTGTACATAGTTTTTCAAAAGTTTGCAAAACCGCAATTTTTATACATTGAGGAAGCTAAATGGTCATGAAATGAACAACTTGTTTAAAGTGAGGGAATAAAATTCTTTGAAACATAGAATTTATTTTAATAAAATTGGATAAAATTTCTTATTTTTTCAATTTTTAAAAATTATTTGAACTGAATTATTATCAAAAAATTTTAATTACGATTTTTTTAAAATCTCATATTCTCAGTATTTCTAAATAAAATGTGTCAAATTTCATTAATTTGTGTTTAAGAAATATTGGAATATCTACTTATTGTTATTTATTTCTCCATCAGGAATAATTGGAATTGGAATAATTGGAATTTTTTTCATTTAAGTGAGGACAGAATGTCTCTATTATTATAAGTTATTTATGAATTAATTCTTAATTATTTTTAAGATTTACGAATTAATTCATAATTATTTCCAATATTTATGAATTAATTCTCAATTATTCTGAATATTTTGAAGGCTGCGATTTAATAATTTAAAAAATGGACGAATTATTAAAACGAAAACTTACATTTGAAAAATTTCAACACCGATGGTGTCGAGGGCAATTTCTTTGATTTGTTGTATGTGATCGTTGCAAATTACTTTCAACAATTCTGCTTGTGGTCCTATACGTTTGCATTCACAACGATGAGGACATGGTTGACTTGAAACAAAACCTTGCATCAGTATTAGGATTACAATGGCAGTAATCATGATTGATAGCTGTGGCCCCTTACCTTAAAAATAAATTCTCATTAATAGGGATAAATGCACAATCAGTTACATTAAACGAATTATTTTGAAAAAATCGTACAATGAAAAAAAATCTAATCTAATCTAAATAAGCGAAAAATTTAATAACTGTTTTAAAAAGTAAACGACTAAAAGAAGTTTTTATCATGATTATTAAATTTGACAGTTTAATTTAATATTATCCAACCATTAATTATTGCATTATTTTCCAGACTTTTTTTTATTATTAACGAAAATAAATTTATTACTTTCTATTATTGCTCATACACAAAATACTATTATAACAATTTAGGCAACAATAAAAGTATTTACAATTAACAAAAACAAAAGAAAGCAAATTTTGAGATTAAAAGTAACTAAATAGGCGTGTAATTAATAAAAAGGAATTAAAAATTGCTTTAAAACGATTATTTTAATTCCGTTACTTTACATTTAAATTAGATTTCAATATATACATATATATCATCTACATATTATATATGTATAATAAATCTCGACAAAACAGATTTTAAGCAAATGGTAATGGTAATTAAAGATTAATTTTATTCAGTGAATTATTTATGAATGAGGAAACATGATTGGAAGTGAAAAATCTATAAATATGTATTAGTGAAAAATAAACAAAGATAAATTTACAGTATTATTGATGCTTGCGGGAATCCTATATATTTCTGGGAGTTGAATATTTCAACTGTCAAAAATCATTTAAAATGACAAATTTCAGATGAAATGATACAATTTACTTACGGCCAAGTTTAGTAGAACGTTTATTTTCACATTTTTTTGATGAAAAATAATGTAAAAATGCTTTAAAAAAGGGAAAATTACACTACTATGGCATTACTAATTCCGACACCACCAGCATTTACATTTTACGTCTATCTTTCTCTACTTCCATATTCTCTCTTTCTCTCTTTCGGTTTTCATCCTCTCTCTTCTTCTTGTTATCTTTCATTTTATTTCTCACTCTTCTCAACCCTTTAATCGATTGCTTTTCGATATAAAGACGACTTCACACTTTTCAATTGAATACCATTTTTACTTACTGTTTTTATTCAATTTACTCTAGAATATCAATCTGAATGATAGATTTCATCATTTTTTTTATTTATTTACTAAATATTTAGTTGATATTGTGAATTATTTATAACAAAAAGAGTTTTTCGAAATAATTTTTCAAATTCCCGCTCGAACTTGTCCTCCAATGAAAATTTAAATGCTTATGTTCTGCTGACTTCCGAGCATACTTTTCAAAACAAACATAACCTACCAATTTATTGAAATTTCTGAATGTTAATTATTTTAATTGTTAAATTGTTAAACTATTTAAATAGATAAACAATAAATATAGAGACCACTTGTTATGTGGGTTAAAAGTTAAAAATTGTAGTTTTACAGTAAATTAATTGTTATTGTTCATGGAAATGAATTAATTTTCCATGCTTTCATTTGAGGGAGAATATTTATATTTACAGTGAAAATAGAGTTAGTTTTAAGTGAAATTTAACTTTACAATGAAATTCAGCAAAGGAATTTTAAATTTTGTTAAATTTAGAAGATATTGTACTCATCAAGAAGTAAGTATTTTATTCCTTTAAATTCTTTCATCAGTATTACAAATTAAGGGGAGACTTCGAGTATATATTTTTAACTATAATCAAGAAAATGATTTAAATTTTCCATAAAATTATTTTTATAGTAATTTTTAGAGAGAAAATCAATGGTAAAAAATAAAATCGATCAGAAAATATTCTGACCCTTTTTAGATTTTTATTTTTCTTAAAAATTGATAGATTGTAAAATCCATTCGTAATTTTGTAGAAAATGTGTTTTTGTATTCACAAAAAAATTGCCGAATGAAAAAAAATGATTTTTATTATTTTAGAAGCATTTTTTTAAGACAGTGTTCTTAGGTTGAAAATGCTAAAAAACCATTAATATTCAATTTTTTTTATATAGAAATTTACTTGTTTATTTTTCAAATTAATTTCAAATCATAATTTTATCCTAATTTTTTTTGTATTTTATACGTATTCGTGTAAAAAATTTTTTATTTACTATTCCAATATGTTATACTTTTTATTTTAGAAAATTATGATTTGAAAAAATTAGTTAGAAAAATAAACAAGTGAATTTTCATATCAAAAAAATTGAATAACAATGGGGTTTTTTTTTAGTATTTTCAACCTAAAAACAATGTTATTTTTTGAAAAAAATACTTCAAAAATAATAAAAATCTTTTTTTTCATTCGGCAATTTTTTTTGTGAATACAAAAACATTCTCTACAAGATTACTGATGGATTTTAGAATCTATCAATTTTTAAGAAAAATAAAAATCCAAAAAGGGATTTTCTGACCATTGATTTCCTCTCTAAAAATTACTATAAAAATAATTTTATGGAAGATTTAAATCATTTTCTTATTATAGTTAAAAATGTTGTGTTTTTCTCTTAATAAAGAGAAAGATATAGTTAAAAGTAACGAAAAAAAACAAGCATAACAAAAGAGTAACAATTAAAATAAAAAAGCAGAACATTAGTTTTAATGCTAAAGAATTCTCGAATAATTATAGAAATTTTCTAAACTGCAGGTTCAGAGAAAAATATTACAAACCGATGGATTAATTGATAACAGAACTTGCATTCCGGAACCAGATCACAATGTGGATTTTCTATGCAATCCAGCTAATCGAGATGCAATTTTTGAAAATATAAAAAAAAGAAGAAGTAAAGGAGACATTGATAGAGTGCTCGAATTAAAAGATAAACCTGGCTCGGAACATTTACTGACGCACGAATTAAGTCGTATTCCAAATTGTACACATCCTGATGTTTTGAAACTTGATAAAGAGCCGAATATATTAAAAGTGTCGGGAGAGGCACCCACATTTAATTTTACTCCAATGGAATTTGAAAATTTTGCCGTGAAAATGAAACTTTTAAAAACCGATGGTTTAGGGCCAGTTTCCGGGCAGAAAAGTTATGTATTTCTAGGCGATTTGGCAGAATTGGAGGATGCTTTGGTGAATTATTCGTTGGTTAAACTGAGAAAACATGGATTTAATTTAGTGACAGTGCCTGATATTTTACCAACGAAAGTTATTGAGAGATGTGGATTAATTGTGGATGGTAATAGAACTCTTGTTTATGAATTGGATCCTTGTTATGGAGATGATTACAGTCTTTCTGGTACAGCGGAAATGTCGTTAGCATTTAAAATGATGAACACAACGTTGGATGTTGATAAATTACCGTTGAAATTGGCGGCAGTTAGTCGATGTTACAGGGCTGAAAGTTCTAGTTTGGCGCAAGAAAGAGGAATTTACAGGTTTATAATTTTTGTAGAAATTTCTTTTTTTGTTATGGCTGAAGATTTTTTTATATTCAGCTATAATTTCTTTAAATTTTTATCTCGATTTTTATCTTATCTTGCAAAAATTTTGTTTTCAGAGTTCATTACTTTACGAAAGTAGAAATGTTCATTTGTTCGGAGCAAAATAATTCTGAGGAAATCTTTGATAACTTACGTGCTATTCAAGAAGATTTATTTTCGGATTTAGGTTTACACTATAAAGTCCTTGACATGCCACCTCATGAATTAGGCGCTCCCGCATATAGGTAAAATTTCGTTTAGAAACTTTTTACTAATTTAATCATTTTAGGTTTGTTTCTCTTTTAATTTTCTCTTGTTATTGTAATCAGTTTATTACCAAAATATCATCTACTCTCCTTTTTATTTATAGTTACAGGGTTGCCATAAAAATTTGATTTTGTTTTTACCTGATTTCCAGAAAAACTTTTGAATTTTTCCCTTACGCTAAAGAATATTTTAATTCACTCTAAAAATAATTAAATACAACAAAAATGCTTTTTAATGCATTTTAATTTTTGAATATCTTTAACTTTAAAATTATCCGAAACATCAATAGTTTTTTTTTATTTTATTATTTTTTCATAGAAATTTAGGTTTTCAAAAATTTCAAATTTAAAACCTTTATAAATTTAATAATTTATAAAAATTGCTACTTTAACTGTTCCAAAATTATTTTCATGATTTTAATTCAATTATTCTCTAGGATTTTTAGCTTAAGATTCTTCTTTAAATCAATTATTATTTATAACCATTTTTCACAAAGTTCTCTGAGAATTTAATTCTTCAAAGAAAAAAAATTCTGAAATCTACTTGTTTAAAATTCAATTTTATGAAATTTTGATTATTCGAAAAAATTTTCGATTAAATATAAATTTATTTAAAAATTCAATTAATTTCAAGAGTATTTCATTAATATTTTTTAAAAACTAACTTCTGAATTTTTAAAATTAAAAATAAGCTAAATTTTGAAATTTTTTTAGTTTAATTTGAAATCTTTTGAAATGTAATTATTTATAGAAATTGAATTTAAGACCTTTTGAAATTCAATTATTTATAAAAATTGAATTCGAAATTTAAATATGTATAGAAATTTAATTTAAGACCTTTTGAAATTCAATTACATATTAATACCTGAAAATTGAATTTGAAAACTTTTGAAATTAATTATTTACAGAATTTGAATTTTAGAACTTTTGATATTGAATTATTTATAAAAATTGTATTTGAAACCTTTTAAAATTCAAATTCAATTATTTATAAAAATTGTAAACACAACTCTAATAAAATTCAATTATTTTTTGAATTTTTAAGTAAAAAAAAGTATGATTTCATTGTATGCCCTTTCGGGCCTTTACAATCTCCTCAACATCACTACTAAACCTTTCTAACTCACAAACTCTTTGGGGTCCCTACTTTTGCGGCTGCAGCCGACTTATGTTAGGAGTACTCGCATTCGCCTGGGCATTTGGCCAGGGGAGAGGAAAACTGCAGAAAACCCACTTCCCGAGTACAAAACACCGGTTTATTGACGTCGAGTCATGAATGTACATTTGGATAGCCATCACAAATGCACAAACATAGCCTCGGGCGTCAAACCTCCCGTTTGATACATTTCGATCAGCGAAAAAACCGAGACTGTAGCGATTCACAGAGGGTCACCCATCCAAGCACTAACCGCACTCAAATGTGCTTAAACCTCCGTGATCGCAAGCCACGAGATTCCGCCAACCGAGCTATACCATCGGTCTGATTTGAATTTTTAAGTAAATTTAAAATAAATTTATTTCATATTCGGTAAAGTTCAATTATTGTCATAAATAAAAAAAGTAATTAAGATTTGTATTAAAATTTGTGGTGTTTTTGAAGTTTATAAGGCAAACAGAAAGAAATTCAAGAAGAATGAAATCTTTTTAATTTTTTCAAAAGTTGCTGTTCACAAAAATTCGGAATGTTCTTATCAATTCTAGAAATTTAATATTTTTTCAGTAGTTTTGATAAAATTTCCTGTTTTTTCCTCGTGGCAACCCTGAATTATTATTATTGGTATTATAATTATTATTACTACTTGAGTAATATTTGTTGTAATTTATTACAGAAAAATTGATATAGAAGGATGGATGGCAGCACGACAATTATTCGGCGAATTGTCAAGTTGCAGTAATTGTACAGATTTTCAATCGCGACGATTGAATATTAAATATAAAACTAAAGATGGAAAATTACATTATGTTCACACATTGAATGGAACAGCTTGTGCATTACCACGAATGCTTATAGCACTTTGTGAAACCAATCAATTGAGAAATGGAACCATTGCAATTCCAGAAAAATTGCAACCATTTATGAAGGGAAAAACTGTTATTTATAAGCAACCGATTCCAAATATGAAGCTTAATAAACACAAACAGAAATTTGATTAAATATAATTTATCATTAGTCATTTTTTTAGAAAAAATTTTCTCCTTCTAGAAATGAAATTATTAATGATAAAAATAGAGTCAGTAAATTTATTGTCCAAAGATTACGAAAAATAAATTTTGTAAATAGAGAAAAGTAAATTAAGAAAATTGTTCAACTCAGTGTTTAATATTTTAAATTAAGAAAAAAATTTTTAATTGTTAGTTACATTCGTTTGTAATTACTTAAGTAAACTTAGTTTTTAAACTTTGAAATTGTACTTTTGTTTTGAATTGATATTTTCGCAAATAAAAATTAGGATTTTTTTTAATTACAACTACAAATTTTTTAATTTTTTAAACTTTTTTTTCTTAATTTTTGCAATTAGATTAAATTACCTGACATTGACTTTAAACGTAATAATTAAATATGCGTATTTAGAGATAAAAAAATGTTTTTTCCTGGTTCCTTACTTATATACATATACCCGCATTTCTGACACAAAATATTTACAATATAATTTATATTATAATTGCTGTACGTCTAAGATAAGAGTTTTTTTTATAAATGTTAGTAACAGACACTTGAAATAACAGTCTCATTAAAGTGTTAAACAAAGTTTTTTCTCCTTCAGTTCTTTTTATGACATTGTAACGAATTCACTTTTATTTAGGAATTTTTTTTCTCAAATTCAAAAATGTTTTTTAGCAAAATTTGTTGTTTGCTATTTTTTTTTATTTTAATATCGGAAAATTGTGCATCGAAAATGGATATTCTCTATGAATGGAAATATGTTGATTATCTTTGGAAAAATTCGGAACAGAGGGAAAGGGCAATTAATTCCGGCTATCGGAATAAGTCAATTATTATTGATGTTGACCAAGCGTCAGGTAGTTAATTAATCACTTTTTTGTTTGAAAATATGTAATTTTTGTAATGTAATTATGTCAAATATTGCGGGCTTCGCACTCATTTGCTAAAACTTACTATTTACGACCATTTTTACGATTTGTATACTATTTATAAATTTTTTTTAGTTTTGTGCCACTAAAAAGGTACTTTTTTTGAGAATTTGAAATTTCTTTAAACCCGCTTTAGCTTTTTAACTAAAAAATGTGTTTAACTAAAATTCTGCTTTATATCAATTATTTTTAATGATTTTTCAGAAATCAATTATTCAAAGAACAAAAATTTCACCTAAAATATTTCTAAAATTTCAATTATTTGAAAATTTTTCTAAAATTTTCTAAAACTTGAATATTTTAAACCTTCTAAAATTCAAATATTTATAGAATTGTAAATGAAAAACTCTTATAAAATTCAATTGCTTTGGAAATTTTTATTTAATATTATTCGCTAAAAATAATTTATAAATAATAATTTTATAATAGTTCTCCAAGAATTAAATAATTTAAAATAAATTCAATTTCAATTCTATAAAGTTTAATTATTGTTATAAATAGAAAAAATTTAAAGTTAAAACTTTTCAATATTTTCAAAGGCTGATGAACAACGAAATTCAGAAATTTCTTATGAATTCTAGAAATTGAATATTTTCCCAGTACTTTTTGATAAAATTTGTTTACTTTTCCCTGATTTTCCTATGCTATTTTACTTCCCGTAATTTTTCCCTGATCTGTGATAAACCTGTTGAATTTTTGAATAATTTAATATAGAAATTTAGAAGAAAATTAAATTTTTGAAAGATTAATATTAACATTTTTTAAAGATAATTAAATTCACAAGAATAATTTGCATAAATTAGAGCAATTAAAAATTTTGTCAAATTTCATCGAATTATAAATTTTATATTCTAAAACAATTTAATTTTTATTTTTAAAAATAGTCTTATTTTTTAAGAATTGTAACTGAAAATTGAGAAAATAATTGAATTTTACAAAAGTTTTGAATCTGTTAAAGTAAAGAAGTTAATATTATTTTTCGAAATCAGGAAAAATACATAATATCGAATTTTTATTATATTCCTATAAATAATTAATTTTATTTACAAAAAAGTAACTAAATACTTTTTTGTACCTACATCGAATTGACTAAAACGAGTTTTTTTTTACTTGATAAATGTAATTTTTCGTCATCTGCTTTTTCCAGTCTTATAGCTACTTTTAATTGATTAATGAATTAATTACCTTTTTTTAAAATTAATTAACGAGTGCGAAGCCTGAATATTGGCAATACATTTATTTATTTCTTAGTTAATATTTTTCGTAATTTAAAGGAAATTATTAGTTGAAAAGAAAAAAATTATTAATTTAGTAAAGGAAAAAAATGCTGTCCTTAAATTAAATAAACTTTTTAGATGGACGAATGTTTGTTACTGTCATTGGAACTGATACAGTACCAGCAAGTGTGAATACGATTTCAAATCAAAAAAGTGAAGCTGGTCCTTTATTAAAACCTTATCCCGATTGGTCTTGGTATGAAAATAATCAAAATTGTTCAGGAATTACCAGCGTTTTTAGAGTTGCAGTTAGTATCTAAATAATTTATTGAAACTTATTGGCAATTTTTTTAGTTTGACTGATAATAATATTAAAAAGTAATTTTTCATTCACTATCGTTTATTTTTGATGTTAGAAAAATTTAATAAATGTATACATTTCTTTTTGAGATTAAATGCAATCGTTTATGGATCCTGGATAATGGAAAATTTGGAGCAAAACAAGTTTGTCCTGCACAATTGTTAATATTTAATTTAGCAGATGATCATCTTGTAAAAAAAGTCATGATTCCGGATAATTTTGCTGCTAACAGTCAAGGGGTAGGACTTCTAATTACTCCAATTGTGCAAACAATGGGAATGTTGTGTGAACCTTGGAAATCAAATGCAAGTGAAAAGAAATAATTTCCGCATTTATACTTAGAAATTATTTATTTATCACAAGAAAAATAATCGACTAAAAATTTTATTTTAGATTAGAAAAAAAATTTTCTAGTTTAATTTATTAAATAATATTAATGATAGATAATAATATTTAATAATTTAATTTATTTAGTAAAGAAATTAACTAATTATTATATTATCGATTAAAACAATTTTTTGAAATAGTCAAGAAAATGAAATTAAATAATTGAAAGGATAATAATTTTTTGTTAATTTTAAATGCAGGTTTTTATGGCTGAAGTTGAAGTTGGTGCATTAGTCGTTTATAATAATTATCAAAGAACAATGTGGCGAATAGAAGGTAAAGAATTTGAAGCAGAACCAAAGTTTAGCAATCACACTATCGCAGGAGATACTTTTCATTTGCCTGATGCTCTATTTGGAATGGCACTATCGCCTCCAACTTATAATCGTCGATCGCAATATCTTGCACTCTCAAAACTCTCTTCGAGAAATTTATATATCGCTCAAACTTCGGAGGTTCTTAATTCCTATTATACAAGAAATTTGAGATTCGAAAAATTCGAAAATATCTTTCCAAGTGAAATAACCACCATGGCTTTTAGTTCAAAAGGTGTTCTATTCTTTGGACAAACTACCGAAATTGCTATTGGATGCTGGAATAGTCACAAAAAATTAATTCCCCAAAATTTGGTAATTGATTTTTAAATTAAAAATAAAACAGTTTTAGATAGTTTTTTTAATTAACAACTTTTCTCATAGGACACAGCTGCTCAAGACGATAAAACACTACAATTTACAAGTGGAATGAAAATTATTAATAGATGGGGTGAAGATGAAAAATTGTTAATAGCAACAAATCGTTTTCAAAAGTTTTATCTTGATAAAATGAATTTCAATGAAATTAATTATCGAATTTTGTCGAGATCCGTCAAGTCACTTATTTCGAATACAAAATGTAACAACTATCGTTTATAAGAGAGGAAAGAATGAATAAAAAGAACAGGAAATATCAAACACCACCTGACAGTATATTTTTTTTTATAAACTAATACAGTTATTATACAAAGTAATATTGGATTCCAAAAAATTGTACGTACATGGGGATAAAATTCGATCATGATTTTCTATTTTGAGTTCTTTTTTCCGATTTATAACTCTTGTGTACATTTGATAGTGGAGATATATAAAAATGTATAACACAAAATATGTTTTCACAAAGCAATATATGATTTAGAGATATTGCAAAAATTGACAATTTATCTCTTAATATAAGAATTTAATTTTTCATTATTTTTTTTTTCATTTTTATTCCATTGTCTTCTATATGAAATATTCAGTTTAGACTTTATTTCGTTCCCGCGATTATTGGACTGAATGTTTCCAAAAAAAAACCAATTCATTATAAAATTGGAGTGTCACTGTTTTCCTATTTAAGTGTCCCCTTCCTTAATTATATCACTGTCTGTAAGTTAACAGTTCTGCTCGAGATTTCTCTGGACAGAATACTGACGTATTGAGTTCTGGCAATGTTGTTTGAATGTGTCTAGATATGAAAAAATAGCGATTTTATTTTATTTGTTTACTTTTTTTTAATTTAAGGCACTTCATCGGCAACAATTTGAATATAACAAATTCAACTGATTAAATTAATTTAATTTTTTAAAAATTTAATTGAGTTAATAATAAGTAATGAATTAATTAACAGAGCTGTTAAAAATCATGATTTTTTAAATTTAAATCAAATTTAGTTAAAGACGATTAAAAAACCTACTTTTAAGTAAAAATTTGATTAAAATGGAATTCTGTCTTTGATTTAAATCATAACAGCCTTGTTAAATAATGTTTAGTTAGAAAAAAATTGTCACGAATGAACTGCCATTTAAAGGGTAATTTTGAATGAATACTGACTGCTATATTAGTTTTAGTCGTCGTCTTCTCCAGATTCAGATTCCTCTTCTGCGTTTTGTAACCACTCGATAAATTTTTTCATTTGATCTAAAAACAGCATTTTGCCCTTTACAGAGTGTCCCTCCTTGTACCACTTCAGTATCACTTCCTCGCTAATTACTTCAGCTGCAAGAAAAAAAATTTAATATTATAAAAATGTTTTTCAACCGACCAATTTTTTTTTATTAAGTATTAAATATTTAAACATTATATTATACGCACTTTTATAGAATAGTAAAACGATTTTCTGGAAGACTTTCATGAAATTCATATTCTCGTAACAGAATTCTTGAACTTTCAAAATAAGTGCAAGTTCAGATCTGGCAGTGGTTGTAAAAGCACCGAATAATTGAGTATAGAGCTTCAAATGTTTTAAAGCTTGTTCAGCGACAAGTTCTTCTTTCTTGTTCCATTCTGCCTGAGCCATAACTCCACCCCAAATCTGAAAATTTTTTCATGTGTTAGTGCATTGAATTTTTAATTCAACACTTTTTTTTTTGGTTTTTATTAAAATTTATAGAAATTCGATAACTCTAGAAAAGATTTTAAAGAATTCCTACCAAGCCAATAACTTCGTGCTCTGAGATATGACACTTTTGGGCCATTTCTTTAAGATCGACCACAATATCCTTGATAGCACGCTTATCGGCCAAATTCTCAAGAAGAAGCTGTTGAAGATCGCGTTTCGCTTCCTGACTGGCTTGAGCTTTATGCAATTTCACTATGTCTGCTAAGTCAACTGTCTCGAATACAGATCTAAAGTATTCCTCAGTTCTCTTATTTGGTGGTACAAATTCCATTAACCTGGCAAATTAAAATACGATTATTAAATTTGACAATTAAATCCCATAAATTTGTGCTTAATATACTTAAAATTTTTCTTATTGTTAAAAAAACAATGTAACCCACCTTCCTTCGATTCCGCCACGTTTTAGAGCAGTCATCAGACTTGGAAGTCCTTTTTCCTGTTTCCACGTAACAAATACCTCAAGTAAGAAGTCTAGGGCTAGATTATCTTTAACAAGATGTTCGTTAATCAGAACAGAGAGCACAGTTGGTGGAACAGAACCATTTGAGATCCATAATGCCGTCATTCGAGCCAGCTTGATTCTTTCCTTCGGAGTAAATCCTTTCATGAATACCAGAACTTTCTTCATTTCCTCGTCGAACATTTTCTCCAGATATTTATATCGCCGCATGAGCTTAATAAATACCTAAACAATTTTTATTTTTATTAAGAATACAATTTAAATGATTAAAATAATTTTTAACTTTTCTTATTAACTATCAGAGTGGTCGAAAAATTTTTATTTTGGTTTCTCTGACTTTTCCCTGATTTTCAGACAAAATTCGGACTTTTTCTCAGACTCAAAAAAATGTTGTATTACATTTATTTACGAATTTCTTTAATTTTAAAATTATTCGAAAACATCAATAACTTCTTTTTTCAATAAATATTTAATCATTTTCATTTTTCCATAGGAATTAAGATTTTCAAAACATTCAAATTTAAATCATTTTGAAATTCAACAATTTATGACAATTTCTTCATGTTTTCTAATACTTAAATATGACCGAGTGATAAAATAATTATTTTATATTAAAAGAACATTGTTCCTGTAAATTCTTCAAAATTATTTTCATCATTTCAATTCAATTATTATTTTCTACAATTTCTAACTAACATTCTTCTTAAAATCAATTATTTTTAATAATTTTTAAAATATTAGAAAATAAAAACTTTAAATAGCTTTAACAAAAATTCAATTAAGTTATTTAAAAAAAAATAATTTCTACAGAATTGTTAGTTAAAAGTATGAAAAATTCAGATTTTAAGAGATTTTAATTTGAAACCTTTTCAAAATTCAATTGTTTCTAAAAATTCATGCTATAATGCTTTTAATATTCAATCATTATCTAAAATTTTAACTGAAATTCATTTTTAAGTCATTTTTTTATTAGAAAATTCTACGAGAATTCAATTATTTAAATACAAAAATAAATAATTTATTGAATAATTGAATATTTTTTAAAATTTAATTCTCATAAAGAATTCTATTAACAAATTTTTAAATAATTGAATTCTTTCGACGAATTTTAATAAAATTTTTAAGAATTTTTCGAGGAATTCAATTAAAATTGTATTAAAAATAATTGAAATTTTGCGACAAGTTTTATTATTTATGAAAATTATTGAATTATTGCGAAGAAATTTGTAAAAAATTGGATTTCTGTGAAATTTTTATTATTTATTAAAATAATTAAATGTTTGCGTACCTAGAATTAAAAAAAAAATGTTTAAATTCTTTTGGAAAATTTTATGAAAATAGTAGGTATTGGAAATCATTGAATTGAGGAAAATGTTTTTTGAAAATAAATGGAATTTTGCTAAGAATATTATTACAATTTTTTTTAAAATAATTGAAATTTTGTTAAGAATTTTCTTAAAATCTTTGAAAATAATTGAATTTTAGAGAAGAATTTTATTACGTTTGAAAATTATTGAAATTTTTACGAGAATTCAATTATTTAAATACAAAAATAAATAATTTATTAAATAATTGAATATTTCTTAAAATTGAATTCTTATAAAGAATTTTATCAACATTTTTTTAAATAATTTAATTCTTGCGAAGAATTTTTATAAATTTTTTAAGAATGATTACATTTTTCTAGCAATTTAATTAAAATTTTTTAAAAATAATTGAAATTCTATGATGAGTTTTATTATTTATGAAAATAAATGAAATTCTTTTAGAAAATTTTATTAATATGCATAGTAGATATTGAAAATGATTGAATTTAGAAAAACTTTTGCAAAGAATTTGATTATAATTTTTGAAAATAATTGAATTTCGGAGAAGAATTTTATTATTTATAAAGATAATTAAAATTTTAAATAAATTTTTGAACTTAGGAATTGAATTTCTGCGAAGAATTTTATTACTTTTGAAAATAATTGAATTTATGCAATCATTTGTTACTTCTCCAAAATTCAATTTTTTTTTAGTGTTTTTAACTAAAATTCTTCAAAAATCTAAGTTCTTTAAAATTTCTAAATAAATTCACTGAAGATTGAAATTTCCAGGCATCACAGTACTTTCTTTCCTCAAAAAAGGTGAAAAGGGGAATTTTTTTACTCAAAAAGGGAACAAAAAGGGAACAATAATTTATTTGTTTCTACAACTTGCTCTCCTTAATTGTAAAATTATTCGAAAACAGCAATATAACTTCTTTTTTAAAAAAATATTTAATCATTATTATTTTTCCATAGACCGAGTGATAAGATCATTATTTTGTACTACAAGAAATATATTTAGTGTAACTTCTTCAAAATTATTTTCATAATTTCAATTTAATTATTATTTTCTAGATTTTTTAACTAAAATTCTTCTTTAAATCAATTATTTACAATAATTTTTTAAAAAATTCTGAGAATTTTTAAATGTATTTGTTTACAATTCAATTTTACGAAATTTCATCGATTATTCAGAAATTCTTCAATTAAATATTTGTTTGAAAATAAAAACTTGGATATAATTTCAATTAAACTTTTTGAAAAAACTAATTCTACAAAATTGTTTGTTAAAAATATGAAAAATTTAGATTTTCAAAGATTTCAATTTGAAACTTTTTCAAAATTTTTTTATTATATTTATGAAAATAATTAAACGTTTGCGTAGAATTTCAATATAATTTTTTTAAATAATTGAATTCTTTTGGAAAATTTTATTAAAATAGTATATTGAAAATCATTTAATTTAGAAATTTTTTTGCAAATAATTGAAATTTTGTTAAGAATTTTATTAAAATTTTTGAAATAATTGAATTTTGAAAAAGAATTTTATTATTTATAAAGAAAATTGAAATCTTGACGAGAATTTCTTGAAATTTTTGAATTTCTGCGAAGAATTTTATTACTTTTAAAAATATACTAGTTATGCGGGGAATAAATTGAAAAAACTAAAAAGTGTACAATGAGGAATAAATCTAATCTAATCTACTTTTGAAAATAATTGAATTTTCAATCATTTGAAACTTCTCCGAAATTTAATTTTTTTTAAGTATTTTTAACTAAAATTCCTCGATAAATTCATTATTTTTAATATATAATTTTGAAAATTTTTGCAAAAATTTAAGTTATTTAGAATTTCTAATAAAATTCATTCAAAATTGAAATTTTATAAAATGTTAAATTAAATTTGAAGTTCATCTGTTTATGAAAATTGTAAACGCAACTCTTTTAAAATGCAATTAATTTTGAAATGTATAAATAAAATTATTCATTAAATAATTTCAAAGTAATAATTTTATGATAGTTCTTCACGAATTAAGTTATTTAAAAAGAACTTATTGTTAGAAATGGAAAAAATTGAAGGTTTTGTTTTAGAATTTTTGTTTTTCTAGAAAAAATGATTAATAATAATATTTGAATGTTAATTAATTATTTTTCTAGAGATTTGCATTCCGTTGAATGAACCACCTTATAATTTATAAAATTCTTTACGTTATCTATATTATTTAAATCATTAACATAAAAAAACATATTTATATTATGTTGTGGTGTTAATAATCTAAATCCAAAATAAAACGCACTGAATTCTATAACACTGAGTCTAAATTTTATGATTACACTTTGAAAAAGATTTCAAAAAAAGAAAAACTTTATTTTTTATTAGAAAAAGGGGACAAATTACCAAAAAAGGGGAAAAAGATGATAAAATTGAAATAAGGGGACAAAAGGGGACCAACTGTAATGCCTGAATTTAATAAACTTTTGAAGTTCATCTATTTATGAAAATTGTAATGGCAACTCTTAAAAATCAAATAATTTTGAAACATTTAAGTAAAATTATTCATTAAATAATTTATAAGTAATAATTTGCTGATAGTTTTTCAAGAATTAAGTTATTTAACGGAAATGATTGTCAGAAATAGAAAAAAATTGAAGGTTTTATATTAGAATTCCTGGCAAATTTCATAGTTTATGAGGCAAACAAAAAAGACACCAAAATTCAGAATTTTCTTATGAATTCCAGAAATTTAATTTTTGTCAGTACTTTTAATAAAAATCTCTGACTTTTCCCTGATTTTCCTGACGTGTGGCAACCCAGTAATTAAATAATAAATGAAAAGAAAAATTTAGTTTAAAAACTTTCTTAAAAATTCTCAAATTAAACATTTATTTCCTATAGGGTGAAAAATGTGAAAAATAGAAATACATTGAAATTCTAATTAGAAATGAAGAAAATAATTGAAAGTAAATTGAAACCTGTTCGAAATTCCGCATTGATTCCATGTCCTCTGCTTGTTCGAAGACACATGCTGTCGTTTTAACCGGTTTATCACCATCTTGAGCAATAGAGCCACCAGGTACCAAGAGACCACCCGCTATTAAAATATCAAATAAAGCCTCTCCGTATCGACGATAGTCCAATTTGGATCCAGCCGTGTCCAAATATTTTGAAATTGCTTCTAAGTCGTTACCAGCCTTCTCGAGACCAAGTAAAATTGCATCTCGAAATCCAGTTGGATCATACTTTTCCTTTTCATCTGTCAAAAATGATGACGCGTTAAATTTCTGCTTGGCGACAAGGACGCTTTATTTCAAATACCTCCCTCTCTCTCTCATTTCTTTTTAGCTTACATACCTCTTTTTCTGGTCTTTATACGCTGACCTGATAGTACTGGCTTTTCTATTTTCTGACTCATACAACACCCTTCTGAAATTACAAATAATGAATATAAATTAAAAAAAAATTTTTTTTCACCACAAAATGTCAGTTTGTAAATTTAGTACACATTCACATTTATCTAATTTTGAATACAATATCAAATTTTTATCTCTATTTTCTTTTTTTGACAGATGTAAATGTCAAAATAGTAAGTTTTTAAATGAACACATAACAATTTTTAAAGAAAAAAAAGCACGCTTTAAAGTGAAACTTGTAATGAAATGAAACATGCGTGAATTTGAGTAAATTGTATAAAATTTATTTGATAAACAAAACACTGGTTAAAGTTAAGAGATTAATATGAACAAAAAAACAATTTTTTCTCAATTTAAAAGAATAAAATTTTCTTTTCCATATAACTATACACAACGAGAAATATAATTAGAGCGGACTTGTACGCTGAGGTTAAGGTCGACCTTAAAGCCAGGCACGATGGCTGAAACTTGATTTAGATATTTACAGGAAATTCATAATATTAAACAAAAAACTTTATGATAAAGGATAATGTTTGAGAAAAAACTCACTTAAATACAAGTATGATAATATAACCACTCCCTCCCTAACGTTTGTAAGTGATGCGAAGTATTTAAAGGAGGACTGAGGGCAATAGGAACTTGGGGTCACCGAAATGAAGAAATAAAAATGGAAGAGGAAGACGACAACCATTCATGTTCCCCTACGCATGCGCTGTAGGTACTCAGAATTACCAAATGCTTTTAATATTTCTTTTAAATCAAAAATAATAAATATCACTTTATTTAATACTATCGATACTTTTAAATACCACACTAAGCATTGCGATAATTTTTCAACAAAAATTTCCCTCTGTACATAGAAGGGAATTAATTATTTATTTATTAACAAAAGTACACGTTTCACAAAATTTAAATGTTGGCTACACTGAAGGAAGTCATCAAAAACCAATTAATATCATTTTTACGCTTTGGCGTCAAATTTGAATCGCTATTTAGATTAGTGCAATTTATAAAAAGATGTAGACACAATAGGTTTGTTCTCGCTAGCTACACTTTCTACACTTTGTACAAAAGTGTACACTACGGCGTTCTCGTTACCAGAAGTGACGCAATAGTGTACACCTAACTCCCTAGAAGCCCGTGCACTTTTCCCTATTTTATTACACCCGATTGCGAGCGAGTGTAATTGAGTGTTCTGATTAAAATGGCGGTAAATGGACATTTTATTTAAAATGCATTAATTATTTTATGAAAATAAAATTATAATATATTTCTTAGTGACTTTTAATTTGTAAAATTATTAGTAAGCAATTCTTATTTTGTTAATATTTATATAAAGTACCACATTATAAACAATTAACATTGTAAAGCAATTTGTAAATAATTATTTTCCCATTTATTAAAACCAAACTTTATTTATACGTAGAATTTAAAAAAAAAATTCTTAATTTTATGATGGTAAACATATTTTATAAAAAATAATAGAATTTATGAAAAAACTTAAGTTTGAAAGATAACCTTTAGAATATTTCAAAACATGTCGCTTCCGTTTTTCGTGAAACTTATGTGAAAATGAAGCTTAAAAATTCTAATGAGCAAATCGCTTGAAATTAAGAAATTAATTAAATTTTACAAAGATGTCAGAGTTTAAACTGTGTAAAAATTTGAAAAAATTAAATTCTGCTCGGTACATACATTTAACCTTCGAAATTCTTATAAAATTTAATTAATATCTCAAATTTCCATGAATTGCCCTTTATAAAGTTTACAGGGAATAATAGGAATAAATCCTATTATTTAAAAAAAAAATTTAACATCATAAAACTGATAAATTTTTCTCTTAAAATCACTAATAGTAAATAAATTTTGGCTTTAATAAATGTGAGAAATAATTATTTAAAAAATTGCTTCACAATGGCAATTGTTTATAAGGTGGTTTGTTTTAAATAAAATGACCCATATATTTATTTATAAAACCTAACTATATTACAGATTGTATGCAGTTTACAATTCAGATAGCGTTAATTTTTTTTTCATTTTTTCGTGCACTTTCTCTACACTTTTGCGTTCTCGCTAGATTTTGTACTTTGTTTAAGTGCGCATGCTCCGTTTTACACTCTTGTTACACTCGAGTGTAGCGGTGTAGCTAGCGAGAACAAACCTAATGAATAATGTCAAATTTAACTAGTAACAAAACGTCCGAAATGAATAAAAATAAAACTTAGAAAATAAATATACATTTTTCTGAAGAATTCAAATTAAAAACCATTTAAATTTTGGCGCCATTCTCCATTAGAATCGATTAATCGAAAATGTGTACTTTCAGGCAACTTCAAAGTTGATGAATGTCAAGTGATAAAAATGTTTTCAAAAGTTTAGTGAATTTTTGATAAGTTTCTATAAGTATTTTTCGTATTATTGAAAATATTACGGTAATTGACAAATGTGTCTTCTTGTATTTTGGAATTTCAAAAAAGAAGTAAGTCTATTTTCCATAAAATTGGTATTATATTGCGATGTTTTTTTTATTAAAAAAAGTGGATACTATTCGACTATTTTACTGTTAAGGTTATTGACCTTTATTTAAATGTTGATTTTGATTATTATGATATTATATGATTATTTCGTGTTCTTTATTAGCTTGAGAATTTTAATTTTCTCAATAGTTTCTATTTTTTAAATGTTATATTTAAATCAATTGATAAATATTAGATATTTTTGTGGTGTTTGTGGTTGCAACATAACCTCTAAAACAATAAGCGTAATCGATACGATTCAAAACAAAAAATTGTGAAATAAAACACATAAAAAAGAAGTATTTTCTGGAAAAATTTTCAAGGTATGAATTTTTATTATGTGTATATTTATATTTACGGTTGTTCTAAATAGGTTGGAGTACTTTTAAATGTTAAATCGATTCATTACCTACTTCGCCCCTGATAGTAGCTTATCATTTCTACAAAAGAGCAAGTCGGAAAGAGAAATTTATTATTCTTATTATTTGTTGTTCTTGATAAATACGATCATTTCTTTAAAAATTAAAGATCATTTATAAATTTTCTAACCCTAGATAAATAACAATTTTAATCTCTCTAAAGTTCTAATTTTCTAAATTCTAAATTATAAACGTTCAAATAAGCAAAATTAATCTTTCTTTTTCAAATTTTATTTGTGAATATTAATAAAAAACTAATATTATATTATTATTATTTTATTATTATTAATGTTAATATTATTGTTATTATTAGTGATATAATAATAATAGTTATAGTAATTATAGTGAAAAAATAACATTAAAATATTATTTTTAAAGTTTATTTATTTATTTAAAGTTAATTATATATTAACTATAATAATTTTATATAAATATAAAAACTATAAATAATTATATTATTATTAAATTCAGTTAATTTATATTTTTGTTTTTATTTTACTTGAGTTGAATATATTTTTACATTAAAAAAATATTCGTTCATTTTGAAAGTTCATTTATGAAATATAAATTTTACTATAATTATTTCTATAAATAAGAATAAATTATCAAACACAAAAACTCATTTAAATTAATATTATATTTATTGTCCATATTTGGATCATTTTCAAGTACATCTAAGTAACAATAATGTTTCTAAGCCTAGATAAAAAATAATAAATAAAATTAATATGTACAAAAATCGTTATAGAGTCGTTAGATTATTATGTTTATATATAATAATAGAAAAAGTCTCAAATTTTATTTTAACATGAGTATTCTTTAATACTACTCGCTAAAACTAAAGGAAAAATTTTTCACATTTTCCTTTTACAAAAAAATACTATTTTTATTGAGACCTCTCTACTAAAAAAAAAAAATGATGACTCTAGTCAAAAATCTAACAAACAATGATTAATAGACTTAAATAAAAATAATTGTATAAAATTTAATTACAAAAACTAAGAATAAAATTAAGATAAAAATAATTATAAGTAAGCTTATAAACAATTATCTAATTTTATCATTTTACTATACAGCCATATATTAAATTATCGATAGTTCTCATTTTAATTGAGAGCAATCATAATCTCTAAATAATGCACTAACATCGACAATAAAAAAAATTTTTTTTTTGCAATTAATATCGGGAAAAAAAATCAATTAACAAAAAGAGTTAATTTTCATTGTCGATTATGGCAGTGTTTTGGTGTACAACCATTGAACGAAGGTACAAAATATTTCAAAAAGAAAACTTTTGTCTTTAAGTTACAAAAATTAGTCGTAGTCTTATTTTAAAGATCACAAAATCAAAAAAGCATTTTTTTAAAAACTTCCTTACTATTTTATTAGCATTTTTTTCCATTTTATCGAAATTAAAATGTAAAAGTTCGCTTTTTTGTATTAATAAAAAAAATAGTAATGAAGTTCTTAAAAAATGTAATTTTCAAGAAAAGCGAATAAATGCGCAGCTTTTGATAATTTTTGATAAATTTTGCCAAGAAATTGAAAAAAAAATTTTCAACAAAATTTATCATGTGAATAAAAATTCACTATATTATAAGTTTTTAGTGATCCCAATTTTGAGACGTTTTTAAGTTTTCAAGAATATTCTTATCACACAGTCAGACTTTTATTATTTTTTGTCTAATTTTAATATAATAAATACAAAAATATATTTTTGAAGGAGAAAAAATGCCGTGAATAAAGAAAACATCTCTCAAAATTTAGATTAATTGGTTTTAATTAAATAAATTATTTAATTTAATAAATAAATTTTAATTTTTTTTTGTAAAATAAAACTTTTTCGTAATTCTCCAAATCTTTACGAGATAATTAATATCTTTGTCGAAAAATTAAACCCTGAAATTAAGAATTCTATGCGAATGTAAGAAATTTATTTTCTTGATTTTTATTATTGTGATATTTCTATGTTAAATAATTATTGAATTAATAATATTTTTAAAATGAGTTTAAAATTATTTTAATATAATTATTTGAGTATATTTGTAAAAGAGTGCTTTTTTTTAGAATGACGACAAATTCAGAGTAATTTTTATTATTTGAATAGTAAAAAATCTAAAATGTGGAATTTTTGGTAATTTTTATTAATCCCGGAGTAAATTTTACTAATTTTCACTGAAATTTACTTTAGAGATAGTAAACTTTTTTTTTGGAATAGTAAAAATTTTTAGACATGATTAGAAATTGTGGAAACATTTGATTTTACAATGAAAATAGTAGAAATTACTTTTTTAAATTTTTTCCTGTAATTTACAAATTAAAAGTTAAAATGTCTGAAATCTTTGTGTATTTCTTACAATTTTTAACTATGATTCCGGAACAAATTTTGCTACGTGATAAAATTTACTCAGAAAAAAGTAAAAATTACCAGAAAGAATTTCATTAAAAAAATTTCAGGTAGTTTAATTTTTACTTTGATAAATAATAAAGGTTGCCTATAATTTTCTTTGTGTTTTCAAAAATTGAAATTTTTAGTACTAAAATTTTTTGCGTATTTCTAGCAATTTTTACTAATTTTAAAGCAAATTTTGCTATGTTCAAAGTAAATTTTATTTTTTGCTAAAATTTACTGATGACATAATAGTATTTACTCCGGAAATAGTAAAAGTTGTCATAGAAATGCGCAAAAATTTTCAAATAATTTAGGTTTTTTTTATATAATAGCAAAATTTACCATTTACTTTTTCCGTGTATTTGTACAAATTGAAACTTTAACTGTGTCTGAATTTTTTGTGTATTTTTAGCCAATTTTACTATTCTTTCGGAGCAAATTCCACTTTTCGAATTGCTGTTCGAATAAACTATTAATTTTAAATAAAACTTGGTTAATAAAATTTACTCCGCTACCAGTTGGAATTACCAACAGAAATGCGAAGGAATCACAGTATATTGTTTACTTTTCAAAGTAGTAAAAGTTACCTTTTATTTTTCTCCCTTTTTTTTGAAAATAGCTCAAAGAAAAATTTGTTTACTTATGACGCATTATAAATAATGTTAAATGCTTTCTCATCCTTTTTTTAAAAGTAAATCCCGAGAAAAAACGTCTGACTTGTATCGATCTGAACATCTCGACAATTTTTTTCTCTCCTAAAATCCAGTCTTATGATACAAAAGAGGAGAACGGATTTCGAAAAAAACAAGTCCATTTAGAAAAACAATTCGGCCCTGTTGGCTCGATTAGATCGCGATTTTTTGCGATGACTCTGATGACATCAGTACTGTGGATTAGGTGAATTCCTCTGGAAATTGCTGTGCTGATTCTGATTTTGTTGAATAGGTCCAGCAGGACTTGGTCTTCCATCCCTGTACTGAGGAGGACATGGTGGTCCATTAAGTAGGGGAGGTGGTCCTGGTGCTTTACCATAGTTTCCCCTGTTTGAACTCTGATAGCTACCATAAGCCGAATCATCACTACGTCTCGCGGTATGACCATACATACTTTCCGGTCGTCTCGAACTACTGCCATTGTCACTAGTATTAAGAGGTCCAATCGCTTGATTCTGATGATTCTGATTTGGATTTTGCGGTGTTGACGATTGACTCGGTGTACTCTGCTGCGAACTCTGCCTCTCAGGTGGTGGAGCTGGCGCTCGTCCATAAATATTCGTTCCTGTTGAAACACCATAAACACCATTGTCCCTATTACTTAGACTTGTGGAAATTCCTCTGACACCATAGATACTTTGTGTACACTGTTGTAATTGATTTTGCATATTCTGATTGGTACTGTTGTGATTTTGCGATTGACTCTGAGTATTTGTTTGTGAACTTTGGGAATTTTGATGATGATGAGGAGTTGTTATTGTTGTTGTTGCTGTTGTTGTGTCGCGATTGATGAAATTCTGCGATGTGTGTGTTCCAATTCTTATGGGATAGAGACTTTGTGCTGGAACAAGTGGTCCTGGTTTTGGGAACATGAGTCCGTCCCTGGTTCCTGATGTAGATTTAGCGTAGACGCTTTGAGACCGGTTCAAATTAGCCCTGGTCAGAGGTGGGGATTTGCAGTAGAGGGACTTGGTGCCACCGTAAATGGACTCGACACGTTCGAGGGCTGACGGTGGAGGACTGTAGATTGAGGACGATGCACCAGCAACGGGTCGATAGGTCGCATAAGATCCGGGGAATTTTGGTCCTGTTTGTTTATCCAAGTCGTCGTAGGTGTCCTCGTCCGATCGAATCGATGAATTATCACCGTCGTCCATCTCACGCGAGTCTCGTGATCTTCTTGGATTCAGTACGTATTCGTGGAGGAGAACTGCTATTGCACCACCGGCTATTGGTCCAACCCAATACACCCAATGTGCATCCCATTTGTTCATGACAAATGCCGGTCCCAGTGCTCGTGCCGGATTCAAATTTGGATTCTGCAATGATAATAATTCATAGATTAGTGATCGGTTGGGTGATAATTATTTATTTATTCATTCTGTCAGGCTCAATAACACAGTTTTTTGTCTCAATTTGATATCCTTAAAATAACTGTGTAAAATAACTGCAAAGAAAAAAAGGATTTGGTGAATTTTACAGAACCTTCTGGATTAGTTGATAGCCATTCATAATTCGTTGAATTATTTTTTCCCCTGCATCGTGATATAAGAGCTATACAACATGTGTCATATAATAATTATACTGATGAACATTTTGCTTCTTGTAGAAGTAGTGAAAACTCAACAATTGTATTTAATATGTTGAGTGCGAGAGTGCAATAAAGTAATGGTGAGGGATTAAGTCTGAAACTTTCCCTTCTTTTTGTCAAAAGCAGAAAGGGATTACCTCCAAAATTATACTATGTTATAAAACTTAATGTCTTCTGGAAGATTCGTTTCTTGGCTGATTTTCAGGCTCGAACTTGTTCAAGTAATTCAGGTAGAAGTACAGCGCACTTAGGCCCTTTTTGATGGGTTAAGTAGTCTGTTGTCGACAATTGTCGAAACTAAATTCGTACTTAATAAATATACATGTTTGCTTCTAAAAATTCACGAGTTCTTTTTACATATAACTCTACACTGCTAAATGTCAACTGTTGGTATTTCTGCTAGTATTTAAAGTTGCAGGTAAAATTCGATTTATGCAGTTTACCCAAATCTGCAGGTACAAATTCGGATTGTGCTGGTTAACCGTACCTGCAGGTACAGATTCGGTTCTGTAGTGTCCCTTTAAAAAATATGCCGAATAGCATATTTAGAAGAGAGTTCATGCAACAATGTGTACAACTAAATGTTCTATTCAGCATAAGAATAAATTACCAAATAAATATCAGTAGTTTTTAGCTGACATGATCAGCTTGATCGAGGAGAGAACAGTAAGAAATAGAGTGCAGTACAAATGGGCGAATGTTTAGAAAAGGAAACACAAAGGATGACAACAGCTTTACTCGTGAAAGCTGAGAAGTTGTTATAACCAGAGAATGTATTCTATTTCTGGCAAAGTTGAGGACAGTTTCCGGCTAGCGAGAAGCTACAAAATTTTCAGTCTCTTTGTTGTCAAAGTGCCAAAATACTTAGACTAAATTTGTACGCAATATTTTCTTCTATATTCTGCAAATTCTCGCTCAATAAATTTCTCTACTCAGTAAAGCAAATAGTGTGACAAGTTTCAGAGGGTTGCCAAAAAATTTTTGTAGATTATAATTTCAACACACGCGAGAAAACTTGAAATAATAGATTATCTGAAATTCTTATGAATTTCGTATTTATGGTCATGGATAACTGTGGATAACTATTTTATCGGATATTTTATCGAGTTGTTAGTTTTCGGTAGGGAGGCAATTTTAAATTTGAAAATTCCAATGCAGTGCAATAAAGAAGGTATTTTGTTGGGTCTTCTGGTTAGTTTCTTTTTATTAGATTTCTTTTTTTACTTTTTCGGAGGCCATTGTACGCTTTCGGCCAAAGCAGGTGGGGCCAAAGGGCCGAGTCCTGTTCAGTGGCAGGTGCTCTTTTCAAACACGCATGAATTAATTTTGTGTTTGTGTATTCCTTACACATACTCACACTTGTAGGATTGCATACTAAAATCGAAAGAGAATAAAATCCTTTGATTCACTGTCGTGGCATCCCGTGTTGTATACATTTATTTTTGTTATTATTATTAAATTTTCATTCATAATCAACAATTTCTTTTTCGCCCTTTTTCTATTGATGCGGGTGATTATAAATTCGTTTCAGGCTTTTCATTAAATCCTTTTTTTTCTCTTTGTTATCTATTATTATTCATTTTATCGAAAATTTCGAATTCTTTCTTCTAAATTCGAAATAGAAATTAAATGTTTATGGGAATTCTTTACTTACATGAACAAGAGTTGCAGATGCATAGGCCGCGGCTAAGACAGCAGCAGGTTTTGTTGTCAAAAATGCGGGCAGATTTCTTCTCGAGTCGGCCGTAAAATGGGCCAGAACAATTAAAACCGAAAGAGATAATTCGACTAGAAGTCTTTCAACTGGACCCGCCAATCTTCCGGATTGCGATGCAGTGGGCATCGTCACTCTGAAACAAGAGAGAAAAAAATTATTTCGTTTACAAAAGAATTCTATTTATCTGATACAGAGAGTTTCATTTCATTTCTTATAAACTTTTTTCTTTTCTTTACACTTTTTTCCTCTTTACAAATAATCCACTTTATTTTATGTCAAATTGTATAGTCTTATCATTAAATATGATTTACTCTATTAATTGACTTAATTTACAATTTCAAACTCTGAAAACAACTTTTCAAAACTTGAAAATTAATCTGTTTCCTCATTCAAAGTGAATACACAAAGAAATGCTAATTTCAAAATTTTGCCAAGTTGGCGCAAAAGTTTCAATTTTCGACGATTATTATCTCCCCTTAATTTCAAGATCTTTTGCTCAACTTTTAAACAAGAAAGGAACTCTCTACAAAAAGCTTCTGTTAGGCCAATAAAACAAGTGCTTATAACAAGAAAGGAATAAAAAAAAAGCAAAGCATAGCAATTGTGAGATTATAATATAAGATTAAAGAGACCGCCCAATCGAGCACCCCTTGTATATTTTTGTGGGTTGACGAGAGCACAGCTCCCCCTCCCTTCTCTCTTCATACCGAAAAAAAGAAGAAAAAATTATATCGACCTGCTTTAAAAATTCGCTCGCATATGGTTGACCTTATGGAATGGTATACATAGTCAGGAGAGGAGAGAAAAATGTATGAGTTACAAGACCACAATAATATAACGATGATTTTTCCATTCAAAGAGTGAGAAAATGAGAGTGGATATAAAAATGAACTGAACCCCTTGGGGTAAGTTTCAATCCCAATGGTGTAATGTTTATATTAGCCGGTGCATCGACAGTCCCCACGATGAAAAAAAAGAAATACGTCAATTTTCTCGCAGTTCATAATAATCATACGGGGTCATAGAGAGTTAGTGAACTCTTCATAAATCCTTGCAGTACTCATATTTTATGATTCGAGAAAAGTTCCAGTTTATTTATAACCTCATTCTTTTTTTTGGCATCGAAATCCACATTTATTGGAATAATAAACCAATTAATAAACAAATCAATATCGTGTATGTTGGATTTCTAATTTATTGTTTCTGTTCGTATTGTTGCTCGTTTCATTTGTTTGATTCTTTTAAGAGAATTTTTCGTCTGTTATTTTCAATTATATTTGTTGTTGTTTTGTTTTCAATTTAAACGTTTTGACTCATTAAATATGTAAAGGAATTGTATACAAAGTTACCAATTAAAGTTTCTTGGGTCAAGTAATAATTAGAGAATATGTATATTTTTTTATGTGTTTTCTTTATTTGCTATTCGCAGGACTCGGATAGTATGAATTTTTCAATTTTTTTTTTGAACTTATTTTAATAAAATAAAACTTTTTGTAAATTTCGACAATAATTGAGTTTGACACAGGTCAGGGAAATTAAGGAAGTCGGGGAATTTTATATCAAAAGTGGTGAAAAAATATTAAATTTCTAGAAATGGTACAAATATTCAAAACTTTTAATTAAATTTACAGTTGAAATTTTTATAAAAAAAAAGAATTTTTGTATTTAAATAATTGAATTCTCGATAAGAACTTTCTGAAGATTATTAAGGAATAATTTATTTTCAAAGGAATTTCAGTTAAAAATTCTAGAAAATAAAATACTGCAAAAGTTAGAGCAAACATTCTTTGGAAATAATTAAATTTTTAAAGATTATAAGAAGTTACGGTTGCAATATTTAGAAACTTTTTTGCATCGTAAAGCCATTTTTGCTATTGAAAAATTTATACATAATTTTTACCATTTACAACTCAGGGGAAAAATAAAATAGAAATAGCTTTAAAAAAAATTCTGCAGCTAAAAAAAGAAGAGAGATAAAAATGAGAGCTAAAAGATGAGTTAATTCGAGTGAACACTTTGCGCCATGAATGTCGAATCTATTTAATAATCAAAGAGAAATGAATCAGTTAAAATGTAATTATAGAGAGTCTTCCAACCGCAACATCTCCGAAAGGATTACATAGTGAGGGTCTTTTAACGACTGTGTCCCATGGGTTTCAGGTGGTCGAAGTGGGAGGAAATTAAATTCCCCTCCGCACTTGTTTGAGAATAAATACCGTACTGTATATATGTAAAGCTAACACCCATCGAAACAAAATTCTCTCAAAGTTAAAGTTAGTGAAAACATTGGGTGTAGAGAAAAAAAACAACGCACTAAAAAGCAGACCGTGGGATAATATCAGTAGTATGAACTTGAAACGAAAAAGCCCCGTTTATTGACCTCGTGACTGCATCATCTGCACCAAGGGCAAGTTGATTTTTCTTAAGTATCACGTACACATAGGGATGTTACGCGATCGTAAAATTTCACTCTCCCTTGTGTATATCTATATACATATTCTCTATTTATACTTTTGCTCCAGAATCGAAAAAAATCCCTCTTCTCTTTTTTTTCACAGGAGAAATGTGGCTCGGAAGTTTACTGCGGTCGTCACATGGGAGAAGAATTATGTGAAGGATATATTCAGGTCCCTTTTTTCCGGAAAAAAGAAAATCCGCTTATCATCATCCCTATAGGATTTCTTTCTTTTTTTAAATATATATATAGAGGGTGGAAAGAATTTTTGTTGATTTAATTAGAGTGCGTTTATCATGATCTGAATTTCTGATTTCATCAATTCCCGTCTCTGATGACGATCGATTTTAAAGAGAAGCTTTTGAAGAGAGGATCTTCATTTGCATGAACCGTAATATAAGTATATAGTAATAGGGATAGAGAAGAGATGCTTGGTGTGTAAAACTGAGTGGGGGCATTGTTCCGAACCCTAAAGTAGCGTTTAAAGTGAGATTAAGCGTGTTTGGTTTTGCATGCACGTCATCGGCTATTATATACGATAGATTGTTACGCTTGATGTCTTCTCGCTCAGGTGATTCTTCCTCTAGAGGAGAGAAAAAAGCGGAGGTAAAAAATTTATATCTGATGCTGATCACATCTAATCAATCTCACTCTAACCTCGTTTTGTGTCAGATGATTACTTTTTAGGGGGATTTTGGTTTTTTGTGAGTAAAGTCTAAAGTTTGGAAATTTGCTTTTTTTTGGAATTGGCGGAAATATTTTTGTTGGATTAGGACTTAATCTAAAATAATAGTGTTTGGTACTATCTGACTGTTATTCGCCAGGGGCACCTGATTTGGCTTAGATATAGAAAAAATAAAATTACAAACAAATTTCGACGAAGTGTGCATATCTTCTCTTAAAGTGGAGGTGTATTCTTTTTTTAAAATAAGGCAGAGTTCCAGGGAGTACACAGACGCGAATTCGGTAGCACGAAGGCTAATCGGGAGTACATTTGGGCAGGTGCAACAGTCTCTTGAAGAAGTATTTTTTCATTAGCATTGCTGTATCTCTGAACCCAAATCTGGATCTCGAACGGAAGATTACAACAAACAGGATTTTCAAAGAGTCTGCCACAAGTCGACCAATGTCGTGCTCGAAAACTTGATGGATCAAGAGAATCGTGGTCTCCTGAGGTCTGCTGACTATTATTCGCCAATGGCACCTGATCGTAATAGATCTCCATGCCAAACTCGAAACACTGTCTATAGATAAAAAGAATGATGAATGAAAAATTTAATCTTTCCCGATGCACTTGACTCGAGAGCCTTGTGCAACCTGTGCTCTATTTTCGCGTTTCACACGCGAGGGGGCGACCCTTCGGTGCATAGAGAATGGAACGATACATTTTAAATAAATTTCGATTCGAGAGGTATAGAGTCGCCCCTCGATCGTGTTTAACGAGCTATTGATACCCCCTTCTTACAAACTGATGCGATACATCCCCCCATGTAGTTTCCTCCTCCCTCGCCTACCACATAAAAACGTCCAGTAGCACATCAACTCTTGCATATAGTGAAACATTAAGGTCCATCAGACGAGGTCCGAACCCCGTTTTATACATAAGAGAGAAAAGTGTGCACATGTGACACGCGTGTAAAATCGTAGGATGCTGCTTAATCGACAAAGTCGAACTAATATGCGAGCCATTATAAACTTTGCTCTGGGAAATTTGGGGTCAAGCTATACAAGCGCGTCCGAATAGCATTGTGGGAACGCTTGCATGTTACTCGAGACCCTTCCAATCTTATGGCAATTCAGAAATACTCCCACCCTCCTCATTCTTCTTCTTCTTTTTCTTCTTCATCTTCTTAATTCTGCATCTTTTCTATTCCCTTTTCTTGATCGTTTCTTTTTTTAAATTCGTTTTCTTTCTCTCTTTCACTCATGTGCATCTCTTTCGAAGAGTGCCCGAGAACTTGATGGATCAAGGGAACCAGAACCGAGCAATTTCCTGTGTATAAGGTTATGGCTTTAAGGTCGATCCGGGCATGGCCCCCAAGTCTCACAATACACAGGAATTCTATTGCTACCCCGCTCTCGAATTGTGGGAGAGACTACATCAGAATCCCGGCATCAAATCCCCTTTCTATACAATATATATATGTATATAAGAATCAGACTTGCTGGAGGAAGAAGAAGAAGAAAGTAAAAAAGACATCAGGCAGGAAACGCGCAATAATAAAAACGTCTCTGATGTCCGATATATATATATATATATATATGAATCCATATAATTCTTGTTCTTTAAGTTCCTTCTGTGTTTTTGGTTTTATTCTCTTCTCTTTTTATACGTCGATACCTCTGGATAAAACAAAACACTCTGGTTTTAAATGTTTGAACATTGGAGTTTAGATTTCTTAGGTCAAGAAATAATAATTAGAGAATATACATATTTTCAGAAGTATTTACTAATTTTCTTTGTTTACACAAATTTTTTTATGTCAAATTTTTAATACTATATGAGAAGTAATCAGCTTTTGATAACAAAACAAATACTATAGATGAGAAAAGAGCTGGTTTTGATAATGAAACTTCGGTACTAGGTGTAAAAAAAGTGTGATGAACATCCTCGTAACATTTTGTTTGACTCAAAAGAACTCTGTTGCATTGTATACAGTTAACAAACAAGATGTCGT